TTGAAAGATATTCGACAAAGCCAATTCACAGTCGTAATTTAAATATATATCAACGACCATCTGTGCGTCTGCAATAAAGGACACAAATGGACATTAATGGCTAATATGAATGGATATTAATGGATGACAAGAAGATAAAATCAAAATTTAATTGTTGGTATATTGATAATTAGTAAGGGAAAGGTTACACCTCACTTCTTGTACACCCACGAAGAAAATTCGAAAGAGAGAATTGTAAAGATTGAATATAGGATGGGATTTGGAAATAAAAGATGCTTAATTTTTGTATATGGTTAAGCAAATGGAAGAGACATTTGGTAGAACTTAAGACAATGTCAGTGCAAGCTTTACACTAAAAGTTGACGGTTTGCATAAGCCAGTACAAACACAAAAAACATCTTTTAGTTCTTTTGTAAATAATAGTAATGCGAAACAGACAACTTCAAGAAAAAAGTTTAAATTTTTGTCTAACATGTATTCATGATTCATTTGCAAATTATCTTTGATTGATATAATTGATGTAGCTCAGATACGCACGTTTGTACAGGCAAATGCAAACACAGTTTAAGTTTTTATTAAGTAAATAGTGATGTCGGATGAATAGCTTTAGAAGATTGAGTTTTGATGTCGTTAAACATTCACGGTGTACATTAAAAAAACACAATTGATTTTATTAAACCTTCTGATGATCAGTGAAAGACTCTCAATGAAAACAAAAGGTTTCCAAAGAAATAAATGATCATAAAGTTCCGAAATTTTCATACCGTGACTAAACTTGAGAACTGACTACGCTACTTAACACAATCGCTTTTATAGAAAATTGATCGATAATATTTCAAATGTTAGTTGTTTATATAAATACCTTGGTAGAAGCGTTCAAACTTTGGAGGTACTTGTCTTCTTTGGCATAAGAGAAAACTTCAAGCAAAGTACAAATGATTAAATATGGTTTATTACATTGAAACAAGAAGGAAAAGTTTCTCCTCAAATAAAAATGAAAATAACAAACTGGAAACGGGAACATTGAGTTGGCGTACTTCATGTAAGAAACGATAAAATATGTTTTAAAAAAGGTTCCTTTGATGAGATATAGGCTTCTCTGCACTAGATTAAATTAATTTCTCATTTGGCATTTTTCGTTTTTTGTTAAGTACTTTCATTAACATATGTTAGTTAAGTTGTAAGGGTTACAAACGTCGGTATTTTTGGTTAAAATGGTTGAACGAGTATGCAGATTTTGTTCGAGTGGTCTTCTTTGATTTTGGTAAAACCTTTGATTCAGTTTCAAATAACGTCGTAGTTTAAAATTTCTATTTTCCAATCTGACTTCGGTTACTTGGTGTCTCTTGCTTTTTTGTTGATCGCATAAGTTTTTATGCTTCGTGCAATTACTTAGCGACATTTTTTCTTTTAGAAATTCAATGAACGCTTTATAAAATAGATTATTGTGTTGTAATTTTTCTTTAGAAACTGAAATATTTTAGTATGCATTTAAGAAAAAATGAGTGAAAACCAACTATTTACTTCCATCACTTGGCCTCTTATATTGACAACAAAAAATTGAAAGATTTAATCACAAAATCCTAGTTTAAACATGATTTTTTTATTTATCTTCAAACTGTAAAAACAGACCACGGTGATCCTTCATAATAACCACATACTCATGCAAACTAAAGTTAAAACATGTCAACTCTAATTACGAACTTTAAAACCTGGATCATGTTTCTCCATTCTTCTCTTTTGCATTTGCCAAACCAAATGAAGATATCTTGATGTGCAAATCTGGTATATAGTGTAAACGCAGCCAAAGCCTTAAATTTTGTCAAATGAAGCCTCAATGTAACATGATCATGCAATTGAGAAATAAAAGATGTTTCATGTTTTTGCACAGGCTTATGCAAACCGAGGAGAACTTTGGGAGAGCTCAAAAGCAGATCAGTGCAAGCCTGAGACCGAAGGTTGAGGGTTGCAGCTGCTCGAGAGGTTGCCCTAATTCTATTACTCTGTCTTTTGTTATCCCTCCCCTTTTGTAACTCGATTCTCAAAGACATTATTTCACTAGGATTAGATAAGCCGAGTTGCCTAAAATCGTGCAATGAAAGCCTGCAAACAATATCTGGAGCAACGCGTTCTTCTATAAAACGTTGAGTATGAGAGCTAAATCCAAGCTTTTCCAAAACTCTTTGCATGTCACCGATTGACGCCATTTTTATTCCTATTCCGTATTGCGTATTATACATAGTATTATATCATGTATTTCATTATTAATAATATACATGAAAAAATTTCTCAATTCTAATTGGTTAAGGGCAGGGCTATTAACGCAAATACTATTGCCTATTGACTATTTGACTATTCAACGTGTTGAACAAATCGTTTGTTAGAAATTACAAATGGTTCAATTTGAGCCTGTGTTTCAGTTAATTGAGAGTACTTCATGTTAGACATCACATAACGAAGAAATAAAAATGACCACATAACGAAATTACCACATAACGAAATTACCACATAACGAAATAACCACATAACGAAATTACCACATAACGAAATTACCACAAACGAACACATAACGAAATAACCACATAACGAAATTACCACATAACAAAATAACCACATAATGAAATAACCACATAACGAAATAACCACATAACGAAATTACCACATAACGAAATTACCACATAACGAAATTACCACATAACGAAATTACCACATAACGAAATTACCACATAACGAAATTACCACATAACGAAATTACCACATAATGAAATTACCACATAACGAAATTACCACATAATAAGTTAAGGTATAATGAAAAGTGCAGTACACATAATGACAAATGGACCGCATATAACAAAAATATCACTGCATATAATGAGGAATGGACCGCATATAATGACAGATGGACTGCATATAACGAAAGTATCACTGCATATAATGACGAATGGACCGCATATAATGATGAATTAACAAGACGTAACAAAATATCATGGCATAAGACAGCTCTGGCATTCCATAGCAACGCGTTCTCTTCAGGTTTCTGACTTCAAGAAAAGCTGTAAAATTGTAAATTCGACATTTTCCATTTCTATGTAGTGAACGTCTTATTTATAATATTATATAATAACCAGAAGAATTTGAGCAATTTCATTGGTCTAGAGCTATGACCTATATAAGAGAACAGACGCACGGAATTGAGGTCACAGAAAATTTCTTGTTTTTAAATGACAAACGAACGGAGAATTTATTTGAATATTTACCTTAATATATCCCTAAATAGGCAAATAAAGAAATTAAGAATGCCTAGTTGAAGTATTGGACGCATTTGAGCAAAAAGAAAAGAAAAGACCCGGTTTTCAAACGTTGATTGGCCGGCGGCTCGTGGCCACTCAGTTTTTATCACAATGACGTCATACTCGTGTATCTATAACTGTATAGACAACTGTTAAATGTTATCTATATGTTAAATAAAAATAACCAAATTATCTAACCATACATTTTTATGAAAAAAGTAAATCATCAACATGAATTTTGTTCAGAGGTACAATACATAATAATAAGTTTGACAGAGCATCTTACAGTAGTAGTCATATCTAGAGGATGCCCTGTTTAAATGACAATTCATTTATGAAGATTACAAGTAGAATCTTAGAAAGGAATAAACAAATATTCATGATCAATTAGTATAGAAGCGCTCTTTTTAAATACAAGTCATTTGTGTTATAAAAATCAATTATACATCGTTTCATATAATTGCAAGACATAGATAATATTTTACATTCTTTAATAGCAGGAGGTAAGACATTCCAAGAAATAGTACTGATAAATTTAAAAGATCTTTTGCAAAATTGGTCCAAATTTATTTTTGGTAAATGTTGATAATTTCTTAAAGATTGCCTGGTAGAATAAGTAAACTTCTTCTGTAGAAAACTATAGTAGGTGGAAACAAGCAACCATCCTTACGACCATCAACATCTATGTACAATTTTCTCAAAAGGTTTTTGAATTTACTATTAAAGTTTGAGTTGATGTATTTATTCAGGAACATTAAGTTTTAAAAATTGAATTCTGTTTTTTAAACTGTCAACAATAGCTAAAGTTCCTGTATTGGAATGCATAGTTATATGAGACATAAAATAACCGTCGTTAACTTCAGCGCAAACTTTACCACTCTTTAAATCTACAGCAACCAATGACGATAAAGACACTCCAATGCAATAAGATTTGTGTATGATTAGGTTGGAGTACAATGAAGAGCGATTGACATCATGCAAAATCGCATTCACATCACCATTCCTGTGAAAAGCAATTACATAAATGCCCATATTTATTGAGCCTTTGCAAAATGCTATGACTACCTGCTTACTATCACTTATACAGCAGTTGAACTTTATTTCATTTACAGTTAAACTTAGTCGAGAAAATTTTTTAATGACAGCTGTTATGGGTATTTGTGCAGTATGCCAAGGTTTCAAGTAAAGTTCATTGTTGGTATTTCTCCATTTCCATAATGTGTATTCTGTTTTGTTTACAGTTAAAATAACAGAATTATCAGGTGATACAGCAGCTGCTTTAAATTTTGAACTTTGGGCAGGAAGTCTTTTGTTGTATTGTATCTCACCCTTGGTAATTCTAACAACTTGAACAAACTTTTCTTCGTCAATACAAACTAAGACATCACCAAATGTTAAGATTTTTAAGGGTTTAAATCCAATGTTAACATGCTTTGCTTGAGTAGAATCTACAAAATTTTCAGACGAAGTTGATATCTTCATAAGATGATCTGAACCATCCCATATCCACAGTAAACCATTCGACCACCAACATCCTAATGCATTCTTCAGTTGCATTGGTACGGTTTGAATAACAGTGCAACGTTCAATGCTCCAAATATGAATGTTGACGTGGTCACCAACAGCGAAAGCAGCAAAAAAAGATCCATCCGGAGAAAAACAACAACATTTAAATTTAAATTTCTCAAAGATAAATGAAGGTCTCCAAAGATGATCAGTTTTGTAAATTTTAAGCTTGTAAAAATACGGCAGAACGTAAAATTCCTTAAACGAGATTGAATGGACTTTGTTAAGAGTCCTAGCAACACATGGACACCAAACATCTGGTAAACAAAACTCGATTTCTCCTTGATCGTTGTATTTTGTCAACTGAGTGATTTCAGAAAACTTTCCATTCTGTCTTGTATGATAAAAAATACAATCACGATAATGGTGGGTTGTCGATGAATTTGAACATTGTGAATATTTATTTTCTCTTGAAAAAATATCGATTGCCTTAGGGAATTCAAAAACATACAAAGTCTTGAAGAATTTTTCAACAAAGAACTCTGAATATTTATCAGTGCATTGTAGTTTTTGGTAATCAACAACGCAGCGTCGATCAATTCTTTGCAAAGTTAATGAATTCCATGCAGTGAACACTTTTGTAAATGCTTTCATGACAAGATAATCGTCTTTTTTCTTCTCTCCATTTTCTGCTGTAATAAACAAACCAGAATCCAAGAAAGAGCAACGATTAACGACATCATCTGACTGTAAACATAATAACAAACGTCCATTGTTAACGTCCCACAACTTTACTTCAGTAGATCCATCACTAGTTACCAGTCTATTTCCGGTAGGTGAAAAGGAGCAACAACAAATGTTTCCACGTACAAAACCAAATTTCATTAATGCTGGATGGTCATCGTCAAAGGTGTCATACATAAAGTTGTCTATATTATCTAAATTTTCCAACCTTGAATCATCGAGTGCATTGCCTAGAGTGCATCGTTGTTTAAATTCTGGAAGTTCAAAAATAGATATTTGGCCATTTTCATATCCTACAGCAAGAAGTTCTTCATTGGACGACACACAAAGAGATGTAACGTTAGCACGCAAGGAGACAGTTAAATGATGATGGTTTGTTAAATACGTTGACTCTAAATCCTCAAACCAAACAAGCTTTCCTTGTTTCAATAAATCCCTTGCCAATAATCTTTTTTCGTTACTGCAATCAATTCTGTTTGCAATAGTTTGTAAATACAAAAAGTTTTTAACATACATCGCATATTTAAATGTCGCAAGCAAGTCAATTAATACTTCTTCAAGTACATCTTTTTTCAAGAAAGTACGTCGTTCCTTTATGATTTCAAACAATTCAGACCTCATGGTTTTCATGTAAATGTCTTCCACACCCATTAACCTCGCACAAACCACTTTGACATCTACTGCCCAACTAAAGTCGACATTTTCGCTACATTCAATCATGTGATAGACTCCATTCTTCAAAGCATATTTAATCATAGCAGTGTTCATCTGATCTTTAAAAATGTTCATCGACTTAATTTGTTTAAACACTTTCTCACAAGCATGCCATAATGACTTATGTCCATTTTTTGGATCAACTGTAAACTCATGCTCTTCATAACCATCTGATTTTAACCAATCAACGAGAGACTTGTGATACACGGTCAAATAATCATCGTAAATTGGAAAAAATTGAGATAGCACTTCCTGTATTTTAATACGATCTTTAAAATTCATGTCATCAGAAAAACCTAAACACTGAAAAAGAAAACACAAAGGCAAAATACTTTCATAAGAAACCAACACTTGAAGACATTCCGTAAAGTTTTCATCGGAAATAACGGTTTTGGGTGTTGATAAAATTATTTCTTTCAATAATTTATTTAATCTCTTGAATTGTTCTGTGTAAAATTTACTCAACTTAGTAGGAACCAATTGTTTAATATTCTTGACAGTTAGCTCAGTTTTTTCTTTTTTTAAACTCTCTTGTGCGTGATAAGCGTACAGGAACGAACCCTCGCACTTTTTAACTAATAAACGGAAAGCTTTGTAATCGTCATCACTGCCATCACTGGCATCACTGTCATCACTGTCATCACTGTCATCACTGTCTTCGTGCCACTTGTCAGCAATGAAGAAATTACCCTTCAACTGATGTGTCAAATACTTGTGCAGGTCTTCTTCGTTGTTTTCATCACGAGGTTTTGTTGTAATTTCCACAGGATTCATGTCTTTCAACTCCTTTTGAACAGGAAGTTCTGGACGACTGGTGATGAAGATTTTAATCCATTTAGGCAGTAGGTCAAACTCTTTTGCAATCAATTCCAACAATTCACTTTTGCCATCAACTTGGCTTTCATCTAAGGCATCAATAACCAAAAGCATTGGTTCATGATCTTCCAATGAATGCAATGGATTATTTAATAAAACAATGAATTCATCGGTGATCGATTCTTTGGAATGGTTTCTCTTTAATTCTTCATTCAGTTTAGACTTGAAATCTGATATTGTATCACACATGCTACTAGCCAATGATTCTATCAATATTCGAGGATTTCTATAATTTGATATATTATATCTGCAGAAATGAGAAGCAGCAAGTTTCTTGTTTTCAGAATATCGTCGACACAACGCAGCAGCAAAAACACTTTTACCAACGCCTGGACCGGCAATCAAAATCATGACATTAGAAGCATTTTCACTTCTATCGTTAAACCAAGTGTCGAGTTTTTCAAATAACCATTGTCTAGTGCCTTCAAGGTATTTCTTGTTAAGATCTTTTATAAAACTATCAAACTTACACTTTCCAAGCTTCTCAAGATCAGAACATATTTTGTCCTGTTTCATTTCTCTCTCTCTGGTTACATCAGCTTTTGTTGCCATATCTTGTTTAATTTCTACTACATCAACTTTTTTTGGCATGCTTTCTTTGATTTCTTCTACTTTATTTTTTATAGCTTCAAACTCTTTTTTTAATTCTTTTACATTTTCGTTAGTTTTCTCCGCAACATTGATTAACTGTTGTTCTTTTCCATACCATTCTTTTAACATTTCAAGATAATTTACCTCATTGGGACTAAGGGGAGCTTCCTTTAATTCAACTATTTCAGTTTGTTGAATACCCAAACCAACCAATGCTTTTGAGATTTCATCCCACAAGCGCTCAAACGTACTGTCATCTACACTAGTTGTGCTTATGTGGCCATACACTTTGTTTCGATAAAACTTTATTCTTGCAATATTTGCTGAGATTGAAGTATCTGAAGAGGAAGGATTATCCCATCCACCATGCGGTGCTGGTAGACTACATGTGTTACGCAATAAGACAGTCAATAATGTGATGTCAAAGTTTTCAGTGTCAGGGTCACCAATTGACGGGTAAAGAAGATCCCATTGCTCATTCTTGATGACATTAAATTTCAAAGATGTTAGTGTCTTCTTTGTAGAGGGATCTTTAAGTTTATCAGCTAAACTTGATGGCTTCAATAAAGATTCCAGTGTTTTTTTTAAGGCTTGGGTTCCTTTATTGATTAAAAGTTTACTTATACGAGATCCGTTTACCTCAAACTTCAGTTTTTGTGGTGGTGAAGCCATTTTTCAAGCTAGAAATTAAGAAAGAGCTTGTGCAAAAAGCATCAATTTGCAATGTACAAAATGAGAACAAAATTAAATGGATTGATGAACAAATAGTATTGCAAGTAATTTTACAAATAATCCTTTTCTTTTTTTTATTCATTAAAAAATACGTTCACTCTTCTCAGTAGCAAGATCCAGTAGTTGATAGTACATCATGGAATTCAGCATCCAGTAATATAAACGACTTGACACAATAAATCAGTTGGGGAAAATAGTATCATTGGAAGTTTTGAGAAAGTACTAGGATTGGGATGGGAGTGTAATTTGGATCGCTTTGTATTTAGCCTCTGGAAGTTGGCTGAAAGAGCAAAGGCAATCATCCCAAGTAAACAAAATATACTAAGTATACTTACAGGATTATTTGATCCTTTACGTATTATATGTCCAGTTGTAGTTTGTGCTAAGTTATTGTTTCAGGAGCTGTGTAATAAGAAATCTGAATGGGATAGTAAGCTGAAAGGTGACAAGAAAAAACGTTGAAAGAGGTGGATACAAGATTTAGAGAGAGTCAGGAATTTAGTTGTGGCGAGATGTGTGTATGGTAGTTTACTTGGTAAGGTAAAGTGTTACTTGCATGGGTACGCAGATGCCAGCCAAAAGGCGTACTGTGTGGTCGTATATTGTGTGACAGAGATAAACGGTGCCTACCACGTAGAGTTGCTTCCGTCGAAAACAAGGATAGCGCCAAAAAATTGCAGACAATTCCCAGACTAGAAGTGATGTCAACTAGAGTATTAGCACAGTTGATGGACACAGTAAAGTTGGCCTTAGAAGTTCAAGTTCAATTTAATGGTACATACTATTGGTTGGACAGTATGATTGCATTGTGCTGGATCGGTAATAGGGGAGAATGGAAACAGTTTGTGCGCCATAGAGTTAACGAGATTTTAACATTGAGCAGGAAGGATAATTGGAAACATTGTCCGGGTGTAGACGACCCTGCGAACTTAGGTTCAAGGACAGTTACGGCATCACAATTAAAGGAAAGTGAACTTTGGTGGAAGGGATTGAAGTGGATTTCAGGTCCCCAGTGTGATTGGCCAATGCCAGAAGAGGTTTAAACTACAGAGGAACGTCTTGCGGAAGTCGAAAAGACAGTATTGGCTAACACACAGGTGGTAGATAAAGATTGTGTGATAAAATTTGGCAAAATTAGTAATCAAGAGAGACTAATACGGGTCATGGCTATCGTTGGGCGATTTGTAGACAATTTGAATGCAAGAGTTAAACACGGAACAAAGAGGACTGAAACATTGAAAGTGTCAGAGCTGATAATGGCAGAACGAGCGTTGATCACAATTGCTCAGAAAGAGTTAATGGAACTGTTACATGATAGCAACTACTATCATGTAATATCATTTATAAACTATTATATCATATTATAATTTCATATTTTTATATTTTAACTTAATATCTATTTTGCAATATCATTACTAATTAGGACATTATCTAGAAGCTTGCTTGCATGCGCTAGAAGCTTGCTTACATGCGTAAACACATATTTTAGAACCGCAACCGCATTTGTTGTTATTGTGGTTAACTACATGTAACGTAATGACTATGAGCAATTGGTTAGACAATTAAACATAGTAGAGCGTGATGGGGTAGTTAGATGTAAAGGAAGACTTGGCAATTCAGATTTAGAGCTAGAAGCTAGAGAACCAATTTTACTGCCTATGGATCATCACTTAACCGAATTAATTATTAAAGATTGCCACAATAAGGTTCATCATAGTGGAGTAAGAGCGACCTTAGTTCAGCTACGAGGCAAATATAGCTACGTACCACGAGATAGACAGATCGTGAAGAAGGTGATAGGAAATTGCATAATTTGTAGAAGACATCAAGGAGAGGTTTATAAAACACCAATCCAAGCGAATTTGCTAGATTTTAGAGCCCACTATTCACCACCCTTATCTAAAGTAGGAGTAGATTTTGCTAATCCATTGTTTGCAAAAGAAGATGGACAGATGGTAAAAGTATACACCGCATTATTTTCCTGCTGTGTTACAAGAGCAATTTAGCTTGATTTAGTTCATAGTTTAAGTGCACGTGTTTTTTTAAATTGCATGCGAAGATTTACTGCTAGAATGGGATAGCACCCATTGCTAAGGCTAGCACCCTTGCTAATAGTTTCGGACAACGCAAAAAGATTTAAAGCAACTGAGAAAGCGTTGAAGGGGTTTTATGGAAGTAAGGATATAAAATCATATTTGGAAGGTAATCGGTTGATATGGAAGTTTAATTTGGCGAGGACACCATAGTGGGGTGGATTTTTTAAAAGAATGTTAGCATTGGTGAAAGGTTGTCAGAGGAAGGTATTGGGTAACGTTAAATTGAACAAGGAAGAACTGTTAACAACATTAGTTGAGGTACAAGGTACGCTAAACTCTAGACCATTGACTTATGTATACGAAGATGAAATGAATGTAGATGTACCGACTCCTGCACATCTTATGTTTGGAAGAAGATTAAAATCTATTCCAGACGAAGGAATTCTGCATACAATAACTGACGAAGATGCAGGAGTGGTAAAGCATAGTTTTAGGTATCTAGCGAGATTGAGAAAGCATTTTTGGTGAAGGTGGAGGAAGGAATACTTAAAAAGTTTTAGGAGTGTCATAAGGTTCTCAAAGTAAAGGCTAGTTTGTGTCCGAAATTAGGTGATATAGTTCTTGTGTTTGAGGAAAGTTTGAAAAGAGGATTTTGGAAAATAGCGAGAATCGAGAGACTAATCAAGGGAAAAGATAATATAGTCAGAGCAGGGGAAGTCGAACTTGTTAGCAAGGTAAGGCCACTGCACATAAACAGGCCTTTTCAGAAACTTTATCACTAGAGATGGATGCAAAGGTATGTAAAGAAAATTCAGCGTCCTACATGTAGAAAATTACTTCATGCTATTCTTTCTCCCCATAGTTTTGAACAGGTTTTACTTTCCTTTACCATGCAGCTTATTGTCAATAGTTAGAAAGTTGGTATATAAATTTAGATATGATTTCTCATGCAAGTTTTGTCATACTTTATTGAGATGCCGCTTTAACTTATTTGTTATGACTGTAGTGAAATTCCAAACTATCGCTTAATTTCTTTAAAATTGCTTCCGTTATAGAAGTAAGACGACCGTGTGAACAAAATTATGCTTGCTTCAGTTCTTTACATGTCACATACTCAACCAAGGGATGAGAGATTTAATATAAACAACGCACCACATACATATCAGTTTACAAATGGTAATGATAATTCATACCTTATTGTAACATCAATCTTTTATCCATGTAAGTTTTGTTACATAAACACTTTTGAATAGCGAACGAAGATGAAAAGTGAGTCAGGATCTCCTTCAACAAACAGTATTAAAACACATTAATGACGTCTATGTCGAACATTCTAGTTATATAACTCAGTATACATCACTTACTAAAAACGATTGTTATAGAAATAAAAATACATAATTAAGAACCTCATGCAGAGTACATACTAACATTGAGATTAGTCAAATTCCAAAGGTCTACTGCTAAATCTTATAAAGTTTCACAAGTTTTAACTCAGGAATAGAGAATCGCCTATCTAAGACAGGATTTGAATGCCAATGATTATGACACGATTTTCGAAACTGTGAACGGATTTTTCCCTTAAATTTATAAAAAAATTCCATACATGTATATTCTTGCATGAGTCAGTTCATATTATAAAACATCTTTATTATTGAATAAATCTTTGTAAATCATGAATACATCTCAAACATCAGCTGCAAGAAATTGTAATTATTTATATGTTCAATAAAAACGCTGTAGATACAACAGTAAAGGATGCAATGAAAATAAACCTTAAAACTGTTATACAAACATGATCAAAAGTATAATTTTAAAAGCACACTGCGTTGCATGAATCAACATGCCACAAACATCGGTTCGGTCGCGTTCTTCCTCTTTGTAAACACATTCTTCATGTGTTTAACATTTGCTTATTTGTCAAATTTTCTTACTTTAAAAAAAATGGTTTGTTGTATACAACTATCAACATTTGGTTTGACACACAGGGATTAGTCAAAAGTGGCGTCAGTAAAGAAGGGAGGTGATGCATGATTGTACATGTGCCCCTCCCCACACAAATTTTTACAGATCCCTCTTTTTACATAGATAAGTATAGTTTATAAAGAAAAATCCAGCGTCATACATGTAGAAAATGTTCTCATGTTATTCTGCCTCCCCCATAGTTTTGAACAGGTTTTACTGTTCTTTACCATGCAGCTTATTGTCAATAGTTAGAAAGTTGGTGTATCAACTTAAAGATGATTTCTCTTGAATGTTTAGTCATACATTATCGAGATGCTTCAGTAGCAAATTTTTTATGTAAAGTTAGTAATATAGTTTCAGAATCTCGTTTTACTTTCGATAAATTACCTTGGTTTTAGAAATAAGACTTCATATATGACGACCGTGTGAACAAAATTATGCTTGCATTAATTCTTTACATTTCACATACTCAACAAACGGATGAGAGATTTAATATAAACAACGCGACCACATACATATTTGATTAAAAATGGCGATGAAAGTTGATACCTTATTGTAACATCAATTTTTTATCCTGTGAGTTATGTTACATAAACACATTTGAATAACGAACGAAGATGAAGAGTGAGTCAGGATCTCCTTCAACAAACAGTAATAAAACACATCAATGACATCTATGTAGAACATTCTAGTTACATAATTATGTATACATCACTAACTAAAAACAATTGTTATAGAAATAAAAATACATAAATAAGAACTTCATGCAGAGTACATAATAAGATTGAGATTAGTCAAACTCCAAAGAACTACGCTAAATCTTATAAAGTTTTACAAGTTTTAACTCAGGAATAGAGAATCACTTATCGAAGACAGGATTTGAATGTCAATGACTAAGACACGATTTTCGAATCTGTGAACGGATTTTTCCCTTCATTAATAAAAACTCCATACATGTATATTCTTGCATAAATCAGTTCTTATTATAAAAAATCTTTGTTATTGAATAAACCATTGTAAATCATGAATACTTGTCAAACATCAACTGCACGCAATTATAAATATTTATGATCAATAAAAACACTGTAGATACAACAGTAAAGGTTGCAATAAAAGTAAACCTTAAAACTGTTAAACAAACATGATCAAGTGTATAATTTTAAAAGCTCACTGTGTTTCATAAATCAACATCTCAAAAAAATAGATTCGGTTGCGTCTACCTATGTATATATACATTCTTCCTGCGTCTCATTTGCGTATTTTGCTAATTTTCTTACTTTCAAAATAAATTGTTTGTTCAATACAATTAACAACATTTTGCTAGACACACAGCGATTAGTCAAAAGTGGCGTCAGCAAAGAAGGGATGTGATGCATTATTCGACATGTGCCCCTCCCTACCTAAAGTTTTACAGATCCACCTTTTCCTATAGACAAATATAGTTTATAATGAAAAATTCAGCGTCCTACATGTAGAAAATGTCCTCATGTTATTCTGCCTCCTTCATATTTTTCAACAGGTTCTACTGTCCTTTACAATGCAGCTTATTGTCAACAGTTAGAAAGTTGATGTATCAACTTAAAGAGGATTTCTCTTGAATGTTTAGTCATACATTATCGAGGTGCTTCAGTAGCAAATTTTTTATGTTAAGTTAGCAATATAGTTTCAGAATCTCGTTTTACTTTCGATAAATTACCTTGGTTTTAGAAATAAGACTTCATATATGACGACCGTGTGAACAAAATTATGCTTGCATTAGTTCTTTACATGTCACATACTCAACAAACGGATGAGAGATTTAATATAAACAACGCGACCACTTACATATCAGATTAAAAATGGCGATGAAAGTTGATACCTTATTGTAACATCAATTTTTTATCCTTGTGAGTTTTGTTACATAAACACATTTGAATAACGAACGAAGATGAAGAGTGAGTCAGGATCTCCTTCAACAAACAGTAATAAAACACATCAATGACGTCTATGTAGAACATTCTAGTTACATAACTAAGTATTAAAGTATACATCACTGACTAAAAACAATTGTTATAGAAATAAAAATACATAAATAAGAACTTCATGCAGAGTACATAATAACATTGAGATTAGTCAAATTCCAAAGGACTACTGCTAAATCTTATAAAGTTTTACAAGTTTTAACTCAGGAATAGAGAACCGTCTATCTAAAACAGGATTTGAATGCCAATGACTAAGACACGATTTTCGAATCTGTGAACGGATTTTTCCCTTCATTAATAAAAACTCCGTACATGTATATTCTTGCATAAATCAGTTCTTATTATAAAAAATCTTTGTTATTGAATAAACCATTGTAAATCATGAATGCATGGCAAACATCAACTGCCCGCAATTATAATTACTTATGATCAATAAAGACAATGTAGGTACAACAGTAAAGGATGCAATAAAAGTAAGCCTTAAGACTGCTAGATAAACAAGATCAAAGTATAATTTTAAAAGCTCACTGTGTTGCATGAATCAAAATTTCACAAAAATAGATTCGGTTGCGTTCTTCTCTGTGTGTAAATACATCCTTTCTGTGTTTAACATTGGCTTATTTTTCAAATTTTCTTACTTTAAAAAAATGGTTTGTTGTATACAGTTATCAACATTTTGTTAGACACACAGAGATTAGTCAAAAGTGGCGTCAGCAAAGAAGGGAGGTGATGCTTGATTGGACATCCTATTCCTCCTACATAAATTTTCAGAGATTCCCATTTTTTCCATAGAGAAGTATGCTATTTCTCCTCTCCCATACTTTTGAACAGGTTTTGCTTTCCTTTTTTATGCATCTTATTGTCAATAGTTGGAAAGTTACTATATCAATTTAGATATGATTTCTCATGCATGCTTAGTCATACTTTATCGAGATGCCGCTTTAGCTAATTTGTTATGTCTTTAGTGTAAATCTAAAATATCGCTTAATTTTTCTAAAATTACTTCCGTTATAGAAGTAAGACGACCGTGTGAACAAAATTATGCCTGCTTTAGTTCTTTACATGTCACATACTCAATCTTTTATCCTTGTGAGTTTCGTTGCATAAACACATCTAAATTACGATTGAAGATGAAGAGTGAGTCAAGATCTACTTCAACAAGCAATATTATGAAACAATAATGACATCTATGTCACAGTATAGGGAACATACAGTAGGTCCACTTCATGTGCAACTGGCTGCTGTATATTTAATTAGATTACTGGCTGCCGTTAGGCATTTCATCATTCCTTTTGGTCAAAAAAAGCAATTGACTGGCTGCCACTATGGTAAGCACATGCGTAATAAGATATGTGTGTCACGAAAAATTTTAATAGAGTGGCTCTACTGTATGTTCTTCCATAGTGTGTCTATGTAGAACATCTCAGTTATATAACTAAATATACATCACTGACTAAAAACTATTGTTATAGAAATAAAAATACATAAATAAGAACCTCATGCAGAACATAATAACATTGAGATTAGTCAAATTCCAAAGGACTAGAGCTAAATGAAGAAAAAATTCACAAGTTTCAACTCAGGAGTTGAGGATCAACTATCTAAGACAGAATTTGAATGTCAAAGCTTAAGACAATATTTTCGTAAATGCAAATGTTTTTTTCATTTCATTAATCAAAACTCCATACAAATAGATTATCAAGTTTGAAAATTGGTAATTCAGGCATTTAGTACATAAAAAATGAAAGTATCTCCGAATTGTATAAAAATTATTTTATTGAGCTTTCGACTCGTTGCTTATAGCCTTCGTCAGAATGAGTAAATTATCTATATATACGTGCTTTCAGCTTGTAGACGCTTAGACCTCTAATTGGATTAGCGGGTGGGTTAATGTGATTGGATGGGGTGGAATGCATTGCCATGGGTTTTGGTGTATTGTGAATATGATATCGGTGTTAATATTATTAGAGTTTAATGTTGTAGTTTTGGTGTTGTTTGTAGTTTTTTTTGTCCTTTTTCTGTAGTTGTGAGTATATGATGGGTATGTCGATATGTCTATTTATTGTGTCGTTGTCTTTACTGGAGCAAGCTTCTTTAAATTCGCGTCCGTGTTTAGCCTGTGCACGTCCGAGTACTTTAGTTTCTGTCCAGTCGAATGTTTGATTGTTTCCGTGGGTATGTTCTGCCGGTAGTGAGTTCGGATCTCTCGTTTTATGGCGTTTTTGTGTTCTGTGAGTCTTATTTCGATTTTCTTTGATGTTTGTCCTATGTATTGTTTTCAACAGTCTTTACATGGTATCATGTAGATCGCGTCAGTTGTATCATTTTTTTTAAATAGATTATTGCATAAGTCATTTCATATTATAAAAAACCTTTGTTATTTAATAAACCATTGCAAATTATGAATAATTTTCAAACTCCAACTACACGGAATTATAGTTACTTATGATAAAAAACACTGCAGACACAAGAGTAAAGAATGTAATGAAAATAAGATAATGCTTATCTCTGATGTGTAGTAACCATTGAGTTCTATAAAACCTGGAGGGGGAACGTCAACAAAATTACTATAAATTATTAGCGCACGGCCGCGTGGTCAAAAACATGGCGGATTTTGGTGGTCAAAGTCAGCGGAAAGACGCGGCTCATGAAATAAAAATTTTGTCGCCCACCCTGATTTGACCACCACGATTGGGAGTATAGAAAATATCAAACTAAATTAAATACTTCACAACAAAAATCTTATTTAAGCAATTTCTCTGTAGTATGACTTTGGAAATTCACAAAACCTTTAAAATGAAGACAAATAATTTAGCTTGATTTGAAAACTACGACTAAAATGACTTATGACGCTTAAGAAAAGGTTGTAAATTTTGTGTTTAAAGCTTTAACTCTTTTCAATGACTTAAAATCATTTCACGCCTCGCAGAAACCCTCTACCGGTTCATGTGAACAGGCTCTTAGTTTACTGGCTGCCGTTTGCCATATCGTCAATCCTATTGGTCACACAATGAAATAGACTGCCTTCCAATATGGTAATCACATGCGTAATAAGATATGCGTGGCGCGAAAAAATTCAATGGAGTGATTTTTTCTTTGAAGATATGAAAATTCAATCTCTGCCAAGAATATTGGTTAGTTTATGCAAACTTTATATTTGACTAGAGATGGTACATAGTAATTCTCTCAGTAAATATTGATGTTATGCAAAGTTTTTCCTCCCATGACCACCCCTAAAGTGAACCTTTTAAACATGTCAAGAACTTCAGAAAAGTTATTTCTTTTTGTTTTTGAAAGTTAGAACTATGTTGACATTGCAATTTTAGTGGGGTGTCAATTTTAGGATTTTCGTCCCGGATTAAAGAATTGGCACATGTACCATGTTGTTTGTTGTGGTCAGTTTACACCTTCAAGTTTAGATTACTTCTGGCAAACGAAGTGCATACAAACTCTTATACAAGTAGTTCTTGACCACTAACTCATTCATTACACGTTTGTAATTGATCATGCGGAGTGCATAAATTAAATGTTTGTTACTTTTTCAAAACTTGACGTTACTAACGTTACTAACATCCATCTCATTGTTGCTAATACGTAACCCTGAGTTAGCATTGGTTAGTAACAAAGTGTTGCACTACGAGTCTACGACAAAGACACACTATGTTTCACCAATACCAATTTAAAGTCTAATCTCTAACGATAGAGTCTCACGTTTTCAAACGTCCTTCAATATTTGCTAAATTTCAACATTCTACGGTCGTTTACGGCATAAAAACAACAGCTTCCATTACTTAACTTTATAAAAGGTTATTTTATGCATTCACAGAAGCACAATACAAACAAAAATACATTAACGCCAAATTCGGCTTCTTTCTCATGAAAGACTAATTTAAAATCGAAATTCCCTTTGGTTTATTTTTCAAATTAGGCTTGTTTAAGTTTTTTTTGTCTTCTTTGAAAAATCAGAATGAAACTGTTTCCTAATTTTATCGAAAATACTCAAAATAGCTACGATGCCAAAAACAGTACGTTACTGTGTACAAAACAACGCAAATCCAAAAATTAATGTGTGTTGACTGTTGACAGACTTCCCAGTCTCAAAGTGACAACGTCTTTCAATTTGATGACATTGTGTCAACATGGACTTTAATGTCGTGCAGCGCACTCGTTATAAAGTTAAGATGAGTAAGATAAAGCTTGAAAACTTTTTTCAATTTATGTGGTAACAATCAATAAAGATGTTTTTTGCATATCGTTTTAAAAAGTGATGTGCAATTGTTTTCATTTTAGCTAAAACGATGTGTATATTGCACATTGCACACCGTTAATTCGCACAATGGCTGATACACTGCCAGAACAAAATTTAATGAAACATTAACATATTCACTTTAAGTCTTTAAGTATAAAAATGATATTCAAAACAAAGAATAAAAATATTTCAATTTTGTGCATCATCCATATTACCTATAACAAGCTATGTTATTGCTGAAAGAGATGTATAAACTGTTCCAAGATCAAATATTGGTAAATCCTCTTGAACCAAATTGCAAAGCTCTATCCAGTTTAGCTTTCAGTTCATCAAAGTTTTCATAACATGGAAGAACTAACAAATGAAAACAAGTTCTACTTTCTGGGGGCAGATTACGATCTTTTGTTCTGTCAATTTTGAGATGCAGGATTGCACCATTTGCAGGCAGTAAATCACACCCAGTCCAAAAAGACAACAGATCTATAAGATTTCCCCCTAGGAAAGGACAGGTATTAAAGTATTAATATAACTAGTACATCAAACAGTCAAATATTTAAGTTTTTTTGGAGAAAGCAAAGGTCCAATTTAAAAGCAAGAAAATATTACTTACATTGATATTGTTCAAACAGATAAAGTTACTGCTGCTCCAACATATAATATATAATCAGTTGTGGTGCAAATATTAAAAAGCAAACCATATTCACACAAAAAAACATACATAGACTGACTACAACCACTTACAAACTTCCCTGTATCTTTCTACCAAAACACTTACCACTAGTTGTCCCATCAATTAGATCAATGTATTGTTTCAAAAACAACATCAGTTGATTACAAGGAAGGCTTCTTCTTCTTCTTCAATAATTCTTTTTAAGTCGTCTTTATTAATAAGGGAAGCAGTTGATCGTGGAAAAGTTGTGGTTGAACAACATCTTTGTGTTTCTTCAAGAAATCAACCAGTCCAAACTTATTCATTCATTAGCTAGATCTTGCAACTCTGATTTTCTACGGGTAATGACAAAAATGAAAAATAAAATATTTGTCTTTTCACACCACCATTCAGCCTCAATGGAGTCTATGCTACGACCAAAATATAATGATAATCCCATACATGGAACTTGATATAATGATGTAAGTACTTACTGTGATCCAACAATGATGAAACTTCCTCTTCAATGTCTCCCTCAAAAACACTTACAGCTTTTTCTATGACAGTATCATGAAGGTCAGGAAACATTTCATGCAGTTCAGACATTAATGGAGTTCCAGAAAAACTTGCCTGATAAAAAATTATTCATATTATCTGAGATACAAAAACTTTTAATTTTCAAAATAAGTAGGTGAACAAAAACTGTGTGACATTTTCACAGTAAATGTGTAATAGGAATTAATGCAAGCTTATAGCATACATTGATCTTGACCTTCTTAAATTGCTTATGGTGATTGTCCATTCCACATTTAGCCATATGATTCCTGATTGAATTCATTGGAATCTGCACTGAGCAATTTAAGCATTTCACTGTTGGTCCAATAGATATATCCTAGCAAAAACAATGTATGTATACATATAACATTTTCTGTATAATAATTTATTCTTTAAATTACTCAAAGCTATGAATACAGTACCTTATTTTCTGGAGCATCTCCTGCAGGAGCGTGATCATCCGTTTCCAAGGATGAGAAATCTAGATCAGCTTGAACTGGTCTAATATATGCAATTGCCAGCCCTGGGCCAGAACTACCACGAAGAACGTGGACAGAATATCCAATATTTGGTGGAGGGGTAATAAGATACAAATCTTTGGGTGATAAACCACTCCTTAATATCTCAAAACCACCGCCTGATACCAGTCCAGCCGGGGATAGATCTCTTCTAATTTTGCCTTCACTTTGGCTGCACTTGAATCTTTATGGAAAGAAATACGTCTACGTCCAAGACCAGCTTTTTGTAATTTAATTTTTTCCATTCCAGTAGGCACACAATCTTGCTCATGGTTTGTCAAACAAAAAAATCGTAAGTCCAAGTCTCTTGTGGTTTGTAACACCGACCTTGTTGTCCCCACGACTTAGATCGACCACGTTTTGCTGGTGGATAAGAAAACATCTTTCTATTGTTAGCTCGATTATACGTTGCAAACAACCGCCTAAACTCCTCCTCTCTTATCGAACAAGATGATCTTGATGTGGAAGCTTGGGATGACGAAGCCTGATGTTGTTCTGGCAATGTGCTGTCTAGTGTTGACGATTGGACACGTTGAGCAGCTCCATGATTGGCAAGATTACCATCTTGAGCAGTCGATAAAGATCTAAGACTTGCTGATCCAGAAGAGTCTGGATTCAGTAAATTTGCTGCTCGGCGAAGTAAAGCTGCTGCCTCTCGATTTTTCGCTCCATTATCATCCCCCATACCAAAAAAATCGTTTCTTTTGTACAAAATACTAAAGTTGCTTCGAAGGACAAAGATCGTTTTAGTTATTGCATAAAATATTGCAACAGCATAATTTATTGATATTAACAATTTTTGGCGGTAAATAATTATAAATAAATTATAATGTGATTGAGTAAAATTTGATGTTTTGCGAGCCACGAATAATGTTACGTCATCATAATGAAATGTTCAACAACAAAATGAGTTTTAACAGAAATTGTACAGGACAAAATCCGATTATGAAATTCCAGAATGGAATATGATCAAGACAAAATGCACATTGCAATGGACAAAATGCGCATTAGTAATTGAAAATATAGCTATTAATTTTGGGGGAGATCACCCTCCATACAAACCATCTACCATCAAGAGTTCAATCTCAAGAAAAAGCTCTATCTCAAACTATCTACAACCATTACTTTTATGGAGAAGGCATCTTTACATGCTATGGTACGGCGGTCGATGGGAATCAGTCTTTGAGTTTCGAAAAGCACATTCTCGTACTTTACAAGACGGGGGGAGTGGGAGGGCGACACGGCACATCATTTCCATCATTTAACCATATAAAAAATCACTACTCACTTTTTCATCGTTTAAACGAAGAATTCTGGTAAACATAAAAAATAGTAAACTCGTCCAGGCATCCCTGTGACCAACTGACTGTAATTCAATAAACTGCCTTAAAGCTTCATCGCAGATCCTAAAAAGAAAGAAAAAGAAAGAAATCAAATCAAGCCGTCGAGGAAAAGTTTAAATGATTTCTAAAAGTGGGGATGCACATGGTTTGTTGATCTTGCTAATCCCCAGGTGTACCTCAACACCTTTTCCTCGACGCCTTTCCCTGATTCCTTTCTTGCAACGTCATCGTACATGCGAAAGAGAATTCTCAACAGGCGGGCCAAATTGACGTCTCTTGTTTCAATAAATTGGGCTTCGACTGTCTTTTAAAACCTTCAAATGATCAAAGAAATTATTCAGAGAAGTGTATAATGAATGAAGCAAGGGACAAGTTTACTTGTATGTCCGCAATCTTTGTTTGGTAAATCTGGTAAAGAAACTTGGTCACGCTGCATGTGGGTGTCTAGGTATACGGACATGCACAGCTTTTGGAGTGAGTGCCCTAATAGGAAGGACAGCCACAAATTTGCCTTTTTGCTTGAACGTTTTGAATGTGATGTTTTTACTCGTGTATTAATTTTCAATTTAAATAGAAACTGTACAAAAATGTGTCGCTCGTGTCAAATGCTACAATATATTAATGAAGCGTTTACCTGCTTTCCAAAGCGCCGTCCTCAGCTCGTTGTTACAATTGAAGCTTTTAGCAAACTTATACGAGTTCTCCAGCACTTCGCAAAACAAAAAGAGTTGGTTAGTATGATGTGGAAACATTCCGTCGTGAAACACGGTTGTAGCTACATATGGTATTCAAATGGCTATTTTTTAAATAAATAGTCCGACTTCCATTGTGTATATAATAGTGTAATCAGCACGATAGCACTCCGGTGATCACATAGTTCAGTTCTATGATTTCTTTTGGTATTTTGCGAAGAAAAGTAAAATTCGTAAAATTTGCAATTTGGCTATTTTTACACCAATGCCGGCGATTTTGTGAATCACTTTGATCAACCAGGTGATATTGGATTTACTACACCATTGTAGGTGATTTAGAGAACTAGTTTGACCAAACAGGAGAAAGAGGATTTACTACACCATTGCAGGTGATTTAGAGAATCAGTTTGACCAATCAGGAGAAAGAGGATTTACTACACCATTATAGGTGATTTAGAGAATCAGTTTGACCAATCAGGTGAAAGAAGATTTGCTACACCATTGTAGGTGATTTGGAGAATCAGTTTGACCAATCAGGTGAAAGAGGATTTACTACACCATTGTAGGTGCTTTAGAGAATCAGTTTGACCAGTCAGGAGAAAGAGGATTTACTACACCATTATAGGTGATTTAGAGAATCAGTTTGACCAATCAGGTGAAAGAAGATTTACTACACCATTATAGGCGATTTAGAGAATCAGTTTGACCAATCTGGAGAAAGAGGATTTCCTACACCATTATAGGTGATTTAGAGAATCAGTTTGACCAATCTGGAGAAAGAGGATTTACTACACCATTATAGGTGATTTAGAGAATCAGTTTGACCAATCAAGTGAAAGAGGATTTACTACACCATTATAGGTGATTTAGAGAATCAGTTTGACCAATCTGGAGAAAGAGGATTTACTACACCATTATAGGTGATTTAGAGAATCAGTTTGACCAATCAAGTGAAAGAGGATTTACTACACCATTATAGGTGATTTAGAGAATCAGTTTGACCAATCAGGTGAAAGAGGATTTACTACACCATTGTAGGTGATTTAGAGAATCAGTTTGACCAATCAGGTGAAAGAGGATCTTACAAGCCTGCATACAACACATAAGGAACTTTAAGCAATTCAACCCAAGGAAATCGTTTATTCTATAAAGTCTCGTGAGGATAGTTATTGAAATTTTTAGGTGTCTAAAGAAGAAGGAGCCAGTTGTGAACTCGATAAATAGGGAGGTTCACATATTCATGTTTTGCTGTATTAACTAAATTAAAAATATTTCAATATGAGAAATGAGGTCGGTTCATTTTAGTGGTTGGAAACAAGTGAAAAGCCCTAAATATCTTGCTGGAATAATGGCAGTCGATATGCGCGGCACAATATGCTTGAGGACAAAAACATCAAAGATTCAGACATGAGTGACTTTTCTGTATATTACATATTCTGTGTTTCAGCTAAGAACTTTGTTAAGCAACCAAGGGGAACTCTGGTATAACAACATTACGACAAAGCAATTTATCTCAGTATTCCCTACAATGACCGTAATTACAACTGACCTGTATTTCAGCCATAGTATCTTCATCTTCTCGCTTGCTGGTGCTTGGGAAAAAGACGACATTCTCGATCATTTGGATAAGTTCCAATTGAACGACACACTTAATGATCAATGAATTGAACAGCATCCTCTCCGTCTGCACGACTAAAATAATGAGATGATTTTACGACGTTAAAGTACATACATGAAAAAATTAGAAAATGTCACTCGGGTGTTGGTTGAACATTTCCGTATTCACGCTCAGACGATTTTTTCATTTGTTGGTAAAATTGAACTTTTGAAAATGCCAAACAAAGGGCTAATTTATCTTATATGAGGTCTTTTAAAATCAAATAAAATAAGCAACGAATGCAAAAAAAATAAAACAGAAATGAGTTTCTTAAGCTAGTGCTAGTTTTTATGAAAAATAAGTGTTAACAGGAGAAATAGTAATAATTACTAATTAGTAACATTATTAGTTCTATTAGTAACAATTAACAACATTATTGTTTCAAACATTGCAAAAAATGTAAATTTTTAGAACATAAGTAGTTTCAGGAAATGTTACATGACGTTGCTGTTCACTTCAGATTGAGTTTTTCAAACGCATATATCAATTATACGTTTTGCTACGCCTTTCCAATAAACCAATGTAAATTAAACACGTAAATGGCAGCAGGCTGTGACAACAAATTATTAATCTCAATTGATTTCTAACACTTAGTTACCTGGTTCGTGTTCTTCGACAGGTTCAAATCGTAAACTAGGCGTACTATGTAGACTAATGCTGTCTTGTTCTTTGGTTTCTTCAACTGTTTCTTGAGGCATTTCCTCCTCCGTTTCATTCAAACCTTTTAACGATTGCTGACCATCTTGTTCGTCCTCGTCTGAAAAATAATACGGAAAATTTTCACTTGTTACTCAAAGAATGCAAGTTGTTGGTCCATACGAGTTAAAGATTCACACGAGCTATATTGCAATATGCGAACTTTTGTTTCATATGAGCTTTTGGTTCAAATGAGCTTTTTAATATGCGAGCTTTAGCTTAACATGAAATATTTTCCAATCTTATAATTATGGAGACAATTGAAGCAAAAATTTTCCTTCAAAAGAATTCACAAACTTTTTATTTACCTTCCGGATATTTGGGCACGATATCATCCTCCAGGTCGACAGGTGACATTACCTACAATATACGACAATTTTAAGGGTAATAAATACATAAAACAAACAGAATTGTTATGAAAGTTTGTCTATAATTTTAGAGTGTCGGGCTTTAAAACATCATAAAAAATACTAAGGGGCGGATTACACGATCCCGGTAGCCGGGTTCAGCCAAGCGTTAAATCATTTTGGCAAATGGAAACAAATCAATACTTATCATCAAATAAATCTTCTCAAGCAATTTCACAATATTCTGATTTAATAACTACGCAAAAAATTTAAAATTAAAACAACCAATTTGCCATAATTTAAGAATTACAACCGGAATGACGTGTGGAGCTTCGCAAACAGTTGTAATTTTAAACCTTGACGTTTTGCTCGTTTCAATCGCTTGAAATCATCGGGCTAGCTCGCTATTCGGGCCAACTCCCTCCATATAATCAGGCCCTAAGTGTAACTTACCTTGAGTGGTGATGACGCAGGAGGGACATCTGGTGTGGGTAGACTCATTACTTGTTGGTCAGCGGGTCTCCATTTCAATAGTTCGTGAGGTACGGTTGATTCAAATATCGTCTTTACACATTGACATGTCTTTTCCCAGACGTCTTCATAGAACGTGTTGCCATTGGATATGACGAAATTTTCCAAACAATTGGTACCAGACCTCGCTAACTGCTCGTTATCTAAAGACATGTATTGAATGAGCGAGCAAAGCAGGACATTGTGTTACAAAGCATTTACAGTCGAACCTGTAAGAAACTCTGATACTTCTTTTATAGTAATGTACCTCAAACCAAACCAATCAAAAACTCACATAGTTAAACCAATCACACACTCTCATACTTTAAACCAATCACAAACTCTGACACAACGAACCAATCACCAAGGCAAATGCCAAGCACAAACACGTTGCGTAATGTCAAGCTTACCTTGTTTGACACACCACTCTAGATGACCATACATATCATCAAGAAGAATTTCAGCAAGAATATCAAAATACTGAGTAAAAACATCGATGATAGCATATAGAGCGAGATTAAAAGTTGTTGTCATCCATTCTGATTTCTATAAACATCACAAATTTCAAAACATTCTCAGCTGATGTCTCATTTTATAACAAGGAAGTACAGCACCTTATACACGGACTTTATTCTATGAAAAGGAAACGACTTTCCCACAGTTTAACATTATTCCCTCCTGATTTAAAGGCAAAAGCATTCTTTACAGTTACGAGGAAATAATCCAGATAAATATTAGACAATTTCATTCATGAAAGTTAATGTTGAAATGACACGAAATAAATATCGTAATAAATATCAAAATATAAAAAGTCTAAATTAAAAGACTTTTACACTTTGTTCATATTATTGAAATATATTAATTTTAAAGAACATCTTTATTCAATCGTACAAACTTTAGATCTAAACAGAAAATGCGACAAGAAAAATTGTGTTTAGTTATATTATAGTTTACTTTATAATTTAACGTTGTATTAAAAATTTTAGTTTATTCATAAAAAATTTAGATTATTTCTGTGATAACTTGGTATCATATAGTGCCTAAAGTAAAAGATAATTAATGTACTTACTGGTTTGAATTCTTTGCTTTTCTGCCATTTTCTTGATATTTAAGCTGTAAAAAGAAAACATTTGAATCATTTTAGAAGCAACCCGAGTTTAAAAATAGTAAATTATTAACACAGAAAGACGCAGATCTTTCAAAGAAAAAAGAAAGATAGAAAACTTTTTGCCATAAACTAAATGATACACTGATATGTATAATATATGGATAGTATTCATTGTTAAAAATTTAACGTGAAGTTGAGCAGAGTGTATGCCCCACATTTCTTTAAATATATATTGACGATGCGATCATTTTCTGCTTTCATGCGCTTTATATGTTTCCTATCGCTTTTGCTGATCTTGAACATTTAAAAAACATGAAGTGATACTTCTAGTGAAAAAATCAGATCTTATTCTTGTTCATGCAAAGCTACTGAAAATGGGATGTATAAGCTTGTACAAGCCGAGAAAACATAACTTAAGGGGTTGAAATTCTCTATCGATCTTCCTGTCCAATTGATAAAAATTTTGCTTCAATCAGTGCTTTGTAAAAGAAATAAAAACGCGAAAACTGTGAGTTTCTACAACAAAAGTATAGTAAAGTGGGTCCTACAGCCCCCCACGAAGGTCATAAGCAATTGCGCACACTTCCGGCTTCAATTTTCCTATATTTTATACATGGTGCGCTATCCATATATTATAAATATCAAAGGATTTATACCTTACTTGTTGACGAAGCACTGATTGGCTAAAAAATTAAGAAAGACAGCCAATTGCAAACTATTTTATAACAGCCAATACGCAACGGTGAACATTTAACGAAATACGAAGGAGGGGAGAGAATGAGGAGACATGTGACTCAGTTATATGGAAAGGAAAAGATATCCTTGAGTTTCTGTATCCAGAATATATATTTATCTATAGTATAGCTCATGTACTTCATATGTTTTATAGATAAACTAAAACGTCCATTTCAATATAAGACAGTTTCATTGTTGCATACAGTACGTATAACATTTTAATAAGTTTAAAAATCCACTATTCAGTCTAACGTAATCATGGTTTCGTGCTATAAGCCATTGAACTAAAATACATCTGCAACGCTACCTGTAATAGAAAAGTCTAATAAATTCTTGAAGCTAAATTTTACACACAGACACGCGTGTGTAGTCAATCAATTTTCAGAATCTCGAAACATTACACACGCGTGTCTGGGTGTAATCTCGCGTGTCTGGGTGTAAGATTTGGATTCAACTGAAGCAAATCTTCAGGTAACGTTCCATGTATTTTAGTTCAATGCAACAAACACAACCCTGTGAAAACTATATATTTATACACAACTTAACTTTATATACTCACTCTATTTGTTGGTGCTACAAATGCATCTATGACCAACCATTTTTGCGTCAAGATTTCAACATCTATCTGTCAGAGGTTCAGGAATACGTAATTTGACTTCAATCTTTCCACCAATCACCTTGCGACCTTTCTCGGGATCCATAAGCTGCAATTGTAATTAAGTCCACTTACGACAGCAATCGTTCTTACGTACGTAAATTTTGAATCAAGATAACATGTATTTTAAGTGACATTACATGTGATGTGTTTATTAAATAATGGAGGTCTAACTGGAAAACTAGTTCTAGTCCTTTTTCTGCCTTTACAGATCATGTGGCAGACATTAAGAAGATGGTGAAGTCTGAAATGCTACATTGAGTAAACATGCCTATATTTGTACAAAGCTTATACTATACGCGTATAGTTCGGCATTTTAGCTTACCGAAATGTTGTCTTCAAATTTTAGCGGGTGGATGGCCGTCCAGTTATATATAGTTCAATGATTTAAAGGGGTAGTCTGACCTTAACACAACTTTCGCTCATATGAAAGTGTATATTGTTCTTACCTCTCTCACGAAATCCTAGGTTTCCAATTCAAATTTAACTCGAGAAATAATGCCTTAAATGTGTGTATTTTTGCCTCTTGTTCGATCGCCATTGTGTACATGCAAGCGAAGCCGCAGTCCAGCAGCGGTTTTTCGTCGTGACGTCACTGCGCGGTGATCGTTGTCAACATTAGACAAAATATACTAGCAAAAGTAGAAATTACGCATAAGCATATTCATCGTTGCATTTTATTTTCTAAGTTTTTAAATTATTTTGCGCAATGGATACGGATTACTCAAACGATTCCTCTAGTAATTATTCTGGAAGCAGTGTTTCAAACTACGAAGAAATGATTAACGATCAAAACATGATTCAACCATATGCTTATGAGCCGATTGAAACAGACTCGAGCGACGAGCCTATGGACGACTCCGACGAAGTTCAGCTGTTGTAACAATGAATGAAGACTCAGCACAATTTGAGGGAATAGATACTCCGGACTGTATTACAGATAATCCTGTTTTTCGAAATCTTTGTTTAAATTATTGGGTATTACGACTGGCATGGAGTGAGTACAAACAACACTATGGTTCAAGAGCTGAAGAAGGACCTGAAGACAAAAGACAAAGACATGTGGCTTACAGGCAACTGGTTCGATGGTGTTGGAATGTATTGGGCAACGAAATTAGAGTACCACTACCATCTTTTGCTGTTAGCTACATTCGAGCACATTTCCAACCACCAGGTCTAGAAGAGGACTTTGTCTTTGAGGGTTTTAAATTCGCTGATGAATAATAATGGAGTGTAAACTATTATAGCCATATTTATAAGTATCGTTAATGATGAATTACTAATAAATAAAAATATAAATTGGATTTAGTAAATGAACAATAAATACAAATTATAATGGCCAAGCCAAACCAATTCTTTATTTGTGCTATGCAAGGATTTTGGTGTACATAATTAAAAAGTGCCTTTGCTAATGAATTTGCATAGCAAAACAAAAAATTGTGCTACTTTACTATTAGAGATTCTCTTATTATTGTGCTTTTATAATACTTTCTTTGTTTGGCTTATCTATATATGCAATATTTTCTTGAAATGTTTGCTGATAAAGAAATCTTGTTATGTACATTTTTTACATTAAAACAGCAGACATCTTCCATCATACCTTGCACAAAAGAATATGACTTACTCGCCATAATTGGCTTGGCTACCCAATTTTCTCGCCCTTTTGGGAACACGATATTATATCACTTTTCCCCTTGCTGCTTTCCACATTGAACTTGTGCTTGTTTTCTGCCAGTGTTTACATTGTGGTCTATCACTGCCAACTTGGTTCTTGCAAGCATACCTTTATACAAAAAGCACTTTTAATAAAGTATTTTCCCTCCTTCCACTTGTGCTTATCATGTTCCCAAAAGGGCGAAAAAATTGGGTAGCCAAGCCAATTATGGTGAGTAAGTCATATTCTTTTGTGCAAGGTATGATGGAAGATGTCTGCTGTTTTAATGTAAAAAATGTACATAACAAGATTTCTTTATCAGCAAACATTTCAAGAAAATATTGCATATATAGATAAGCCAAACAAAGAAAGTATTATAAAAGCACAATAATAAGAGAATCTCTAATAGTAAAGTAGCACAATTTTTTGTTTTGCTATGCAAATTCATTAGCAAAGGCACTTTTTAATTATGTACACCAAAATCCTTGCATAGCACAAATAAAGAATTGGTTTGGCTTGGCCATTATAATTTGTATTTATTGTTCATTTACTAAATCCAATTTATATTTTTATTTATTAGTAATTCATCATTAACGATACTTATAAATATAGCTATAATAGTTTACACTCCATTATTATTCATCAGCGAATTTAAAACCCTCAAAGACAAAGTCCTCTTCTAGACCTGGTGGTTGGAAATGTGCTCGAATGTAGCTAACAGCAAAAGATGGTAGTGGTACTCTAATTTCGTTGCCCAATACATTCCAACACCATCGAACCAGTTGCCTGTAAGCCACATGTCTTTGTCTTTTGTCTTCAGGTCCTTCTTCAGCTCTTGAACCATAGTGTTGTTTGTACTCACTCCATGCCAGTCGTAATACCCAATAATTTAAACAAAGATTTCGAAAAACAGGATTATCTGTAATACAGTCCGGAGTATCTATTCCCTCAAATTGTGCTGAGTCTTCATTCATTGTTACAACAGCTGAACTTCGTCGGAGTCGTCCATAGGCTCGTCGCTCGAGTCTGTTTCAATCGGCTCATAAGCATATGGTTGAATCATGTTTTGATCGTTAATCATTTCTTCGTAGTTTGAAACACTGCTTCCAGAATAATTACTAGAGGAATCGTTTGAGTAATCCGTATCCATTGCGCAAAATAATTTAAAAACTTAGAAAATAAATTGCTACGATGAATATGCTTATGCGTAATTTCTACTTTTGCTAGTATATTTTGTCTAATGTTGACAACGATCACCGCGCAGTGACGTCACGACGAAAAACCGCTGCTGGACTGCGGCTTCGCTTGCATGTACACAATGGCGATCGAAAAATACACACATTTAAGGCATTATTTCTCGAGTTAAATTTGAATTGGAAACCTAGGATTTCGCGAGAGAGGTAAGAACAATATATACTTTCATATGAGCGAAAGTTGTGTTAAGGTCAGACTACCCCTTTAAACACAGTTTCTGCAATTATTAATTCATAAAGTTCAAAAAAATACCACACATTACTTACATTAAGACATTCGTGAATTTCACATCTATTATCAAACGGTGATAACTTAAGAGAAGCTTGAGCCAGCGTCTTGTCACCTTTCAGAAATCCTCTAAATGGTTTGAACATTTACTGACGATAAAAAATATTTCACATAATGTAAAACAATGAAACATCCATCTCACGTACGACAAACCTGTTGTATTTTATTTCAAATTTCACACTTTGTCGTCGAAATATTCTCACCAACGATCTGTTTTTTTCCGTCGATAGATATCTTAAACTTTTGATCAAATTCTATACGAAAAAACAGCGTAATTGATCATCGATGTAGAATAATGAATTTAATGAGGAGGGAAGGTTCTAGCATATCAAAAAAGCTTACAACCACAACATTGGATATTATTGACGTCTCGAGAACTGAAGTATAACGACCATTCTGTCCCTTGTAAAAATACTCCTCTCCAGTCCCCATGGCCACTCCAATAACCACAAAATAGGTTATTAATGACGTCACGAGTACTTAAGTAACACGACCATTATGTCCATAGCATTGAACTAAAATACATAGAACGCTTCATGTAATAAAAAACCCTGATAATTTTTTGAAGCCGTGATTTTACCCCAGACACGCGTGTGTAGTCAATCAATTATTACTCCGCGATAGAATCTCAAAACACTAAACACGCGTGTCTGGGGTAAAATCTCGCGTGTCTGGCATAAGATATGGCTTCAATTATTTGCTTGAGGTAGCGTTCCACGTATTTTAGTGGTCCATAGTAAAGCAACTCCTCCCCAGTCCCCACTCACCCCTCACTACAAGATCATGCAGGGATCCAATTCTGTATGATATCATTCATTTCGAATAAAACTTACCAGGATTAATGTTGTGTTTGATGGTTTCCGTGAAGCCAGTTTGAGGTTGATCCTAAAGTTGAGTGATTTTAAAATTTAGTGTAGACAAATAACATTGATTTAAGAAAAAGTGAGAAAGTGTTTGTTACATGAGCAAAATCTGTCGTTTGCAAAACATAGAATTTGTTCAACGGTAATGAGAACAACTGCTTGAACAATGATTTTATTGTCTAACAAAATTGTTAACAATGCTTCCATTGTTTGTCACAATTGCACGCTCTTGCGTTGAGTCTAATCATGCAAAGATGTCAATTCACAGTCATGTTGGTGAATCATTGTAGTGTAAATGGGATTGTTTTTATAAAATAAACACAATAAAACGCGTGCGCTGATTGGTCTAGAGCCGTGTTTGCATTAGCCTGTGCAAAACACATCTGAGCTCAACCAATCAAATCAATCAAAACAATTAATCAGTCAAAGAGAATTGGCAAATCGATCATGAATACATTTTAGAGGAAAAATTAAAATGTTTGTCTTTTTTCGCATTATTGTTATTTTATAAAAGAAATAAAAGATGTTTTTCGTGTTTGCACAGGCTTATGCAAATCTCGGAGACGTTTGTGAGAATTCTCGAGCTTGTGCAACCCTCGACCTTTGGTCTCCGGCTTGCACTGATCTGCTCTCAAAGGTCTACTTGGTTTGCATAAGCCTGTGCAAACACAGTAAACATCTTTTATTTCTTAAATGAAACATAAACCAACTTACGTTTGGAAAGGGAAATTCATAGGACACATACACTTTCATATCGTCTTTGTTGTAACCTTGAAGTATATTGAAATTTTTTAAAGATTGATTTTTAACGTTTATAGATGTATGTATCAGATCAAACATCCATTGTTTGACCTGACACTTATTATTCCTCTAGACACCTTATTAATCCTATAGACACCTTATTAATCCACTATATTTTATCTAAATCCTAAGGACAAAGGTTTTAAACCAATTCAACAATAATGAAGAAAAGACATATTTACCTGAAGGAAGTGGAATATTGATGCATTTGACGATTCTTAATACACAATCCTGGTCACCCAAATCTGTATTCGATCTGTCAGGTTGAAAACAAAATAAACATAAAATAATTATGTTAGTGTTCGTTGCTAAACTGTCAGGTTGAAAATAAAATAAACATAAAATAATTATGTTAGTGTTTGTTGGCTAAACTGTCAGGTTGAGAATAAAATAAACATAAAATAATTATGTTAGTGTTTGTTAGTTAAAGGTGTTCGTGAAATTACTGCACTAAAAGCAACAAATAAAACTAACTTTACATACAGTAGCGTAGTCAGTCTTCGAATTTAGTCACTCTAACCAAATGTTAGAACATTATTATTTGTAAACTTAATGTTGAGGTGTTGATGGTTTAAGTAGGTAAGAATGAGTTGCACAGGGTTTAGATAGGTGAGAAAGGGTTACAAAAAGTAACATGACTTGACTCGTGGGTGTCGAATGGCGAGTGACACGCGATGCAGCTGCGAGTTACTCTCGAATGTGAGAAGTTTGCTAGTGAATCTAAATAACTCGCAAAAATTCCTTTCTGCACTATTTGAAATTGACAAACATAAACTTAAGTGTAGTGACAAGTAAAATTCGTTCAACACTTTGAAGGCAACGGTTTTATATCTTTTTATGAAACATGGGAGCAAAACGACTATTCATTTGAAGCAATATCTCGGGACCTAATGACGTTAAAATCTTTTGAATTTTTTTACAAAAGCATTTTAATAACTTCACATTTTCCATGGCACAAACGTTATTCGTAAAGCGGTAGAGACCATAGAGAAATGTAAAGTAAATGGCACGCAATCAATGAGTAAATCGAAATAGCGCTCAAACATTTTCTTCTAACAGTCTTAGATTATGGACATATATAATCTTAGGAAAGAATGCATTCAAAAAACGAATATTCTTTAAAGTCAAATATTTAAGAAATGTAGCTATGCGATGAGTGTACGTATAATCTTTTGAATTCGATTCTGAAAGAACTTCGTTGACCTGGAGTTTTGGATGTAGTCGCTATTGATATAAAGGCCATAGACATTTAATAGCAAGAACGATATAAGACCACGTGTATAGTAAATGGCTAGAACTTTTGCGATTCACTTGCCAGTAGAAATGTTTCAAATATGAGATTGGTTTCTGAAACAATTTCATTGACTTCACGTCAACAAAAATGAATGAGATGGTGTGATTTTACTTGTCACTACACTTAAGATTATGTTTGTCAATTTCAAATATTGGAGAAAGAAATTTTTGCGTTATTTCGATTCACTTGCAAACAGCGAGTCACTTATTCACTCGCAAACTTCTCACACTCGAGAGTGACTCGCAATTGACTCGCCATTCGATACTCGCAGGTCAAGTCATGTTACTCGAGGTCGGTACTGTAGGGTTTAAATACATAGGTAAGAAAGGATTGCACAGGGTTTGGATGGGTAAGAAAGCGTTGCACACAATCACCATGAATCTTCTCCTTCTTCCTCACCCTAACAAATCCCTTACCTTAAGTATTATCAAAACCCTATTTATCCTAACCTCACCCCACAGTGTCCAACACGGAAAGAAATTACGCCAAATTATGAAATCTCAATTGACATTAAGAGCAGAATGTAAAACGCTATTTCTAGTTCAAAATTTACTCAAAATCCACTCAAAATAAAATAAAAGAGAAAATACATTCACTCAATGGTTTTTAAAGATTAAAATAAACACAGTAAGATAATAATCACCTGACGTTATGAAATGTTCTGTTTTCATAATGATAACGTGGAGGAGGATTACCATGTTTGAAAGAACTTTGTAAAGAATCGTAATGATGTCGAGAATTTATCGCCAATTTCTCAAACCTTAAATAAAAGTAGAAATAAGTACAAAATATCTCAAATGTTTGGAAAGGTTCTACTTTGTTGTGATTGTAAGCTCCCCCTCATTCTGTAAAATCCCCCCCCCCTGCAAAAAAAAAACCGACAGACAGAAACAAATCAAGATTTCACCTCTATATAAATGTGCCAGAAGGACTGGGTCCAGTTATGTCACGATTATGTACACGCCCCAGGGTGGCAGCAATAACCTGAAAAAAATGAGCAACTAAAAACATTACTTTGGACTAATCCATGATGACAATACACAATTGACATTCACACACAGACAAATTTCCTGTACACACAATATATGATGACGTATCAACCTGACAACAAATATGGAAAACCTGACTTTTACTCCTCACTTTATTCTGGAGATGACTACCACTAAGAATTACAAAACATCAATTAACATCAACAACAACAATCCTTCTCATGAATGCACAAATCTGAACAATCTACATATACAAACATGTAACAATACTCCCAGGTTTAAATCATTCACTTTATTTTAACCAAACTATTATATATTAGTACAGACCAGTGTCTACTGATATGAATGTCATCTTTAAAATTTAAAATTTTACTAGACAAATTAGAACAGATAAATAAACTATATATTTAGAGTGTGAATATCTGAGAATGCAGACAAGAAAATGTTTTCAAATGTACTTCATTATCAAATAATGTATTGATAATATGTACAGTAAAATACAGATTTGTGTTTGTATTCATGTCTTTTAGTATTTCCAGTAATTTATCACTTATGACATAAGTTTAAAACTATGTCTACATCAATGGAATGGAATTTGAAACCATATCCATATGAAATTACTTTTATAGAAAATTGATCGATGGTATTTCAAATATTAGTTGTTTACATAAATACCTTGGTAGAAGCGTTCAAACTTTGGAGGTATTTGTCTTCTTTGGCATAAGAGAAAACTTCAAGCAAAGTACATATGATCAAATATGGTTTATTACATTGAAACAAGAAGGAAAAGTTTCTCCCTCAAATAAAAATGCAAATACAAACTAGAAACAGGAAACATTGAGTTTGCGTACTTCATATAAGAAAAGATATAATATCTTTTAACAAAGGCTTGTTTGATGAGGTGTATAGGCTTCTCTGCAGTAGGTTAAATTAATTTCTCATTTGGCATTTTCCATTTTTTGTTAACTACTTTCAGTAACATATGTTAGTTAAGTTTTAGGGGTTACAAACGTCGGTATCTTTGGTTAAAATGGTTGAACGAGCATACAGATTTTGTTCGAGTGGTCTTCTTTGATTTTGGTAAAACCTTTGATTCAGTTTCAAATAACGTCGTAGTTTAAAATTTTTCTTTTCCAATCTGACTCCGGTTACTTGGTGTCTCTTGCTTTTTTGTTGATCCCACAAGTTTTTATGTTTCGTGCAATTACTTAGCGACATTTTTTTCTTTTAGAAATTCAATGAACGCTTTTTAAAATAAACTATTGTGTTGTAATTTTTCTTTAGAAACTGAAATATTTTAGTATGCCTTTAAAAAAAGCGAGTGAAAACCAACTATTTACTTGCAGCACTTGACCACTTACATTGACAACAAAAAATTGAAAGATTTAATCACAAAATCCTAGTTTTTTATCTTCAAATTGTAGAAATAGACCACTGTGATCCTTCATAATAACCTCATACTCATGCAAACTAAATTTAAAACTTGTCTACTCTACTTACGAACTTTAAAACCTGGATCATATTCTTCCATTCTCCTCTTTTGCATTTGCCTCTTTTCCATATTTGTAGAATGTAGTCAGTTTTCATAGTCCAACATAAATGTTCATACATGTTATACAATGTTCTTTTCATAACTTTTTATCATTCCATTTGTGGTGTAACCTTAATATTTAATCTTTTCTGAACATATTTCCCATTCTAAATTTAACTCTTTTAGTCGCGAATAGTAAAATCCTTCACATTACGAAGGTGTTAACAAAACCTGTTACTTTAAAGTAAATGGTTTGAACCCGGGAGTATCGTTACATGTTTGTAAATGTAGATCGTCCTGGTTGGTATAGTCCTGAGAAGGACTGTTTTTGTTGTTGTTGACTGACGTTTCGACAAGGCTGTTCTCGGGACTGGTATAGTCCTGAGAAGGACTACCGTTAAGGTTGTCGAAACGTCAGTCAACAACAACAAAAACAGTCCTTCTCAGGACTATACCAACCAGGACGATCTACATCTACAAACATGTAACGATACTCCCGGGTTCAAACCATTTAATTTAAAACGTTTATTGTTGTGAACGTTGTATTTCCATCAACATTATAATGATAAATTTTATTTTAAAAAATGAAAATAGAAAGTGAAGTTTATCATTCTTCAATATTTTTATCAAAAAAATTTTACTCGAAAAGACTCAATTCTTCAGTTCGAATGAACTTGTGTCAAAATCATAAAAGTTTTATTCATTAATTTTTATCACAGTTATTGACATGACGTCATGATGATGTTTTTACATACGGGAATTGTTGACAGTATAAAACATTTTCTATCTTTAAGGTCATATGTACATAATAAACGTACAAAAATGATCTCTCACATTTTTCAACTAATGACCATAAAACCCAATGATATGACATGATATCATGATGGTGTTCTATAAATGTGAATTTTTAACATCATACAAAACTTGTTTCTACAATATTAACATGCGTAAGGTAAATTTTATTTACAGTTTTCGAAAGAATGTTCAAAGAAAGTCACTCTATAATTTAAACAAAATAATTTTCATCTATAACGACACCATATTGTCAAATGACTCACAATGAATGAGTTGTCGACATTATTTCATTTCTATGTAGTCAACGTTTAATATATAATAAAAATAACCAAATTATCTGACCATACATTTGTATTAAAAAGTAAACCATCAACATAAAGTTCGTCCAGAGATCAAAGGTTTTTCACTTTTGGTAATTTTCACATGTAAAACAAGCGACCATCCTTACGACAATCAACATCTTCGTGTGATATATGAAATATTCCATTCTCCAAAGCATATTTAATCAAAGCAGTGTTCATCTGATCTTCAAAAATGTTCATCGACTTGATGTGTTCAAACACTTTCTCACAAGCATGCCATAAGAACGTATGACCATTTTTGGGATCAACTGTAAACTCGTGCTCTTCATAACCATCTGATTTTAACCAATCAATGAGAGATTTGTGATACACGGTCAAATAATCATCTTAAATTGGAAAAAATTGAGATAGCACTTCATGTATTTTAATACGATCTTTAAGCTTCATGTCATCAGGAAAACCTAAACATTGAAAAAGAAAAGACAAAGGCAAAGTACTTTGATAAGTCACCAACACTGCAAGACATTCCGTAAAGTTTTTATCGGAAATAACGGTTTTGTGTGTTGATAAAATTGTTTCTTTCAATAATTTATTTAATCTCTTGAATTGTTCTGTGTAAAATTTACTCAACCCAGTAGGAACCAATTGTTTAATATTCTCGACAGTTAGCTCCGTTTTTTCTTTTTTTTAACTCTTTTGTGCGTGGTAAGCGTACAGAAACGAACCCTTGCATTTTTCAATCAATAGAAATAGAGCGTAGCGATATCCTTGCACCCGATTATTCAAAATGTACTCAACCCATTCAAAACCAGAACCGTCAAAATTAAACGTCATTTGACGAATAATTTAACAAACAATTGCTGATCTGATGTTCATATTTACCCATGCTATGTAACTGTGTTCCTGACTGCGAGAATAATAGTTTTTTATTTGAAATTTACTGAAAAGGATTAAAATTTACACATTTCATTATGGCATTAAAATTTCTAAAGACAAGTCATGCACTAAGCATGAAATTTGACTTTATGACATACATACAAAGGTTAATCTTATTTGATCGCTATACACACATCACGAAGAACAACAGGCTTATTTACGTACCTTATAAGATGTAGAACACCTTATTTTTATCCTCAAACTCTCAGAGATTCATCCTATTTGTGCCTGCTAGGTAAATTCTTTGATAATAACGCGTTCACCAACTACCTTGTTGTCAAATGATTCGTGTGATGGTACATTATTGGAATTTTCTTTGTGATGCAAGGATGCGTTTCAAAATAAGTGGCCTGGGACGGAGAGGAAAGAAGCGCTTTTATGAATTGCAGAAGAGTTTCGCAAGAAGCCGCTCAAAATATTTCGATTTCCAAATTAGTTGACTCAAATGGAAGTTACTTCTGAGAGAGTGATTTGTTTCAAAGGATTCTTATTTCTAATAGTTGTTTTAGCATTGGCTAAATTTTAATCCATGCAATATAATAGGTATTTTTCAATACAGTAAGTTGCATTTATGGTTACAGAATAATTTCTTTACAGAGTTTTTCGAGAGTTTTAGGTAATTTGTTTGATGTATTCTCTTAAAACATAGTTACGATAATCTTACAAAATTCTAAATATCCTATAAACATAATGACGCATTATAATGAAAGTAATCATCAACTAATACCATTTTCCATGGACGATAATGTGACTGTGAAAGATACAAACAAAGAGGGCCGTAACTAGAGCGTTATTTGTGTTGCTTTTTGTTGTTTTTAGGTTTGGTTTTGTACGTCTTTTTTGTGAGTGGGGGGTATTTACTTATATATTCAGTTGTGCAACCAGAGCAGGACTGCTTTCTTTTAAAAAGTTCGCACATAGATTTCTCTTGAGTTAAAATTTTTTCAAAATGAAATCAGAAGGACACAACTGAGAGTATGAACCCCTCCCTCCCCCCGCCCCCCCAAGCAATTAACGCTCTAGGACCGACAGCTTTGCAAGCAATAACAACTGAGTATAACGACACCAGGAGAGACCATTTCAGTACCAAATTTTCAGTACGTAAGCACAATGTAAACTTGTAGTAAAGCCAATTTTAATATTCGGTTATTGGTCTACATTTGAGAGATGGTGTTACAACATAATTTTTAGGATATACGATATCTGTCTGCTAACTTAGCAACGCAACTTCCACCAAGAACAATCATTCAAAATGTGTATGACAAAAAATATATAGGAATTTCTCATTAAGATATCGGCTCAGCAGTTGAACTCATTGTCTGACAAAATTAATTAATTCAGTCTCACAAATCGGCTTAAAAGTAAATATTTTGACGAAATGTAAGATCTTCCCAAAAGATTTCAATTTTCGAAGTTATGCAAGCCAAATTGAAAACAAGAGCTCATTACCGCATAAATCACCAAAACTCTGGAAGAGTATTCCATCATTTTGACGGAAAATTTAAATTGTTTAACATCGAGGGTTGGAAACATGTATGACGTTAGCAGAAAATTACCGCTGACCTGCGTTGTGACCGAATCCAGTGTCCTACACTAATACTATCAAGCAATTCTACTGTGTTTTGTCACGACCATAAATAATTCTTTCGTAAACTCGTTGTTTTCCATGATGATAAAGCAGCCTTCAAACTTAAAGAAGAAAACACCTCCGAGACGAGCCTATCGCTGCTGGACGCGTAAAAGTTGGGAAAAAGGGCATGTTTGGAAAGAAAAAGATCTGGTTATTGACTAAATGCTGTCGGATGAAATAGCTAGGTGAGCGATAAAGAATTTTCGCTCAAAATATGAAGATTATTACAATTCAACAATGACGTTTTCAGAAGGAACAAAGTTGACGTTTGTGATGAACGAAACAACAATGAAAACCTGACCGAAATAATATGACGTCAATTGCATCGATCAACGACTATCATCTCAGAAACAATCTTTTTTGAAAAAGCGATCAAGATGTTTACGATATTGCATTCTATGCACATTTTACAAGTCATTCAGCTTTATGCAAGTTTTGCTGCATTTAGCTCCTTTGAAATTAATAGCTTTTAAGGGTAACATGAATATATGATTCCTCTTTTATTGTATGGGCCCGTCCAAACATGTACGTTTTACGATTCCAAAACTTTTCGTAATAGTGGATTGTTTTTACAAAAATGGCATACATTCGTAAAACAATCCAGGTACTGATTTTCATATTTTTCTTAAACTTAGTAAGTTTATCAAACTTCTTTATTTGCAATGCTGCTTAAGATCGACTTAAGATTGACTGACAAGATGTCTCAATAAGCGTTTACATACATATTATCGGTATAAATTATGATTGGGACGTTTGCGCATACGCGTGCAGTTACATTAGAAAAGGTAAATAAATATTCGAAATAAATAATAATAAAAATAGAAATGATTATTCATGAAGAAAAGATATTTTATCCACCAGCAGATCCAATTCAAAACATTCAGAAACAATCTTATGTCTCATTATTTCTTGTCAATGTTAGTAGAAACTTGTGCTATCGTTTGGTCTTGTTCCGATGACATTGGATTGCTGCTTAGATCTCTGATCTGAAGTATTCACAATCGTCCAATTTAACAGCAGTTAAAGCTTTATCTAATTTCAAACATATGAAGGTCTTCATACGTGGACCTTCAAATATCACATTATCACCATCACCCTCACCATCACCCCCACGATCACTTTCAATATCACTATCATAACCACCATTATCACCACCACCATCACCACCACCACCATCATCAACTCCATAATCATCATCATCATAACCATCATCATCAACATTACCACCATCACCACCATCATCATTATCAACATTACCACCATCACCACCATCATCATCATACACATTACCACCATCAACACAACTACTCTCACCATCATCGACATCATCATCATCATGTATTTCACATACACCATATGCAAATGGCTGCCAATTTTCTTGTTCATCCAAAAAATAAACAAGTACACCAGAGTCACCTTTTTTTAGAAATTGGCAATTACTTCTGACCTTCACTGCATTTCGAAAAATGATTTCTCTCTCTTTTTCATTTGAAGACTTTGTCAAGTGAGAACAACATCGTTCACTTATAAATGCAATGTTATGATAATCTGTACGAACTTTCACAGATTCATCTCCATTTTCGATTCTTTCGTAAAGTTCTTCATTTGCCTGATCTAAAGTCAAGGCAAAATCTTCCATGTCATCTCCTCCATAAAAATGAAAAAAACGTTCATCACCGATGAAAATTCTCACAATATCAACTTCTCCGTCAAAATGACCAAACACGCCATTAGGAAAAGAGGGAAGTAGAAATTCATTACCACTGTTTGGTAGTTTGTAAAAATAAGCTGTACCTTCATTAAGGTATTGAACGGCACCGCGAAAGGCCAAAAAGGCATTTTCCTGGTTAAAAGCCAATGCACTGTCCACCATGTCACTTGCGCCATAAGCAACATGTGCGCATGTCAAGGCGTAATACTTCTTGTTTTTTGCCACAGAACATTGTCATTGTACCATGAGAGCTACTGGTTGATTGGTTTTCCAAAACAACATCATTAGGGCTTTGCATTGGATTTGGTGCATCATCATTTTGAACAGCGCGGAAGTTTGATAAATATCGAATCTTTGGTTTTTTGTAAGGTTTACGCCTGATTTCAATGAATTTTGATGCTTCCCATTCAAATATCTTGTCAATTTCTTTCTTTAAATCTTCATCGGACCTTCCTTCATCACCATCAACTGTGATATACAAATGAGGATATGGTATAATTTTGTTTTTTGTAACTGTTCCATAGTTGCCACATATCCAAGATATGCTTTATAATAAAATGAAAAATAGGATAAAGAATCTAAATTAAAAACAATGTGCTTATCAGTATCTATAAACATTTGTTATCCATTCATATACCCAGTTTACAGCTAACACAGACGATGACAAAGAATTTTGTTTTTCTAAACATACCTTTTGAATTTTTCATGTATGTCTTTTTTAATGTTGTAATGTTCATCAAGAAATTGGCTTTTCAAATTAAATTCTATGAAGAAATGTTGAATAATTGTTGATCAGTTTTAAATAAGGGAAGACAATTAAGGAAAGAAGTCTAGGCATCAGATTCTGGAAGAGTTGTGGAAGAAGTCTGGGCATGAGATACTTGAGGAGCTTTGGGTTTGTTAACGTAACTGGCTGACAACCTAAATTTTACGTAACTGATCGGTCCTTCGCTCGACATAGTAGATGAAATGAAATTTAAATTTTATGGTAAAAATGTGTTGAAAGTTTTACATCAACTCATATTTAGCTAACAGAACTTTGAGCTTGTATATCAACCCCGGTTATCATTCTTTTACCTGGAAATCCAGGGAGGGGAGGGCATTGTATGAGATCAACATCTTTTCCATCCTTTACAGCTTGAATGACAACATCGAAGTCCTAAACAAAAGTTTTAACCAATCACTTATTCAACAAATAGAGCTTTGATTTAATCTACAACAATAAGATTAAGGATTAGGCTTAGGGATTAGGATTAGGAATCAATTTCGCGTATTTGTAGAACACCATAAAAAGACTTGTGGAGAATGCAAGACAATGCTTCCACTTAAATTTCATTTCCGTTCCTTTAAAATAACTCACCTTCGATATAATCAAATATTTTTTTGCATTTTCTTTGTCACCACTTCTGTTACAATTGCGAGCAGCTAATTTATACTGATCTCTCTTTAAAGTAAGTCCTTTTAATGTCTCTTCAAGTTTACTATCATTCTCACGCTGGGGTGGCATTGGAGAAACCGGTTGTGTTCTTGGAGGAACTGTTGGTGTTCTTGAAAGATCTGAGGGTGTTCTTGGAGGAACTGTTGGTGTTATTGAAGTATCTGAGGGTGCTCTTGGAAGAACTAGAGGTGTTTTTGTAGGATCTGGGGTGTTTTCTAGAATGTGGAGGTGCTCTTGGAAGAACTAGAGGTGTTTTTGTAGGATCTGGGGGTGTTTTCTAGGATGTGGAGGTGTTCCTGGAGGAACTAGGGGTGTTCTTGAAGGATCTGGAGGTGTTTCCGGAAGAAATAGGGGTGTTTTTGTAGGATCTGGAGGTGTTCTTGGAGAAACTATGGGTGTTCTTGAAAGATCTGGAGGTGTTCTTGAAAGAACTGACCGCGTTCTTGGAGTATGTATTGGTAAAGCGGGAGGTTGCTTAGGGTCATTGTTAGTAGGTTCACTAGGGACTCTGGAGGATGTTGATTGAGAAGGAGTGACCATAGGGTGTGTTTCAGATACACGGGACTGTGTTGGTGCTGCTGGTTTAGAACCACCTGAATTAAAAATCTCACTTTCGATATGGTGTAGTGAAAAGTTTAGAAAACAAAGGTATTTTGAAAGATGTACTATACATATGGTGCAGTGAAAAAGTTAAGAAAACAAAGATACTTTGAAAGATGTACTATACATATGGTGCAGTGAAAAAGTTTAGAAAACAAAGGTATTTTGAAAGATGTACTATACATATGGTGCATTGAAAACGTTTAGAAAACAAAGGTATTTTGAAAGATGTAGTATACAGTCTCTATAAATGTATAACAATTTTCGAGAAGAAAATTTGTTGGTGTGATGAAACATTTTGAATATACTACTTTAAAGTATATTCAGTAAACGCATACAGTAAAACCATAAAGTTTAGTACATAGCGTTAAAAGTGGAAAACCATACCTAATGGTAATTCAGACCTAATGGTATGCATGTCATTGTCTTCCACAACCATTAACCTCGCATCAACCACTTTGACATCTTCTTCCCAACTAAATTCAACCTTTTCGCCACATTCAATCATATGGTGGACTCCATTCTTCAAAGCATATTTAATCATAGCAGCGTTCATCTGATCTTCTGAAATGTTCATACACTTCATTTGTTCAAACACTTTCTCACAAGCATGCCATAAGAACTTATGACCATTTTTTGGATTAACTGTAAACTCATGCTGTTCGTAACCATCTGATTTCAACCAATCACTTAAAGATTTGTGATACACGGTTAAGCAATCATCGTAAACTGGCAAAATTTCAGATAGCAGTTCAATGATTTTACTGCGAACTTCAAACTTGATGTCACCAGAAAAACCTATATAGCTAAACAGTAAAGTTAATGGTAAAAACTCCCTACAGGCAGCCAACAATTCAAGAAATTGCATGAAAGTAGTTTCAGACATAAGAGGATTTCTGAGACTTTTCTTCGTTAACAATTCTTTTACTCTTTTGAATTGCTTTGTGTAAACACCGCTTAACACACTAGGGAACAATTGTTGAATGTTTTTGTGAGTAAGCTCAGTATTTTCTTTTTTCAAGCTCAGTTGCGCGTAATACGCGTAAAAAAATGATCCCTCACATCTTTTAACTAATGACTGAAGAACGTGGGGATCTTCCTGCACCCGATTATTCAACTGATGTCTCAAATACTTCTGCAGGTCTTTTTCGTTGTTTTCATCACGAGGACGAGTTGTAATTTCCACAGGATTCATGACTTTCAACTCCTTTCGAACAGGAAGTTCTGGACGACTGGTGATGAAGATTTTAATCCATTTAGGCAGTCGGTCAAACTCATCTGCAATCAATTCCAACAATTCACTTTTGCCATCAACTTGGCTTTCATCTAAGGCATCAATAACCAAAAGCATTGGTTTTTGATCTTTTAACGAATGCAATGGATTATTTAATAAAACAAGGAATGCATCGGTGACTGATTTGTAGGAATTGTTTCTCTGTAATTCTTCATTCAGTTTAGATTTAAAATCTGATATTGTATCACACATGTTACTGGCCAATGATTCTATCAATATTCGAGGATTCCTCTCATCTGATCTATTATATCTGCAGAAATGACAAGCAGCAAGTTTCTTCTTTTCAGAATATCGTCGACACACCTCAGCAGCAAACACACTTTTACCAACGCCAGGACCGGCAATCAAAATCATGACATTAGAAGAATCTTCACTTCTATCATTAAACCAAATGTCGAGTTTTTCAAATAACCATTGTCTAGTGCCTTCAAGGTATTTTTTGTTAAGATCTTTTATGAGAAAGTTAAAATTACACTTTCCAAGCTTTTCGACATCTGAATATGTTTTGTCCTGCAACATTTCTCTTACTCCAAAAACTTCAGCTTTTGTTGACACGATTTCTTTAATTTCCTCCACGTCATTTTTTATATCTTCCACATCTTCTTTTGTTTTCTTAGCAACAGTACACCAGTTTTTTAACATTTCAATATAATTTGCTTCATCAGGACTGAGACGAGCTTCCTTCAATTCATCTATTTCAGTTTGTTGAATACCCAGACCAACCAATGCTTTTGAAATTTCCTGCCACAAATGCTCAAACTCACTGTCATCTACACTAGTTGTGGTTATGTGACCGTACACTTTGTTTCGATAAAACTTTATTCTTGCAATATTTGCTGAGACTGAAGTATCTGAAGAGAAAGGAAGATTATCCCATCCACCATGTGGCGCTGTTAGACAACATATGTTACGCAATAAGACAGTCATTAAGGAAATATCAAAGTTTTCAAGATCTGGCAAACCAGTTGGTGGATAAAGAAGGTTCCATTGCTCTTTGTTGATGACGCTTCTTTTTCTTAATGATTCCAATTTACTTTTATTTGAGGGTTTATTAAGTTCATCGCTTAGGTTTGACGAGCGAAAGCTTATCATAAACTGCAATGTTGTTTTCAAAGCTTGTGTTCCTTTATTTATCAACAGTTTACTTAAACGAGATCCGTTTATCTCAAACTTCAATTTTGTAGGAGGTGAAGCCATTTTTCAAACTAAATATTAAGAATGAGTTTTTGCAAAAAGCATCAATTTTCAATGTGAAAAATTAACGCAACATGAAGGGGATTAATAAAAAACAATATTACAAGAAATTTATAAGACTTAAGTGCTTCATTTCTTTCCCTCGAAAAAATGGTGTTCACAGCCTAGTGATATCACCCAGTAATTAATCTTACATCAAGGCATTAAAATAGTTAACTTAATACAATAAAAAAACACTTGAAATTATAATATTTTCGTCTACTCGGCGCGAGAGGCAGCAAGTATTTTGCGATAGTAGCTCCTAGTTAATAAATAATATATCTTGTTTGTCTAACAATTGTGTGGTGAAGACATACGTCGTTCTTTTAACAGGATATATAAAACTGGTTTGCTGTATTGTATGAATATTTTCTTATTAACATTTTGATAGGACTATATTGCTGATGAATCTGTTCCAATTTAAATTTTTGATAGACTGCAGTTTAGCGGACACCTGAACCGCTTGTGACGGCGGGCTCGTTTTTGTTTGGGATTATAGGGTAGGGTTTGGGTCAGCGTCTAAGGTGTCCGCTAAACTGCAGTAGTCCTCCATAGGACCATAGCTTGACTTTAATCATATATTTACATTCTTCGTCATTCTTGACAATCTGTTAAATCCAAATCGTCATCAATACTCATTGAAATGAAAATAAAGAAAACTATCTCCTATCTGCTTTACATTTTCCTCACCAAAACACAGAAAACAGGGTGACAGATAAACAACGCGACATGTGAATCAAATACAGAACAAAATACAAGTACGGACTGCACAGAGTATCCAGTTCCTTGTATTTTTTACCCAAACGAAATATACTTGACGTCTGTAATCACCAGTAAAAATGAATGTATAAATGAATGATATTTTCAGCTGCATGGTTTTTACTATAGTCACTAAAACAAAGTGCATATTATACGCTCTAAATCATAGGTAATTGAAGAACAACATAAGTATTGACTTTACTTAAAACAATTCTATTCGTGATCGTTCGCATATGCGACTATCACCGATGACACAGCCGAGGATATCACGACGAAGAAACACTGCCTACCTCACTGCCTCACTCAGACACTTTTTCAGTATGGCATAGTGGTTAGCCGCGCATGTACAGCGACTAAGCACAAAAACTAACTAGTGATAAATTATATTATTGTTATAATACAGTATAACATGACGTCTACAACTGCTCCCCCTCAAAAAAATGTTGTTGGACTTCGAAATTTTACATCCTAGCCACATGCCTACTCATATTGATAACACTAAAAGTGTGATTCCGTTTGAAGATGCTACGAGAAATTCTAAAAACTTGATGAATGTCTTCTGCCTGATGAGATAACGTAAGGAAAGTACAAATAATACACAAAACATTCATTACTTTTTCTATTAACTTCAATTTTGCTATTTTCATTTGTCCAAATGGGAAGGTGCCGGCCCGTATTATATTACTGATCCAAGGCAAAATACCCCTTGCCTATCACCTCACGGTGGGCCTGGCCTGACAGTCAGTGAAATTTCTCTACTTTGTGTTGTTACACGATTTAATTCAAGTAACTAAAACAGTTAGACACGTTGCAAAGCAAAACAAGTATCTTGATTTCAGTTTCTCAGTGTACATGCTAAATCAAAGTTCATCTAAGAATAAATGGCGTGAAAAATGAATGATGATGAAATATGTACGTTATCTGGCGTTCATTTTGACTATATGATCATAATCTTTACTTTACATTTATACATTGTACTGTTTACTAAAGTGTAATTATATTAAAATAATGATTAGTGATGAAATATATACGTTATGATAAGTTCATTTTCTCTCTGGAACCTAATCTTTACTTTACATTTGTACATTGTACTGTTTACTTAAGTTTAATTATATTTAAAAAGAAATGTCACATTATGACGTGGCTTCTGTGAATGTCAAGAGTATCACTGTCTCAGAATTATTTATTATCAAACCTTTTCTTCGTGTAAGAGCCGCATTTTTATTGTGGATAATTTGAAACAAAAAATGAAACCTACTTTCCAGTCGTGGTATTAAATATAGCTTTAAAAGTCACTTATAGAATCATTCAAACGATTTTCATTTGGAATGGAAATAAACATTGATTTGTTTATAGTCATACTTCATACTACGCAATGCTTTGGTATCAAATTTGTTAAGTTAGAAATGTAAATACAAAATCTAGGTTAATTTACGTAAAATTACCTTTGTTTTAGAAATAAGACTTCATATACGACGATCGTGTGGACAAAATTATGCTTGCTTTAGTTCTTTACATGTTACGTCCCTAGCAAAAGATGAGAAATTTAATATAAAAAACGCGACTACATACATATCAGTTAAAAAATGGTGAACATAATTCATACATTATTGAAACATCAACTTTTTATTCATATGAGTTTTGTTACATAAACACATTAAAATAACGAACGAAGATGAAGAGTGAGTCAGGATCTCCTTCAAAAAACAGTACTATTCTATAACTAAGTATACCTCACTGACTAAAAAACAGTTGTTATAGAAATAAAAATACATAAATAAGAACCTCACGCAGAGTACATATTTAACATTAAGATAAGTCAAATTCCAAAGGACTGCTGCTAAATCTTATAAAGTTTCACAAGTTTTAACTCAGGAATAGCGAATCACCTGTCTAAGACAGGATTTGAATGTCAATGATTAAGACACGATTTTCGTTACTGTAAATGAATGTTCCCTTTATTAATCAAAAATTCAATAGATGTATATTATTAAATATCCTCATTCTGATGAAGGCTCGAAGCAACGAGTCGAAAGCTCAATAAAAAATCATTTAAAAATCCGGAGAAACGTTTATCTTTTATGTATGTATATTATTGTATTAGTCAGTTCATATTACAAAAAATCTTTGTTAGTAAAGAAAACTTTGCAATTCATGAAACACATCAAGAATTAACTGCACGCACTTATAGTTTCTTAAGATGAATAAAAAAACACAGTTGATACAACCGTAAAGGATGCAATGTAAGTAAACCTTAAAACTGTTAAACTAACATGATCAAAAGTATATATTTTAAAAGCTCACAGTGCTGCATGAATGAACATTTCACAAAAAATAGATTTGGTCGTGTTCTTCCTCTGTATATATAAATTCTTCCTGTGTGTAACATTTGCTTATTTTCCTAATTTCTTTACTTTCAAAGTAAATGGTTTGTTGAATGCAATCATCAACCTTTTTTAAGACACACAGAGATTAGTCAAAAGTGGCGTCGGCAAAGAAAGGAGGTGATGAACAATTGGACATGTTCCCCTTTCTACATAAATTTTCACGTATTCCCATAATTTCTATAGACAAGTATAGTTTGTATAACTCCCGCAGCATAAAAGTTCTGGCATCCACAAGCAACGTTTGTTATTATTGATAGTAGATGTCAACTAGATACATACAGAAAATGTACTTCGAATTAGAGAGGAAATGAATAAACAACAAACAAAACAACAGAATATAAGTAAAGTATCATTACCAATTGTTCTTGTTTATATCCAGATCGCAATGATTCGTATATTTTCAATAAAGACTTAGAATTAACAATAGATTACGCGTTCTTAAGTTTACATTAACAACAATATTGTTTCGATTTTTTGGGACTGGCACTAGTGTAAGTTACAGTTTACAAAGAAAAATTCAGCATCTTACAAATAGAAAATATTCTCATGTTATTCTGCCTTCCCCCATACTTTTGAATAGATTTTACTGTTCTTTTACCAAGCAGCTTATGGTCAATAGTTAAAAAGTTTAAATATAAACTTAGATATGATTTCTCATAAATGTTTATTCATACTTCATCTAGATGTTTCTTTAGCAAATTTGTTATGTCGGTAATGTAGATATAAAATCTTGCTTTACTTTTGTAGAATTACATTTGTTTTAGAAGTAGGACTTCATATATGACAACCTAGTCGACCAAATTTTGCCTGCTTCAGTTCTTGAAATGTCACATACCCAACAAAAATTGAGAGATTTAATATAAAGAACGCGACCACATACATATCAGTTTAAAAATGGTGATCGTAATTCATACCTTATTGTAACATCAATCTTTTATCCTTGTTAGTTTTGTTACATAAACACATTTGAATAGCGAACGAAGATGAAGAGTGAGTCAGGATCTCCTTCAACCAACAGTATTAAAAAACATTAATGACATTTATGTAGAACATTCTAGTTATATAACTAAGTATACATCACTGACTAAAAATAATTGTTATAGAAATAAAAATACATAAATAAGAACCTCATGCAGAGTACATAATAACATTGAGAATAGTCAAATTCCAAAGGAATACTGCTAAATCTTATAAAATTTCACAAGTTTAAACTCAGGAATAGAGAATCACCTATCTAAGACAGGATTTCAATGCCAATGATTAAGACACGATTTTCGAAACTGTGAACGAATTTTTCCCTTCATTAATCAAAAATTCCATACATGTATATTCTTGCATAAGTCAGTTCATATTATAAAAAGTCTTTGTTATTAAATAAAACTTTGTAAATCATGAATACATATCAAACATCAGTTGTAAGAAATTGTAATATTTATACGTTCAATAAAAATCACTATAGATACAACTGTAAAGGATGCAATGAAAGTAAACCTTAAAACTGTTAAATAAACATGATCAAAAGTATAATTTTAAAAGCACACTGTGTTGCATGAATCAACATTTTACAAAAATAGATTCGGTCGTGTTCTTCCTATGTGTGTAAAATATATTCTTCTTGTGTTTAACATTTGCTTATTTTTCAAATTTTCTTACTTTTAAAATATATGGTTTGTTGTATACAACTATCAACATTTTGCTAGACACACAGAGATTATTACAAAGTGGCGTCAGCAAGAAGGGAGGTGATGCATGATTGGTCATGTGCCCATCCCTACATAAATTTTTACAGATCCACCTTTTTCCATAGACAAGTATAGTTTATAAAAAAAAACTCAGCGTCCTCCATGTAGAAAATGTACTCATGTTATTTTGCTTCCTCCATATTTTCAACAGGTTTTACTGTCCTTTACAATGCAGCTTATTGTCAATAGTTAGAAAGTTGGTATATCAACTTGAATATGATTTTTCTTGAATGTTTAGTCATACATTATCGAGATGCTTCAGTAGCAAATTTGTTATGTAAAGTTAGTAATATAGTTTCAGAAAAATCGCTTTACTTTCGACAAATTAACTTCGTTTTAGAAATAAGACTTCATATATGACGACTGTGAAGACAAAATTATGCTTGCTTTAGTTCTTTACATGTCACATACCTTACAAAGATGAGAGATTTAATATAAAGAACGCAACCACATACATATCAGTTTAAGAATGGTGATCATAATTCATATCTTATTGTAACATCAATCTTTTATCCATAACTGAAAATTACGTGCAAGAGCTAGAAGAGTTGTTTGCAACATATTTAGGTCGGGTTGCGTTTGCCTAAGTATAAAGATAATTTAAGATTGATAGAGAATTGAAATATTTTCAGTGTCTAAGGTAGAGAAGCAGGCGCAAGTGTATTTAGATTTTTTGTTCATTAAATTATTAACTTAATAAACATTGTATTCTCTTTAATGAACAGAAGATTGCTTAAGCTCTCTATCGGCGAAATTACAGCTGGCAATCCAAATGAATTCAAATCAGACTCTGGTCCCTGAAATAAGGAACTTTAAGGATCTGAATGAAAAGCATCAAGCATGTGATCACCATTTCCTTAAGCCATTAACATCGTTGTGATCTTCTTTTCAAATGGCCATGTTTGTAGAGCATCGTAATCACAATATAAATTTTTATAACAATATGATATAAGTCTGAATAAATCCCAAGGCATACCTTTTCCTTCTATCGTCATTTATTTTCGTACATGATTAAAAAAACTAAAAAGTATCGCATCTCACAAACAATTGTAAGCTTTAGAGATATGGTATCGTTCTCTTTTATGATACGAGAACGATACGCGTATGATACGAGAACGATACGCGTATGATACGAGAACGATACGCGTATGATACGAGAACGATACGCGTATGATACGAGAACGATACGCGTATGATACGAGAACGATACGCGTATGATACGAGAATGATACGCGTATGATACGAGAACGATAGGCGTATGATACGAGAACGATACGCGTATGATACGAGAACGATAAGCGTATGATACGAAAACGATACGCGTATGATACGAGAACGATACGCGTATGATACAAGAACGATACGCGTATGATGCGAGAGCGATACGCGTATGATACGAGAGCGACTTGTATGATTCGCGTATCATACGCAAAATTATGTTAACAAATACGCGAGCGGTACTGTAAAAGCTGTAAAAGGGGGTGGGGTAAATATAACCACCCTCAATGTGTCATACAAAGAAGGTCAATAAGACATACTTGAATTAGTTCAAAATGGAGAATCATGGACGCAGAGCAACAAAATATTGTGTAAGGACAATATTTTTCAGAATGGCCCAAGCTGTCATGTCTGCCATCACCTGCAATGACCACTGTTTTCTTCTGCTTCCTTATTGTTTCCAACATGGTCAGCTTGTATTTCCTCATATGGGTCCTGACCATTGGGAAAAGCAATTGCTGATAAAGAAATATCAAATGAATATAAAAAAACACAACTTCAAACTTTGGTAATTAGGAAAATCAAAACAACCCACTTACCCTTTGATGTTTGAAGAATGTGGTCAAAGATATGCTTTGAAGACTCAGGTGTGTGAATACTCAAAGTACCTTGCTAGCAGAAGCTCCAGACAATAAAATGGCAAATGAGAGGAGAAAGTTTCCCATTGGAATACGGGAACCTGACAGGAATAATTGTCACTTCCAGTTGTGCTCTCTATTTTTACAACTAAGGTTGCCACATGACATGTTTATATCTGCCATAGTACCAACTTTTGATACTTCAACTATTGGCTGATCAGTACCACATGATGGGTATACTTTAAACAGGAGCAACAGCTGTGGCAAGGTGACAATAAACTTTGGTTGCTTCCTGAGGTTGCTTTCTTCTTTGTTCACCTGGATTGTTAGAACAATACATGTATATATTATATTTTGTCTGTTGAGAGACACAAATAAAATAATTGATAACACTGGAAGACTAAATAATGCATACGTACAGCACAGTCATACTTTTTTGCCAGGTTTGTTTCATCTTCAGATTCTAGCTCTTCACTTTGGGAAGAATCTGTTTCAATGTCATAGTTGTCAGAACCTATGGACCATATTAATATGTTAATAAATTTGTGGTGTATAATTTCAGCTATTAGCATTGAAATCAAACTTCACCTTCATTTTCCATCTCACTACCAATGTCAATATCCATATCCATGTTATCATCATCACTACCATCCTGCTTTTCTTCCTCATTCTGATTATCCACCTTGACACATTTTAATACTGTTCCAACCAGTTTACAAAATTTCTTTTTTTCTATGAAATTATGATGTACACAGGTGTTACAATACTCATATTTCAGTAATTTAATTGCAGCCATATATCTATTTAAATGACATAGAAACACTACACGAATATATGCTCTTGAAGAAGCCAAATTGAATGTAATGAAACAATTTACCTTCAGTAAGTTGTTGGATAATAGCATTCTTGCTTTCAATCTCTCTCTTCAATTGCCTCGTGTTTTCTTTGTATTGAACACATTGCCTGCAATATTCTTCTTCAGTTTGGCAAAATCCATTCTGAACCTTCAAAAAAAAAGATATAATCTTTAGATCTTACAATGTACTAGTGTAAAAAGTCTTTTGAATAAATTATTGAAATAAATTCAATACCTGTACTTCTGCTTGTACTGCAATTGTTTGAACTCGCAAGACATCATCAAAAAATTCAACATCCCTAACACTGTCTTCCAAAGAGGTAGCACTTTCAGCTCCAAAAGTGTCTTGACTAGAAGAGCAAGGACCTGCTTCTGTGCTACACAAAATGTCTCTAACAACCTACAATAAAATACAATATGGTATCAACTGCAAAAATTAGATTTCCATTACAAAATCTTTGATGAATTTAAAACAAACTTCCTTCTTCGAAGTTATCAGTCTCACGTGGATTAAAAACAAAAATCCTTACTTGTCTACGATTCCTTTCAGAAGACGCAGTTTCTTTTATCAGTCAATAAAAATTTTTATGTTTGCAATCACCAGAACTTTTGAAATGACAGTGTACTTTCTAAAAAAGTTAATGCATATCTCTTTTCCTTCGCGAGATATTGAAGTTTCTGTTGTTTCTATTTCATCCAACTTGTGACGTCATAATACATAATGAGTTCTAAAATTTTTTCTTATACTCTTCATTTTCCTGACAACTTTAGGTTGATACTAATAGGGAGCATTTTTTACCATTAAACACGCCACAATAAATGAAACTCTGTCCTTGTGTAGTAAATTATCGTTAAATATACCTAATACTCCTGACTCTCATTATGCAATGTGACGTCACAAGTTAGATAAATCGGACATAGCATAAACCTCAATATCTCAAGAATTAAAAGTGATCTGCATAAACTGTTTTAGAAAGTACACTGTCATTTTAAAAGTTCTGTTCATTGCAAACATAAATATTTTCGTGTCATAGGTCTTTTAAAAAAGCATACTATTTTGTTTGTAAACAAATACAAAATAATTTATAGTCTTGTGAAGATTGATGAAGATTAGTTACTATTACAAGCCAATCCTCGCTGCCAAAGTCAAACACGGTTGTACAATCCAGAAAATCTAGCTTTCATATGTTACAACTCATTGTAAAATAAAAACGTTTCTAAAATCTTAATTAAATAGATGCAGTACACTCTAGAATAAATCCAAACAACTTAAGAGGCAAAAATGTCAGCTTTCGTCAATTCAAGATAAATTTTTCGCACTTATTATACATTATATAAATCGTGTTGTTTTTAATGTTGGTAACGTTGTGTTTAAAAGGCTGTAGTAACTGGAGAAAGCTGTAGCATTGTTCTTTGTCATTTAGAAATTATTCACGTTCTTTTGTTGTAATAGTATGTTCTTTGCGAGGTTAATTCAATAAAATAAAAAAGCAAAAAAGCTCAAAATTTATATAAATGATTTACAAATCTTTAAACTAAAACTGTCACACAACTAATACTGAGTGCTTTCATGTGACATAAATTTGCGGATACCTACCAGATGATATGGGATCTGAGATGATAAAATCAACGTAACTTTCAACATTTTCTATCTGTGGAGTAAATACAAGGTCTTCCAGCAGTTATAAGATTATTTTGAAACTTTTCTCAGTAAATGTGAGTGTGAGAGAGTTTTTAGAATATAGGCAATAGAGAGCGCCGTAGTTGACCTTACGTGTATTTAGGTGAATATTCAATATTCATTTAAGAAATCTTAAATACATAGCACTTGCATTTTAGTTGTGCGGATTTAGGCACGAAATAATTGTCATGGTTACAGCGCATGAAATAAGCAAAATATCAAAAAATGAGGACAACTATAAATATTTTTCTATAAAACTAATTAAAATATTATTGAGTCCATTCACAAGTTATTACACGAAATGCTGTTAATCACTCAATCTCATGAAAATGTTATTTAATTCAACTATTTTATATGGTTCAGCTACGTAATTAATGTGAGATAGTAAAACACAAAAGATTCTACTTATGGAATTATGCACAACTCCTGATGGTCAGGTTTATACGATAAGGAACTCCCAAGAGCTCAAAATACCAATGCCAGACTTTTAGTACTTAAAATAATTTCAGAAATGTTTATTGATGTAGTTCGCTTTCATTAAAATTAAAAATATTCTTGAGTTCTGGTTTGTTTTTCAATTCTTTATTTGACCTGACAGCAGCATGTACCCGAACAGGGAGATTAGGAAATGTTTGGAGAAAATACGCCTTGTAATCGCCAATATTGTAAAATAATTCTGGTTGTGGTAGAGGTCGATCGTTCCAATGCTGATCAATATTTCGAATAAGTCTTAAGCATTCTGTCCATGAAGATTTATAGGGCCTTCCATTCACGAAATATTCATAAACATCACTACCCATTTGACTTTCCAAATCTACGGATTCGCTATTCAATTTTTGAACGACACTTGACTGGAGATCATTTGTCTTAATCTGCCGAAGATTCCCAACTTTACTTAACATTTCAAACTTCTCATTATCTGACATGAGAAATGGGTGTTTTAATGCTTCGTTAGAATATGGTCTGTCTTCAGGTTTTAGATTTAACATCCACGACAGAAGGTCCTTTAGTGTTTCATCCTCGATTTCTTTCAAACCAACAGGGTTTCCATTTAACATGTTAATCAGTCTGTAGGGTATAGTTCCAAAAGGATGTTTTCCTTTTGTTGTTACGTAATAAGCTACCATCCCTGCATTCTAAAATAATAAAAAGCGTTACATCAAAATGCAATTTGACAACATTGAGTTTCTTTACAACTTACAAATGTTTACATTCCTACACTTACATATACATCAGACCTTCTTTTGTAATACGCTTTGTTTACTGAATCATCATCTTCGCGATATGATTCAGGAGCTATCCAATGCAGGGTTCCCATGGAAGAATTGCTTTCATATGTTGTTGTGTCATTCTTCATTATTCGACTTATGCCAAAGTCAGCTATCAGAAATTTGCTTTTTGAATCTCGCAGAACATTGGAAGGCTTCAAATCCCGATGTAGAATACGAATTGGGCCGCTATGAAGATCAGCTAATCCTTTTAAAATTTGTCTAAGAATATCAGGAAGAGCTTTTTGAAGATCATGCAAAGTAGAAGACTCGACAAAACTCTCCAATGATTCTTCACATAAGTGTAATACCAAATAAACATATTCTGTTCCAGTATCTTCTTCTAAGTAGAAATAATTCACAACATATTTCGACTTCTTTGCATTGAATTCATTTAAAATTTTCTTTTCGTGATGTGCAAGCTGGATGAATTTATGCCGATGTATTTGTTTCACTGCTTTACCGTAACCATCCTTACCCAGTCCAAGAAAAACACGGGTTGCATCCCTTCCTTCGCCAATGCAAAATTCTTCCGAGAATATTACGCGTACATTGCCCATCACTTTAACCTCAACACTGCGATTGTGCCCATATTCAATTAATTTTAAAAACAATTCTCTATGTTTTGTTGGTTCATCAATGTAGTCCCACTCTTCTACATAAAAATATTATAATCAAGGGTTAAATAAACAAAATAAATACATTAAAATAGCTTAAATTTCCCCAATTAGGAAAGGATACTGTTACCGTACACTTTTAAAACAAACGTATTAACAATTATTAGACATATCATAAATTTTTTAACTGGTAACATTCGAGGTTAGCTTATACCAAACAATTAATCACAAAAACCTCTTTCTGCACTAATTTCATGAATTTTTCTTAAGGAGTAATCTTGCGTTTTTTGAAAATATTAAATTAAAATTTTGAGAGCACATATTTTTTAGAGTGTAAAAAATTTTTTATACCAATAGATAACAAAATAGCTTTATTCAATTTTTCTTTCTATTCTCAAAACTCGTCTTTTAGATAGAATATCTTATGTTTGTTGCCTAACATTAACATTGAAGTTCGATCTCAACAATTATTCTCTCAAACCTTGTTTGGACATCTTAAAGTGCCAATGAAACAAAAATTTTGTTAGTTAAATTATATCTGTATTGACCAGAACTTTTGAAATGACAGAGTGCTTTCTAAAACCTTTTCTGCATGACTTTTTTCATTCTGAAAATACTGAAGTCCTTGCAATTACCAATTAAATTAAATTGTGACATAATATTGCATGCAAAATGAGTTGCTGCAATGTTTCAAATACCCTCAATTTTCTTGACAACTTTAGGTTCATAATGGTAGGCAGTAATTTATATCATTAACACGTCCCAAAGAAGGAAACTCTGCCATGTTAAAATAATGTATCAACAAATATATTAAATACATCTAGTTCTCATTATGCAATTTGACATCAGATAAATCGGACATAATAAAAACTTCAATATCTCGAGAATGAAAAGTGATATGCATAAACTAGTACAAGAAGTCCATTATCATATTAAAATGTCTGTTCAATAAAAGTATAACACAGGTTGCTAAATTGTTGCTTCATAGGCATTTTATGATTTAACTCTAAATTATATGACACGTACTGTTTCTTTTATTCACCTTGGTAAAGTGAACCTGGTTATCTTTATTTCTGCAAACTAAAACTCTACCTTTAATATGGTTTGCTTCATTGTGACTGTGAGGAGCTTCCTTCAATTCATCTATTTCAGTTTGTTGAATACCCAGACCAACCAACGCTTTTGAAATTTCCTGCCACAGGAACTCAAACTCACTATCATCTACATTAGCTGTAGTCATGTGAACGTACACTTTGTGTCGATAAAACTTTATTCTTGCAATGTTTGCTGAGATTGAAGTATCTGAAGAGGCAGGAAGATTATGCCATCCACCATGTGGCGCTGTTAGACCACATATGTTACGTAATAAGATAATCAATAATGAAAGATCAAAGTTTTCAATGTCAGGGTCACCAATTGACGGGTAAAGAAGATCCCATTGCTCATTCTTGATGACTTTAAATTTCAAAGATGTTAGTGTCTTCTTTGTAGAGGGATCTTTAAGTTTACCAGCTAAGCTTGATGGCTTTAATAAAGATTGCAATGTTGTTTTTAAGGCTTGGGTTCCTTTTTTGATTAAAAGTTTACTCAAAAGAGTAAAATTTTTTTCAATCTTTAAGTTTTTATGTGGCGAAGCCATTTTTTATTCTAGAAATGAGGAATAAGATTTCTTTCTCTCGATAAAAATTTTGTTCACTGTCTAGTGACATGACCCAGTAAATGATCTTATATCAAGGCATTAAAATAGTAGATTTGATACAATAAAAAAAAACACAAAAAATCATAATATTTTCGCCTACTAGGCGCATGAGGCAGTAACTACCTTGCAATAGTAACTCCTAGTTAATAAATAATATATCTTATTTGTCTAACAATCGTGTGATGAAGAGATACGTCGTTCTTTTACCAGGATATATCAAACTGGTTTGCTGTGTTGTATGAATATTTGCTAATTAACATTTTGATAAGAGTATATTGCTGACGATTCTGTTCCAATTTAAATTTTTCCTAGACTGCATATTAGCGGACACCCGAAGCGCTTGTAACCGCGGGCTCGTTTTTGCTTGAGATTATAGAGTAAAGTTTGGGTCTGCGTCCAAAGTGTCCGCTAAACTGCAGTAGTCCCCTATAGGTTATATTTGACGTATGTAATCACCAGTAAAGAGTATAAATGAATGATATTTTCAGCTGTAAGGTTTTGACTATAGTCACTAAAACAAAGTGTAGATTATACGCTCTAAAGCATAGGTATTGAAAAAACTCAGTAGTGATAAATTATATTATTGTTATAATACAAAATAAGTTGACGTCTAAAACTGCTCCTCCCCCCAAAAAAATGTTGTTCCTCCCCAAATTTTACATCCTAGCCACGTGCCTGCTCATCTTGATAACATTTAAAGCGCGATTTCGTTTGAATATGCTACGAGAATTTCAAAAAACTTAACAATTGATGAATGTCTTCAGCTAGATGAGATAACGTAAGAAAAGTACAAATAATACAAAAATCATTCATTACTTTTTCTATAAACTTTTATTTTGCAATTTTCATGTGTCCAAATGGGGAGGCGCCGGCCCCTATTATATTACTGGCCCAAGGCAAAATGCCCCTTGCCTATCACCTCACGGCGGGCCTGGCCTGACAATTAGGGAAATTTCTCGACTTTGTGTTGTTACTCGATTTAATTCAAGTAACTAAAACAGTTAGACACGTTGGAAAACAAAACAAGTATCTTGATTTAAGTTTCTCAGTGTACATGCTAAATCAAAGTTCATCTAAGAATAATTTACGTGCAAAATGAATGATGATGAAATATGTACGTTATCTGGCGTTCATTTTGACCCCTGGAACATAATCTTTACTTTACATTTATACATTGTATTGTTTACTAAAGTGTAATTATATTGAAAAATAATGAATGATGATAAAATATATACGTTATCATGAGTTCATTTTGACCCCTGGAACCAAATCTTTACTTTACATTTGTACATTGTACTGTTTACTTAAGATTAATTATATTTAAAAAGAAAAATAACTTTATGACGTTTGCTTCTGTGAATGTCAAGCGCATCACTTACTCAGAATTATTTATTATCAAACCTTTTCTTCGTGTAAGAGCCACAATTTTTATAGTGGATAATTTGAAAAAAAAAAGAAACACACTTTCCAGTCGTGGTATTAATAATAGCTTTAAAAATCAATTATAGAAACATTCAAACGATTTTCATTAAGAATGGAAATAAACATTGATTCTATTAGCATCTACCGCAGAGATCCCACGAGAAATACTACGCATGCGCACATTGGTCATTCTCTACCTTGCTCAGCGCCATCACAAATGGCGTGTTTGGTCATATACGAATAATCCATAAAATAATTTGCCATCCTGCTGTGGCAAAACGACAAAAAAATTTTAGAAAACAATAAAGGACAAAACACCTACATAACCACTAAGTTTGCGCGGCAAACTCTTTTTCTGTAGTTAGATAATCTATTCAACAACAAATGGCACAAGTCAGCGAATTATTTGAGGAAGCAGACGACCTGACGCTCTTGCATAACCATCCTAATGCGACGCTGTCGGACTTATTAGGAGACGTGAATGTAGACGATGAACCGTAACAGAAACGATCTCGTCTACAAGCCAAAATGAGCAAATCTGGCGGGGCCGGGTATAAACACCCTGCTAAAGCCAACAACAACAATCTCATAGAAGAAGGAAATAAAGGAAAAACCATATAGGACGACCTTAACAGGAAAGTCGATCAACTTCCTGTCTGGATGAATACTATTGCTCCTGTCGTAAAAGAACTCAAGCAAGCTTATGATGCCGCACACCAATGGAACGATGGTGATGTTATGTCTGAAGGTGAAACTGATGACGAACACTCAACCACCGGGGCTGCTGCTTTAGTTGCAGATACAGCTCCAGCTTTAGCAAACCAAAGCGATGCTATGGTAGATGAGCTAATTCACGAAGTGACTGAGAATGAACTGACAGACCAACCATTGCCAACTAAAATTTATAAAATCATGACCAGCATTTTGTCCATTGGACTAAACGAACAAACATTATGAAAACGGAAGGAAAGGGTAAAATGCCCCGAAAACTGTGACCTGTTAAGAGTTACAAAGGTAAACCCAGAAATTTGGGACATTTCTAGGAAATCCACACGTAGCATGAATGCATGTCTATAAAAATTATAAGAAGCCTTAATAAAGGGCCTCATTCCGATTTCCCAAATTGCGGGATCGATTAGTACCTCTCTTGGAACAAACCCTACAACACCTGCACCGACACCAGAGATCATCTGGGATGGGCTGTCCATATCTATTGTGCTTCTTACTTCAGCTAATCATGATCTAAACATGTGCCGCAGGGGCTTGTTCAAAGTTGACCTGGATGAAAATTATGAGGCAATCTGTAGTAACAAAGAACCTGTTGCTGAAGAATTGTTTGGTGATGATTTAAAGGAACGCCTGAAAACAGTAAAAGAAAGCAAAAAGGCTGCACAGCAACTGACAAGCCAAAAACGGAAACACAACGATCAACGGTCCACCAGCTCATATAACTCCAATGTACATTTTTTATTCCAACGTCGGGGCGGTCATTTGCAAAGCCGACCCCAACGACGAAACTATTATCAAAACCAACCCAAGAGGAAAGTCGAGATAGGGGGGAAAACACTAAGAAAGCAGTGACTTCTACTCTCGACAATGTAAGTTCTAGTAAACCCGGGTGTAGTACTTCTATCAAATCTGGAGGAGCTAATGCTTGTAGTATAGTTGCAGGCCGGATACAACAATTTATTGGGAAGTGGAGGGAGCTAATTAAAGATCCTTCCATTTTATCAGCTGTAAGCGGATACAAGGTTGATTTTCTTATAGACCCAGTCCAGCTGAAACCACCCCACTCTATAAAAATGTTTTCTTCGGAAGTCCAAAATGTCGATCGTCAAGTTACAAAATTTCTAGAGAAAGGTATCATTGTTACAAGCATGCATGAACAGGACGAGTTTATCTCCAATATCTTTCTTAGAGCAAAGAAAGATGGATCTTTTAGAATGATATTAAAACCTAAAAGAGCTCAACACATTTGTAACATATCTTCACTTTAAAATGGAATCTATCCATACTTGTACTCAGCTTATGTGACCTGGGTGCTACATGTCATCCGTTGAACTTAGAGATGCCTATTACTCGATACCAATACACATAGAGCATCAAAAATACTTAAAATTTATGTGGAAAGGTAATCTGTACCAAATCCCATGCCTTGCTCAAGGATTATGTTCCGCTCCACGTTTATTTACAAAGATACTCAAGCCTGTATATTCTAAGCTGAGGGAGCTTGGGCACATTTCTAGCGGTTACATTGATGACTCTTTTTTAATGGGCTACTCCTATTCAGAATGAGAGCAAAACGTACATGACACTCTACAATTGTTTAAGAAGTTAGGATTTCTACCACATAAAGATAAATCTGTTACAGAGCCCACACAGATTTTACAACATTTAGGGTTTGTGTTAAATTTAATAGATATGACTATTTCTATATCCATAGAGAAACACAACAAATTAAGCAAGGTTGCCAGGGGGGTGCTAAAATCTGACCCTCCTAGCATACTGGAAGTGGTCAAGCTAATTGGTATGAAGGTAGCTTATTTCCCTGGCGTTGAATATGGCCCACTGTTTTATCGTGATCTTGATAGGGACAAAACAACAGCTCTTAAGTCTAACAGGGTAACTTTGATTCGACATTGAAACTCTCTCCTTCGGCGCTGGAGGACGTATCTTGGTGGATTAATAATGCATATGAGTCCAAAAAAACATCTGAACCATGGCAAGATTGACCACGTATTGTATACGGACGCCTCTACCAAGGGATGGGACGCAACTACTAACAAACAGTCCACCGAAGGCGATTGGTCAATTGCCGAAAAATACTCGCACACTAACTGCCTGGAACTCAAAGCAATACTGTTTGGGCACATTAACTCGCACATTAACTGCCTGGAACTCAAAGCAATACTCTCTGTAGAGATCTAGCCCTCACCCACATTAATCACCATGTAAAGTTAGTAATATAGTTTCAGAATCTCGCCTTACTTTTGACAAATTAACTTCGTTTTAGAAATAATAGATTCGGTTGCGTTCTTCCATTGTGTAAATACATTCTTTCCTGTGTGTAACAATTTCTTATTTTGCCAATTTCCTTACTTTCAAAATAAATGGTTTGTTCAATACAATCATCAACATTTTGCTAAACACACAGAGTTTAGTCAAAAGTGGCGTCGGCAAAGAAGGGAGGTGATGCATAATTGGACATGTCCCCCCACCTAAATAAATTTTACGTATTCCCATTTTTTCTATACACAAGTATAGTTTGTATAACTCACGCAGCATAAAAGTTCTGGCACCCGCACACAACGTTTGGTATTATTGATAGTAGATGTCAACTAGATACATACAGAAAATGTACTTAGAATTAGATAGGAAATGAATAAACAACAAACAAAACAACAGAATATAAGTAAAGTATCATTACCGATTGTTCACGTTTATATCCAGATCGCAATGATTCCTATATTTTCGATAAAAAGTTAGAAGTACTAATACTTTACGCGTTCGTAAGTTTACATTAACAAAAATATTGTTTCCATTCTTGGGGACTGGCACTAGTGTCATTTACAGTTTATAAAGAAAAATTCAGCATCCTACATACAGAAAATTTTTTCATGTTAATCTGCCTTCCCCCATACTTTTGAACAGGTTTGACTGTCCTTTACCATACAGATTATTGTCAATAATTAGAAAGTTGGTATATCAACTTGAATATGATTTCTCTTGAATGTTTAGTCATACATTATCAAGATGATTCAGTAGCAAATTTTTTATGTAAAGTTAGTGATATAGGTCCAGAATCTCGCTTTACTTTTGACAAATTACATACGTTTTAGAAATAAGACTTCATATATGAAGACTGTGAAGACAAAATTAGGCTTGCTTTAGTTCTTTACACGTCACATATCTGGCAAAGATGAGAGTTTTAATATGAAGAACGCAACACATACATATCAGTTTGACATGCAGAATACATAATAACATTGAGATTAGTCAAATTTCTAAGAACTACTGCTAAATCTTATAAAATTACACAAGTTTAAACTGAGGAATAGAGAGTCACCTATCTAAGACAGGATTTCAATGCCAATGATTAAGACACGATTTTCGAAACTGTGAACGGATTTTTCCCTTCATTAATCAAAAATTCCAAACATGTATATTCTTGAATACGTCAGTTCATATTATAAAAAACCTTTGTTATTAAATAAAACTTTGTACATCATGGATACATTTCAAACATCAGCTGCAGGAAATTGTATTTATTTATATGTTCAATAAAAAACACTGTAGATACAACAGTAAAGGATGCAATAAAAGTAAACCTTAAAACTGTTATACAAACATGATCAAAAGTATAATTATAAAAGCTCACTGTGTTGCATGAACCAACAATTCACAAAAAAAAAGATTCGGTTGCGTTCTCTCTTTGTGTAAATACATTCTTCCTGGGTTTAACATTTGCTTATTTTTCAAATTTTCTTACTTTTAAAAGAAATGCTTTGTTGTATACAACTATAAACATTTTGCTAGACACACATAGGTTAGTCAAAAGTTGCGTCAGCAAATAAGGGAGGTGATGCATGATTGAACATGTGACCCTCCCTACATAAATTTTTACAAATCCACCTTTTTCCATAGACAAGTATATCTTATAAAGAAAAATTCAGCGTCATACATGTAGAAAATGTTCTCATGTTATTCTGCCTCCCCCATACTTTTGAACAGGTTTTACTGTCCTTTACAATGCAGCTTATTGTCAATAGTTAGAATTAAAGTTGGTAAATCAATTTAAATATGATTTCACTTGAATGATTAGTCAACATTATCGAGATGCTTCTATTGCAAGTTTGTTATTTAAAGTTAGTAATATAGGTTTTGAAACTCGCTTTACTTTCGACAAATTAATTTCGTTTTAGAAACAAGGCTTTAGTATGACATCCGTGATGAAAAAATATGCTTGCTTTAGTTCTTTACATGTCTATTACTCAACAAACGGATGAGAGATTTAATGTAAACAACGCGACCACATACATATCAGATTAAAAATGGTGATGAAAGTTCATACCTTATTGTAACATCAATTCTTTATCCTTGTGAGTTTTGGCAAATAAACACTTTTAAATAGCTAACGAAGATGAAGAGTGAGTCAGGATCTCCTTCAACAAACAGTATTAAAACACATTAAGGACGTCTATGTAGAACATTCTAGTTATATAACTAAGTGTACATCACTGACTAAAAACAATTGTTATTGAAATAAAAATACATAAATAAGAACCTCATGCAGAATACATAATAACATTGAGATTAGTCAAATTCCAAAGGACTACTGCTAAATCTTATAAAGTTTCACAAGTTTTATTTCAAGATAGGCAATCACTTATCAAAGACAGGATTTGAATTCCAATGATTAAGACACAATTTTCGAAACTGTGAATGGTTTTTCCCTTCATTAATCAAAAATTCCATACATGTATATTCTTGAATAAATCAGTTCTTTTTATAAAAAACCTTTGTTATTGAATAAACCATTGTAAATTATAAATACATGTCAAACATCAACTGCACGCAATTATAATTACTTGTGATCAATAAAGTCACTGCAGATACAACAGTAAAGGATACAATAAAAGTAAAGTATAAGACTGGTAGATAGACAAGATCAAATTATAATTTTAAAAGCTCACTGTGTTACATCAATCAACAATTTACAAAAATAGATTCGGTTGTGTTTTTTCTCTGTGTAAATACATTCTTCCTGTGTTTAACATTTGCCTATTTTTCAAATTTTCCAACTTTTAAAACAAGTGGTTTTTTGTATACAACTATCAACAATTTGCTAGAGACACAGAGATTAGTCAAAAGTGGCGTCAGCAAGAAGGGAGGTGATGCATGATTGGACACGTGCCCCTCCCTACATAAATTTTTACATATTCCCGTTTTTTCATAGACAAATTCTATTGCTATTTCACCTCCCTCATACCTTTGAACAGGTTTTGCTTTCTTTTACCAAGCATCTTATTGTCAATAGTTAGAAAGTTGGTATATAAATTAAGATATGATTTCTCATGCATGTTTAGTCATACTTAATCGAGATGCTGCTTTAGCTAGTTTGTCATGCCTGTAGTGTAATTTTAAAATATCGCTTAATTTTTCTAAAATTACTTCCGTTTTAGACGTAAGACGACCGTGTGAACAAAATTATGCTTGCTTTAGTTCTTTACATGTCACATACTTAACAAACGGACGAGAGATATAATATAAACCACGCAACCACATACATATCAGATTAAAAATGTTGATGAAAGTTCATACCTTATTGTAACATCAATCTTTTATCTTTGTGAGTTTTGTTACATAAACCCATTTGAATAACGAACGAAGATGAAGAATGAGTCAGGATCTCCTTCAACAAACAGTATTATAACACATTAATTACATCTATGCACAACATTCTAGTTATATAACTAAGTATACATCATTGACTAAAAACAATTGTTATAGAAATAAAAATACATAAATAAGTAACGCATACATAGTGCATGATAACATTGAGATTAGTAAAATTCCAAAGGACTAATGTTAAATCTTATAAAGTTTCACAAGTTTTAACTCAGGATAGAGAATCAGTTATCTAAGACAGGATTTGAATGTCAAAGCTTAAGACAAGATTTTCGTAAATGCAAATGTTTTTTTCATTTCATTCATCAAAATTCCATACAAATGGATTATTAAGTTTGAAAATTGGTAATCCAGGCATTTAGTACATAAAAAATGAGAGTTTCTCCGTATTGTTTGAAAACTATTTTATTGAGCTTTCAACTCGTTGCTTCGAGCCTTCGTCAGAATGAGGAAATTACTATTTACATGAGGCTTTAGCTTCTAGACGCTTAGAGCGTCTAATTGGTTTAGCGGGTGGATTAATTTGATTGGATGGGGTGGAATGCGTTGCCATGGGTTTTGGTGTATTGTTAATATGATTGGTGTTAATATTATTAGAGTGTAATGTTGTAGTTTTGGTGTTGTTTTTAGCTTTTGTCCTTTTTGTTTAGTTGTGAGTATATGATGGGTATGTTGATATGTCTATTTATTGTGTCGTTATCTTCACTGGAACAAGCTTTTTTGAATTCGCGTTCGTGTTTAGTCTGTGTGCCCCCGAGTACTTACTTTCTGTACAGTCGAATGTGTGGTTGTTTCTGTAGGTATGTTCTGCCCGCAGTGAGTTCGGATGTCGTCGTTTTATGGCGTTTTTGCGTTCTGTGAGTCTTATTTCGATTTCCTTTGATGTTTGTCCTATGTATTGCTTTGAACATTCTTTACATGGTATCATGTAGATCGCGTCAGTTGTATAATTTTTTTTAAAAAGATTATTGCACAAGCATTTCATATTATAAAAACCTTTGTTATTTAATCAACCATTGCAAATTATGAATAATTTTCAAACTCCAACTAGACGGAATTATAATTACTTATGATAAAAAACACTGCAGACACAAGAGTAAAGAATGTAATGAAAATAAGATAATGCTTATCTCAGATGTGTAGTAACGATGAGAAACACATTGTAGTCGAGTCTCAGTAGGCAAATTTAAAAGATTAGTGGTACCAGTAGGGGAAAAACCATCCAAAAAGCGCATTTACGTTTTCAAAAAATGAATGCTTAAAGTGAGTTAAATCTTAGTATAGGAATATTGAAAATTACGATTAAAATGACTTATGACGCTTAAAAAAAAGTTGTAAATTTTGCGCTTAAAGCTTTAATTCTTTTCAATGACACAAAACAATTTTACGCTTCACAGAATCCTTGTCACCGGGTTAATGTGAGCAGGCTTTTGTTTGCTGGCTCCGTTTACATATCGTCAATCCAATTGGTCACACAATGCAACAGAAAGGCTGCCAATATGGTAATCACATGCGTAATAAGATATGTGTGGCACGGAAAAGTCAGTGGAGTGGCTCTACTGTATGTTCTCTATATTGTGGTTAAATGTTCTTTTTCATCTCATGTGAGTTTTTCATTGAAGATATGAAAATTCAATCTCTGCCAAGAATATGGGTTAATTTATGCAAACTTTACATTTGACCAGAGATGGTACATAGTAATTCTCTCAGTAAATATTGATGTTATGGAACAATTTTCTTCCCATGACCACCCCTAAAGTGAACCTTTTAAACATGTCAAGAACTTTAGAAAAATTATTTCTTTTTAATTTTGAAAGTTAGAACTATGTTGACATTGCAATTTTAGTGGGGTGTCGATTGTAGGATTTTCGTCCCGGTTTGAAGAATTGGCACATGTACCATGTTGTTTGTACAACATGGTACATACAAGCAGTTCTTGACCACTAACTCATTCATTACACGTTTGTAATTGATCATGCGGCGTGCATAAATCAAACATTTGTTACTTTTTCAAAACTTGACGTTACTAACGTTACTAACATCCATCTCATTGTTGCTAGAACGTAACCTGGAGTTAGCATTGGTTAGTAACAAAGTGTTGTACTACGAGTCTACGACAAAGACACACTATGTTTCACCAATACCAATTTAAAGTCTAATCTCTAACGATAGAGTCTCACGTTTTTAAACGTCCTTCCATGTTTGCTAAATTTCAACATGCTACGGTCGTTTACTGCATAAAAACAACAGCTTCCATTACTTAACTTTATAAAAGGTTATTTTAGGCATGCACAGAAGCACAACACAAACAGAAATTCACGAACGCAACCAGAAGTAAACTATTTTGAGTTTACTCGATAAATTCCATAGCATTTCTAATTCAAGTAGTGCTCTTTTAAATAAGTTGAAACTGTACGTGTTGCGTTGACGCAGGAATGTTGTTAATGAAGATCGTATCAGACAATATATTTTACAAGAACTTAATGAATGCGGTATTATGCTTGGATATAGAACTATTTGGAAGCTTTTGCAATCTAACTATAACGTACTAGTACGCTTTTTTACTATTCAAACTATGCTCAAAGAAATCGACCTTGAAGCAACGAGACTTCGACGAACAAATAGACTAATAAGAAGAACGTATTTGAATCCAAGCCCAAAATAAACCTGGTAAAATAAACTGAAGCCGACGGGTAAGATAAACTGAAGCCGTATGGCTTTGCATTTCACGGAGACACTGACGGCTTTATATTTAAATTTATCGGCTGTCGGATAATTATAATCAAAATTATGCGATAACCTATAATTATAAATAACATTACGCCAAAGGACATCGTGTCGTGGTGAATTGTACGTGAGAAATTGAGTTACATCAACTCATTCTCTAAAGATGATTGACTTCTAGGCAATGATGTGGAAACTTGGACAGGACCTGTTTTTATATTTATTTCGGTATTCGAATGAATTTTTGAAGCATAAGATAACAAAAAGCTCTATCACAAACTTATATAGGGTGATCGTCGCCAAAATTTATAGCTATATTTTCAATTACTAATGCGCATTTTGTCCTTTGCAATGTGCATTTTGTCTTGATCATATTCCATTCTGGAATTTCATAGTCGGATTTTGACCTGTACAATTTCTGTTAAAACTCATTTTGTTGTTGAACATTCCATTATGATGACGTAACATTATTCGTGACTCGCAAAACATCAAATTTTACTCGATCACATCATAATTTATTTATAATTTATTTTCTTGATGCGGTAATAATGAAAACAAAATAAACAAATATTTTTATCTACAAGTCTACAACCCTAAAACATGGCAGACAAGTTATACTTTGTAAGACTCCTTCGCAACTCTATTTTGGATTGTATTGCTGACATCGAAGGAAGTTCAGATCGGGATTTTTGCGTTTTTCGCATTGATTCTCTTTACCATACTTCGTTGCGATTTGCTGAAGTTGTCGACCTTGAAGAGGCTGTTCTGCAGTTTATCTCAAACGCAAAAGAAATTTTAAATGTCGATGTTCATTATGATATTAATCCATCTTCTTCATTGAGCTGCCCTTAAGTTTTCAGTGGCACACCAGGGCGACCAATGTATGAAGTAAACGAAGATATTCTGCGTTATTTTTTGGATAAGCGTTTTACAGTGAAAGATACGGCAAATTTTCTAGGAGTCAGCAAAAGAACCATTGAAAGGAGGATGAACGAGTTTAGTATATCAGTTTCTAATTGTTATTCTGACGTTAACGATTTAGATCTCGAGTTGGTCATAAGAAACTTAACGAACGAGTTTCCCAATCTTGGCTACAAACGTAAGTCAGGATTGCTGTTAGCAAGAGGTTTGCGAATTCAGCAGGACAGGATTCGTGAAATGACGCGAAGAGTTGATCCACAGGGTACATTGTTTCGAGCTTTGTCTCTTAGAGCAGTGCGCAGACGTAAATATCATGTTACTAGCCCCTTGTCACTTTGGCATGTTGATGGCAATCACAAATTGATTAGGTGGGCTACTAAAAAATACCTATTTTGGGGCGTTAATAAATCTCAGCTTTGCATACAAATGTGCTAGTAGTTTCATATTTTTATATACAAAATATATATTGTATAAAAAATACCTATTTTGGGGCGTTAATAAATCTCAGCTTTGCATACAAATGTGCTAGTAGTTTCATATTTTTATATACAAAATATATATTGCTAAACAAAATACTGAAAGGCAATGCTCAAGTGGAATAAAACTTTTCAAACCTCATTCAATGCATCCTCATGTCAATGTCAGGTATATCGACAACTTCTATTAAAGGAATCTCATCTTTGTCACATACCAAATAATCAACAACTACTTCAGAAATTCCAAATAGTGGTGATCCAGCATGTAGGAAAGAATGTGCAATCATTCTTCCAATGCACTTATAGAAGCCTGTACTTCTCAAAAGTGAGTTGGCTACAGGAACTTTATGGTCATTTTCTCCTTCAAATACAAGAGTTTTGGGCCTTTCTTCACAATCCAGTGGAAAACCATCAAGAATCATTTTCATTATTAGGACCACTGCCAACTGAAGTTTCATTTTCAAACTTTACACTGAACCGAGCACACAACTTACTACTGTGATTCTTGTAAATCACCCAAATGTCATTGGCAAAGTCACTTGTCATGTGGCTGACATAAACTTGAAAAACTGGACTGTCACTGACAATTGTAGCATCTCAATACTCTTCAATGACTGTCTTCTTTTGTTCTTAAATAGAAAACCAGTCAAATGATAATTGTAGCAATACAACCCAGCAAGTATTTGCTAGACTAAGCTTACCAATATCACAACTTCTACACCTAAGTACAACATGCAAAAATCACAATAAGCATGTTCAACTTTGTTCATATTGAGACCAAATTGTCCTGAAGGAACATATTGCCAGTTAAAACAACAAGCTAAAAGTCATGCATGAAACAAAGCATCATTTTTAACCAATCAAGAAAACTATATCAAATCATTCACAACTCGTTTCTTTTGAAAATAATTTAGATAAATGCTGCAATTATGATGCATTAATGAGTGTTTAGCAGCATGTATGTACCTACTAATTTCTTCGTACCTTCTTGCTGAAGAACTGCTGTTGCCTGTTGAAGATTTTCTGAATCTGAGTCTGCGCTACCAACAGCACCATAATTAGGCATCTCCTCTTTAAGCGCATACTCTTACTTTACAAGACGGGAGTGCAACACTGCACATCAACTCCATCATTTAACCATATAAAAAATCATTACTCACTCTTTCAACGTTCAATGGCGTACTATTTAGACTAATGCTGTCTTGTGCTTTGGTTTCTTCAACTGTTTCTTCAGGCATTTCCTCCTCCGTTTCATTCAAACCGTCGATTGCTGCCCATCTTGTTCGTCCTCGTCTGAAAAATAATACGGAAAATTTTCACTTGTTACTCAAAGAATGCAAGCTGTTGGTCCATACGAGTTAAAGATTCACACGAGCTATATTGCAATATGCGAACTTTTGCTTCATATGAGCTTTTGGTTCACATGAGCTTTTTTAATATGCGAGCTTTAGCTTACCATGAAATATTTTCCAATCTTATAATTATCTTATAATGTAGATGTTCAGACTCAGAATTATATAAATATCATTCAGTATTGTAGTAATTGTACTATTGTTCGAGCCTCGAATTAAAATTAATACCGATGAAGTTGTACTCTGAAATACCTTCCATTATGTTCCCTTTTAGAAGCCATCCAAAAATTCATAGCTTAAAATTAATCTTGAAGAGACTTTTTATTGTAAATATTTAAAATTAGGTTTTGGACATTGAACTAAATATAACTGGAAGGCTACCTTCGCCCGGAAATTTGAAGCCTAAGTCGACAGTATCGTTCCCAGTCTTTCCACGCTTGTGATAAACACGACCAAAACAAAATATGTCAGTGTTTTAGTCATTTTGAAAGCGGATTTTGCAAAAACTATGAAAAAAAACTGGAAGTAAATTGCAAAAAATGTAAATTTTCCAGGTCATTTATAGTAAGTTTGATTACGGTAATAGATAAATTAAGCAATCGTGCCTTTTTTGAAAAAAAAACAAACTTAACAAGCCTCGACAAATGCGATTTTGACATCTTGCAAATTTGCATGGTATTGTTTTAAAAATTTCTTAAAAAACGTTAAACCAATAATGACATTAACATAACAGAACGTTAGCAAAATTATGTTTTAAAGTAATATTTACGAAGAAAAACAAGTATAGCTTCTTCTCACCCCAGTCCTTTTTTAACGTTAGAGCGTATATTTCCTTGATTTTGCAAACAAAAGTTATTTTTCACTGCATAATTGTCGTCTTTAGGACAAAGATAAGTATTCAGGATTGTTCAGTAAACATGCCACTTACATGTGTGATAATTGGGTGCAGGAACAGGGCTATTTCTCACCACATAGGTGCAGAAACTGTTGCTTTTCACAGGTAAAATTCCAATACATAAGTTGAAAAAATGACATCAAACAAAACTGCAATTTGGAAAGATTAAACATGCTTCAACTACAAAAATGAAATTTTAATAAAATTCAGTTAAATACTAACATATATAAATTCTATATTTTGACAGTTTAGTCATATACAGTATTTATTTGTTTCGCTGGTCACAATTGCAATAAAATAATACTTTTTCACAGTAAAAGTGTAAAGTAGATATAACTGGTATCATATTGTTAGTACAGGGCTTACAACTTTATTTAACTGGACAAGGATTTGTAGTGAAATTACTGGAAGTATAATATTTAAAATACTAGATCATGAATATTTATATGTATTACAGATTTCCCATGAAAAACAAGGCAGCCATAAAATTATGGGAGCATTTTGTTCAACAAGTAAACCATCTTGAAGTACCATGGACAGCAAAAAGTGCACATCGTATATGCAGTGACCATTTTCAACTAACTGACTACATTGTCCCCCCCTCACAAAATGGCAAATGCCGACTAAAAAAGTATGCCATACCATCCATGTCCAATAGCTTGCATGTTCAAAATGTTTCAACTTCTACAACCCACTCAAACGCACTGCTGAATAGACTCGAGCTTTCAAATAAAAGACCTTTTGCAGCTACCTCTGATTCCGTTGATGAAACTTCTCCACCCAAAAATCTCCAAAACATCTACAGAAGAAAAAGAGATTTGTTTAAAAATAAGCTTCAACAAAAAATTCGAAACTTGCAACAACAACTGAGACGCACAAAACAAAAGGTTGAAACCATGGGTGAAGTTGTCAAGATTTTAAAAGATAAGTTGGTGATCAATTCAAAGAGGCAGAAAGTCTTTGTCCACTTTCAATGATACTCAGTTGGGATTTTTATACAATATTAGAGATAATTTAAAATGTCCTCGTTCAGGCAGAAGATACTCTGATGAAATCAAAGAATTTGCACTTACTTTATATTTTATTCTCCAAAAGCTTATAAATATGTTCGATCCATTGTTCCACTACCCAATCCATCTTTGATGAAAAAATGGTCTGCGTCCATGAAATGTGACCCTGGTTTCATTAAAGATGCATTCCAATCACTATCAAATGAAGTTGCTGCTTCCCCAAATTCCAGAGACTGCTGTTTGGTTATTGATGCAATGTCAATACGAAAACAAACAATATGGAATCCAGAAGATGACCAGTATTCAGGGTTTGTTAATCTTGGAGATACACTCCCTAAACATAAAACAGAGAAATTGGCTTCTGAGGCACTAGTATTTTTATTAGTTGGCACCAGAAGTCATTGGAAATGCCCCGTTGGGTACTTTTTGGTTGACAAAATCAATGGTAAAGACCAAGCATCATTGGTAATACAATGTCTTGAAAAGGCATCAAAGGCAGGTTTAAAGGTATGGTCTGTAACAGCTGATGGTACTGCTGTAAATCTTCATACATTTGAAAGTCTTGGTTGCAACTTTAACGGTACATATGATAAAATGCGGTCTTCATTTACCCATCCAACTACTGGCGAAGATGTGTTTGTAATTCTTGACCCTTGCCATATGTTAAAGCTTGCACGCAATGCACTGGCCCAACTTGGTTCTTTTAAGGATGGCAAGGAAAACATTATAAAGTGGAGTTACATAGAACAACTTCAAAACCTATAAATGGAAGAAGGATTAAACCTAACAAACAAACTTACGAGTAATCACCTTAACTTTCACAAACACAAAATGAATGTGCGACTTGCTGCACAAACATTGAGCTCCTCTGTGGCAAATGCTATTGAGTTTTTAGACAAATCCGCTAAACAACCAAATTTCTCTGGCAGTAATGGGACAGTGACATTTATTCGCATTATCGACCGACTTTTTGACATCCTTAATTCCCGGAATCCACTGGGTAAGGGTTTTAAGGCACCTCTTCGGCTTTCAAGTCAGGAAACATGGCAAGAAGTGTTATCATCATCAGCAGAATATTTACTATCATTAAAAACCAACACAGCTTCCTCTCAACCAATTTGTACATCTCAGCGCAAAACATTTGTAATTGGGTTTGTTACCTGCATCAAATCCACTATTTCAATGGCAACACAGATGCTCTCTTCATCCATCAATCCATTCAAGTATCTCTTAACCTACAAATATTCACAGGACCATATTGAACTCCTGTTTTCCTGCATTCGCTCAAGAGGTGGATGGAACAACAACCCAACAGTCTCCAAATGAAGTATGCCCTTCGAAAATGTTGATGAGAAATGCCATTACTGCATCAAAAAATGCAAACTGTTTGGACTTTACTGGCTGCAACAACCTGATACCACTTTTTCGTACAAGAAAACATTCACCCACATTACATAATCAGTCACAAGAAACTGCTGCCCAAGACACTGACAATAAAATTAATGCAATGGTGCAACATCTCCAAGAAGGCAACAGCGAATTTATTTCGAACGTTATATTTTATATTGCAGGATACATACTTTCGAAGTTAGTCAACAATTTATCTTGCCCAGAATGCAAACGATGCCTTTGTCCTTTACCAAAATCGTTATCCGTAGATGACCATGATTATACTGCCACAAAATATCATGAAGCTGGAAAAGCGTCAGCTTTCGTCAACTTCGTGAACAACGGTGGTTTACAGATTCCATCCACAGCGGTGTATCGTTGTATAGAGTTCTGCGAACACGTTTTCAAAGCAACGGTGACAGGCAACGACAATCAGCATATTAGTAACAGGGCAAAGTTGAAGAACAGTATGATTATTGCAGTTTGCCAACATTTTAATCTGGAATCGACCTTTCCTCTATTCAGAGATCACGAAGATGGTGTTAACGAGGCTGTTATCGAAGACGATCACAGCACTCAACTGACAAAGCATATCGCAGACAAATATTTCACACTGCGTCTTTTCAACTACGGTAAAAAAATATACGAGGGAGATCGTAAATAAAGGCAAAACAAGCGACAGGCACCGACTCAATAAGCTAATCTTGTTTAACAATGAATAAATTTAATGTGTAAACACTTTATGAATACAATGAATAAACACTTACCCATTGGGATTTTTACATTTGAAAGTTTTCGCCAATATCCGAGCACAATCCTTTGCCATCGGTAAGCCTTCTGGGTAAAAAATTATTTGGTCGGCAAGAAACTTAAATTTCCTGTATTAATATCAAAAGAAAACGCAGCAAAACTAAATAAATTCAGTAATTTTCCTTTCTAAAGCTTGGCCAAAACATGTAGTTTATTCGTTCAGACTCTTTACTCACTCCTTCCAATCACGCATCGCGAGGCCGAACTCGCGTGATTTGACTACCAGAAACGCGTGTCTGGAGGTCAGATCACGCAAAATTTTGGCTTCATTTCGTGTGTTACCGATATATCAGAAGGTAGCCTTCCAGTTATATTTAGTTCAATGGGTTGAATCATGTTTTGATCGTTAATCATTTCTTCGTAGTTTGAAACACTGCTTCCAGAATAATTACTAGAGGAATCGTTTGAGTAATCCGTATCCATTGCGCAAAATAATTTAAAAACTTAGAAAATAAAATGCAAAGATGAATATGCTTATGCGTAATTTCTACTTTTGCAAGTATATTTTGTCTTATGTTGACAACGATCACCACGCAGTGACGTCACGACGAAAAACCGCTGCTGGACTGCGGCTTCGCTTGCATGTACACAATGGCGATCGAACAAGAGGCAAAAATACACACATTTAAGGCATTATTTCTCGAGTTAAATTTGAATTGGAAACCTAGGATTTCGTGAGAGAGGTAAGAACAATATACACTTTCATATGAGCGAAAGTTCTGTTAAGGTCAGACTACCCCTTTAACACAATCGCTTTTATAGAAAATTGATCGATGGTATTTCAATTATTAGTTGTTTATATAAATACCTTGGTAGAAGCGTAGAAACTTTGGAGGTACTTGTCTTCTTTGGCATAAGAGAAAACTTCAAGCAAAAGTGGAAATGATTAAATATGGTTTATTACATTGAAACAAGAAAGAAAAAATTTCTCCCTCAAATAAAAATGAAAATAACAACCTAGAAACCATTGAGCTCTATAAAACCTGGAGGGGCAAAGGGGCCTGGACCCCGTGGTCAAAAACATGGCGGTAATGGCGGATTTTGGTGGTCAAAACTTCCACTTTAAAAATTTTTTTCAATATTCACTCCCTCCTGATTTCTAACACTGTTTGTATGAACGAAAACAAGTGAGAAAAAAAAAACAATTACGATACCGACAGCATATCATGTGAAAATAATGCTTCAGCATTGCGTGAAAAACACAGTACAGACACACATCAAAATAAAGAAAATCGACGGTAGAGAAACGCATATTTTGGATGAAACATTTAAGTTAATTTATGACATTTTAACCTTTTAAAAGTGAAAATCAAACGGCATTCTTTACTAGACCTATCAATCTCGTCAAACTTATACATTATTTCATGCTTCTGTGTGTTTACTGTTTCTAAACAGTTTGGTGCAACTATTTTTCTTGCTCAAATGAATAAATCTGTGTTAAATGCTGCTAAGGAAGGGAGAAAATGTTTGCTTCAGTCCTACGACATAAGTCAACTGAAAATTTACCATGGATAAGTATCATAAGTGTATTGTCATTACCTGATAAATCTACTGAAAACTCATAAAGAAAGTATGTTGAACTAGAAGAGCTACAAAGAAGAAAAAAATTCAAAACACCATGATACTGTTGCTTGGTTATTTGTATTTTGTAAACAGCTTGGCAGAATCTTGGATCTATTACTGAACAGAACTACATTAATTTTCCATTGAAATTACAAACTTGGAAACTAAAGTGCATTGGTTTCTCTGACAAAAACACTCTGTCTATTGCTGCATGAAGGAAAAATAGTTATTTGACAGTGTAGGTGAAGAAATTGAGCAAGTTCTATAGATATTATTGTGCATTACTTACAGTTTTTTGGAATTGTATAATATATGTCATGAACAAGATATAATTTTTCAAAAATGCTAACCCCTTCGAGCACTAATACTCTTCTGTTTTGCTTAAACAACTTACAGCTACCAATACTAATTATTTATATGTACAAACTAACATTTGGGAATTAAATGATAAACAACTTGTTAAATCTTTGCATTTTACATCAAGCCTTTGAATTAGTTCCTTTTATCTCTTGGTAAAAAAATATTAATGAAAGACTTACAAATCAAGTTTCTCGAAAATAGTATTTTGTACAAAGAAACTAAATAATTGGAAAGGTCACATGTTGAAGACAGACTTTGCTTCTTTGACTAGGCTGCTTGACCATGAGCAAATTTATATTTGTTTACAATTTGTTTAAAGAATTCTTTTTATTGATTTCTACTAATTCTTCATAAGACACAAAGAATTTCTTTGCCATCTATTTTCGCTTCTTCTACATTCAACTTCATTGTAACCAATGCATCCGATGTGAATTTCTGGATCACCTGGAATCATACCAAGTATGGATTTGATGACATGAGACAATAATATGTTTAATTTTTCATGCATATTAATGATATAATCAAAAGCTACTGTTGAACAAAAATTTCAAGGTAGAAACAAATCTTAGCACATTGTTCAACACGCTACTTTTATCTTGGTTTTGAAGTAGTAACCTGTTTACTATAACAATAAATACTTCATTTAAAGAAACGCTGAGTAGTACTTTAAAATTGTTTGCATAAATCCAACTTTCCAATCCCATTATAATTGTCTACACTATACAGTCAGTCAAATTGAGCAGGCAAACAGTTTAATAGTTATTTTTATTATACAACATATACCATAGTTCTCATTAATTTTGCATGGCACTGCATTCAATTTCAACACAACTCTGTTGTAAACTTTCCCTTCATCTTTTCAAAACAAAACATGAACAAATTATGCCCCATTTTTGGGAGGTAAACTCAATTCAAATCAGGAGAGTTTAGCTTGATGCCTTGATCATGATACAATATGGATGCAAAACTCGATAAAAATTGACAGCTTCGACACGTCTTGCGAGCGATTAAGTGAAGAACAAACAAGACTGGAACAAAATAACTTTAAATTAAAACTTAGTAGTAGAAACACTCTTCAAGTATCGTGTTAAAAAAAATAGTAAAACTAATACTGTGCTACTTACCGAGTCAAAAATGTTCCTTTTCTGTCGCTATTTCAGCATCCGCAAACCACAAAAGTTGGCAGTTTAATAAATAAAATTTTAAAAAAGTGTTTATGTTAGGAAAATAAATAGTTTTGATATTTCTATACTCGCAATTGTGGTGGTCAAATCAGGGTGACACAATTTTATTTCATGAGCCCGCGTCTCCGCTGACTTTGATCACCAATCCGCCATGTTTTTAACGTTCGCGCGCTAATAATTTATAGTAATTTTGTTGACGTTTCCCCTCCAGTTATTATAGAACTCAATGCTAGAAACAGGAAACATTGAGTTGTCGTACTTCATGTAAGAAAATATATAATATATTTTAACAAAGGCTCTTTGATGAGGTACAGTCTTCTCTGCACTAGGTTAAATTAATTTCTCATTTGGCATTTTCCGTTTTTTGTTAAGTACTTTCAGTAACATATGTTAGTTAAGTTGTAAGATTACTAACGTCGGCATCTTTGGTTAAAATGGTTGAACGAGCATACAGATTTTGTTCGAGTGGTCTCCTTTGATTTAGTTTCAAATAACGTCGCAGTTTAAAATTTTTCTTTTCCAATCTGACTCCGGTTACTTTGTGTCTCTTGCTTTTTTGTTGATCGCATAAGTTTTTATGCTTCGTGCAATTACTTAGCGACATTTTTTTCTCTTAGAAATTCAATGAACGCTTTTTTAAAATAGTTATTATTGTGTTGTAATTTTCTTTAGAAACTGAAATATTTTAGTATGCATTCCAAAAACAATAAAACGACTGAAAACCGACTATTTACTTGCAGCACTTGGCCTTTTATATTGACAGCAAAAAATTGACAGATTTAATCACAAAATCCTAGTTTAAATATGATTTTTTTAACTTATCTTCAAATTGTAAAAATAGACCACCGTGATCCTTTATAATAACCACATATTCATGCAAAATAAATTTAAAACTTGTCGACTCTAATTACGAACTTTAAAACCTGGATCATGTTTCTCAATTCTCCTCTTTTGTGTTTGTCTCTTTTCCATGTTTGTAGAATGTAGTCAGTTTTCATAGTCCAATGTAAATGTTCATACATGTTATACAATGTTCTTTTAATAACTTTATATCATTCTATTTATGGTGTAACCTCAATATTAAACCAATACAGTACAGACGTCATGGACATCCTTTCTGAACGTATTTCCCACTCTAAATTTAACCCTTTTAGTCGCGAATACTAAAATTTTTCACATTACGAAGGTTTTAACAAGACCTGTTAATTTCTTCCATTTATTTCATACTTCACCTGTTCGTCAGTAAATACACAGTACTTACATTTCCTCTCTATAAAGTTAAAGCGACTTGACTGACGTTAAAGAAAACACATACGAATTTAAATACTTTAACACTTCTGAAATTGACGTTAGGATAAAATTTTTTATTTTATTGGCTCGAGGTGCATATGACCTTTCAAATATACAATAATTAATCATCTAACGTCTTTGAACAAAATTTTTATGCCCGTTTCAAACATCGAACTTTATATTTGTGAACTAAAATAAGGCCCTGTTTACTTTATAGAATTTCTATCGTTGCAGGTTAAATTTTCTATGTGTTAAAAGTCAGTGATAACGTTAAATGCAAAAAGAAACAATTAAATTGACTAAAATCTATCAATTTAATAAGCATTTACTCCAAACTGTTACCTCTTGAAACCAAATGAAGATATCTTGATGAGCAAATCTGGTATATAGTGTAAACGCAGCCAAAGCCTTAAATTTTGTCAAATGAAGCCTCAATGTAACATGATCATGCAATTAAGAAATAAAAGATGTTTCATGTTTTTGCACAGGCTTATGCAAACCGAGGAAAACTTTGGGAGAACTCAAAAGCAGATCAGTGCAGGCCGGAGACCGAAGGACGAGAGTTGCATTTGCTCGAGAGGTTGCCCTATTTTTATTACTCTGTCCTTAGTTATCCCTCCCCTTTTGTAAAGTAAGAAAAATTTAAAAACTTAAGATTTTAAAATTTTAAACTAGAGAAGAACTTGTAAACACATTTATCATTAATTCATGTCAATATTTTACTGTATTTAATCTAATTATTTCAAATGTACTTGTGTCAAAATCGTAAAAGTTTCATTTATTTTCATCACAGTTATTGACATGACATCATGTTGTTTTTACATACGGGAATTACTGATAGTATATAACATTTTCTGTCTTTAAGGTCATATGTACATAATAAACGTACAAAAATGATCTCTCACATTTTTCAACTAATGACAATAAAACCCAAATGGTGTTTTTATACATGTGAATTTTTAAGAGCATACAAAACCTATTTCCACGATATTGAATTGTATTTACAGTTCTTGAAAGCATGTCTAAAGAAAGTCACTCTATAATTTCGTCAAAATAATCTTCATCTACAACAACACTATATTATCAAATGACTCAAAATGAATGAGTTGTTAACATTCTTTCATTTTTATGTAGTGATCGTTTTATTTATAATATTATATAATAGCCGGAAGAGTTTGAGCAATTTCATTGGTCGAGAGCAATGATCTATAAGAGGACAGACGCACGGAATTGAGGTCACAGAAAATTCCTTGTTTTTAAATGACAAACGAATGGAGAATTTATTTGAATATTTACCTGAATATATCCCTGAATGGGCAAATAAAGAAATTAAAAATGCCTAGTTGAAGCATTGGACGCATTTGAGCAAAAAGAAAAGAAAAAACCCGGTTTTCAAACAATGATTTACCACGGCGGCTCGTGGCCACTCAGTTTTTATCACAATGACGCCATAACCGTGTATCTATAACTGTATAGACAACTGTTAAATGTTATCTATTTGTTAAATAAAAATGACCAAATTATCTAACTATACATTTTTAGTAAAAAGTAAATCATCAACATGAAATTTGTTCAGAGGTACAATACATAATAATAACTTTGACAGAGTATCTTACAGTAGTAGTCTAATCTAGAGGATGCCCTGTTTAAATGACAATTCATTTATGAAGATTACAAGTAGAATCTTAGAAAGGAATAAACAAATATTCATGATCAATTAGTATAGAAGCGTTCTTTTTAAATACAAGTTATTTGTGTTATAAAAAGCAATTATACATCGTTTCAGATTATTGCAAAACATAGATAATATTTTACATTCTTTAATAGCAGGAGGTAAGACATTCCAAGAAATAGTACAGATAAATTTAAAAGATCTTTAGCAAAATTGGTCAAATTTATTTTTGGTAAATATAGATAATTTCCTAAAGATTTCCTGGTAGAATAAGTATACTTCTTCTGTAGAAAACTATAGTAGGTGGAAACAAGCAATCATCCTTACGACAATCAACATCTAAGTGCAATTTTCTCAAAAGGTTTTTGAATTTACTATTAAAGTTTGAGTTGATGTATTTATTCAGGAACATTAAGTTTTAAAAATTGAATACTGCAATTAAGACTGTCAACTATAGCTAAAGTTCCTGTGTTGGAATGCATAGTTGTAATAGACATAAAATTATGACTATGTTCGTTAAATTTAGCGCATACTTTACCACTCCTTAAATCTACAGCAACCAACCCACCAGACGCTCCAATGCAATAAGCTTTGTGTATGATTAGGTCGGAGTCCAATAAATATTTACTGACATCATGCAAAATTGCATTCACGTCACCATTCTCTTGAAAATTAATTACATAAATGCCCATAATTATGGTGTCCTTGCAAAATGCTATGACTGCTTGTTTACTATCACTTATACAGCAGTTGAACTTTAGATCATTTAAATTTATCTGTTCTTGAACTAATTTTTCAATGACAGCTGTTATGGGTATTTCTGTAGTATGCAATTGTTTCAAGTAAAGCTCATTGCTGTTATTTCCCCATTCCCATAATGTGTATTCTGTTTTGTTTACAGTTAAAATAACAGAACTATCAGGTGATACAGCCGCTGCTTTAAATTTTGAACAATCGACATGAAGTCTTTTGTTGTATTGTATCTCACCCTTGATAATTCTAACAACTTGAACAAAATCTAGTTCGTCAATACAAACTAAGACATCACCAAATGTTAAGATTTTCTTAGGTTCAAATCCAATGTTAACATGCTTTGCTTGAGTAGAATCTACAAAATTTTCAGACGAAGTTGATATCTTCATAAGATGATCAGAACCATCCCATATCCACATTAAACCATCCGACCACCAACATCCTTTTGCATTCTTCAGTTGCATTGGTACAGTTTGAATAATAGTGCAACGTTCAATGCTCCAAATATGAATGTTGACGTTGTCACCAACAGCGAAAACAGCAAAAAAAGATCCATCCGGTGAAAAACAACAACATTTAATTTTAAATTTCTCAAAGATAAATGAAGGTCTCCAAAGATGATCAGTTTTTAAAATTTTAAGCTTGGAGAAATACGGCACAACGTAAAATTCCTTAAACGAGATTGGATGGACTTTGTTAATATTCCTACGAACACATGGACAACTGACATATGGTAAACAAAACTCGATTTCTCCTTCATCGTTGTATTTTGTCAACTGAGTGATTTCAGAAAGCTTTCTATTCTGACTTGTATGATAAAGAATACAATCACGATAATGGTGTGTTATCTTTGAATGTAAACGTAGTGGATATTCCTTTTTATTTGAAAAAATATCGATTGCCTTTGGGAATTGAAAAACATACGAAGTCTCCACGAAGTCTGCAACAAAGAATTCTGAATATTTATCGGTGCATTGTAGTTCTTGGTAATCAACAACGCAGCGTCGATCAATTCTTTGCAAAGTTAATGAATTCCATGCAGTGAACACTTCTTTAGGAAGTTTTTTGGATTGTTTTACATAGTCTGCTGTAATGAACAAACCAGAATCTGAGAAACAGCAACGATTAACGACAACATCTGACTGTAAACATAATAATAAACGTCCATTGTTAACGTCCCACAACTTTACTTCATTAGATCCATCACTAGTTACCAGTCTTTTTCCGGTAGGTGAAAAGGAGCAACAACGTGTGTTTCCTTGTACAAAACCAGATTCCTTATATGCTGAATAGTTATGGCCGTCATACATGGACGTAAATTCGTGTACATCATACCACTCATCCAACCTTGAAACATAAAATGCAGTGCCGAGAGTGCATCGTTGTTTAAATTCTGGAAGTTCAAAAATAGATATTTGACCATTTTCATATCCTACAGCAAGCAGTTCTTCATTGGACGACACACAAAGAGATGTAACGTTAGCACGCAAGGAGACAGTCAAATGATGATGGTTTGTTAAATATGTTGTGTCTAAATTCTCAAACCAAACAAACTTTCCTTGTTTCAATAAATCCCTTGCAAATAATCTTTTTTTGTTACTGCCATCAATTTTGTTTGCAAAACTTTGTAAATAAAGTAAGCTATCATCATTCATAACTGACACCTTTCTTCTCATAAAGAAATGAAATAGTAGTTCCTCAAGTTCATCTTTTCTCAAGAAATTTCGTAGTTCCTTAATGATTTCAAACAATTCAGACCTAATGGTATACATGTTAATGTCTTCCACAACCATTAACCTCGCATAAACCACTTTGACATCTACTGCCCAGCTAAAGTCAACATTTTCGCCACATTTTGACATATGATAGATTCCATTCTTCAAAGCATATTTAATCATAGCATTGTTCATCTTATCTTTAAAAATATTCATACACTTAATTTGCTCAAACACTTTCTCACAAGCATGCCATAAGAACTTATGACCATTTTTTGGATTAACTGTAAACTCATGCTGTTCGTAACCATCTGATTTCAACCAATCAATTAGAGACTTGTGATACACGGTTAAACAATCATCGTAAACAGGCAAAATTTGAGATAACAGTTCAATGATTTTACTGCGGACTTCAAACTTGATGTCACCATAAAAACCTAAATAGCTCAACAGTAAAGTTAATGGTAAAAATTCCCGACAGGCAGCCAACAATTCAAGAAATTGCATAAAAGTAGTTTCCGAGATAACAGATTTTCTGGTACTTTTCTTCGTTAACAATTCTTTTACTCTTTTAAATTGCTTTATGTAAACACCGCTTAACCCACTAGGGACCAATTGTTGAATGTTATGGTGAGTAAACTCAATATTTTCTTTTTTTAAGCTCAGTTGTGCGTAATACGCATAAAGAAATGATCCCTCGCATTTTTCAACTAATGGCTGAAGAAGGTAGCGATTTTTCTGCACACGATCATTCAACTGATGTCTCAAATACTTGTACAGGTCTTCTTCGTTGTTTTCATCACGAGGATGAGTTGAAATTTCCACAGGATTCATGTCTTTCAACTCCTTTTGTACAGGAAGTTCTGGACGACTGGTGATGAAGATTTTAATCCATTTAGGCAGTCGGCCAAACTCTTCTGTAATCAATTCCAACAATTCACTTTTGCCATCAACTTGACTTTCATCTAAGGCATCAATAACCAAAAGCATTGGTTTATGATCTTCCAATGAATGCAATGGATTATTTAATAAAACACGGAATGCATCGGTGATTGAGTCATTTGAATGGTTTCTCTGTAATTCTTCATTCAGTTTACATTTAAAATCTAATATTGTATCACACATGGTACAAGCCAATGATTCTATCAATATTCGAGGATTCCTCTCATCTGATCTATTATATCTGCAGAAATGAGAAGCAGCAAGTTTCTTCTTTTCAGAATATCGTCGACACACCTCAGCAGCAAACACACTTTTACCAACGCCTGGACCGGCAATCAAAATCATTACATTAGAAGCATCTTCACTTCTTTCGTTAAACCAAGTATCGAGTTTTTCAAATAACCATTGTCTAGTGCCTTCAAGGTATTTCTTGTTAAGATCTTTTATAAGACCATTAAACTTACACTTTCCAAGCTTCTTAAGATCAGAATAAATTTTGCCCTGTATTATTTCTCTTATTCCAACAACGTCAGCTTTTGTTGCCATCTCTTGTTTAATTGCTGCAACATCATCCTTTGTTGACATGCTTTCTTTGATTTCCTCTACTTTGTCTACGACATTAATTAACTGTCGTTCTTCTTCATACCATTCTTTTAACATTTCAATATAATTTGCCTCATTGGAACTAAGGGGAGCTTTCTTTAATTCATCTATTTCAGTTTGTTGAATACCTAGACCAACCAATGCTTTTGAAATTTCCTGCCACAAGTACTCAAACTCACTGTCATCTACACTAGTTGTGCTAATATGGCCATAAACTTTGTTTCGATAAAACTTTATTCTTGCAATGTTTGCTGAGATTGAGGTTTCTGAAGAGGAAGGAAGATTGTCCCATCCACCGTGTGGCGCTGTTAGTCCACATATGTTACGCAATAAGACAGTCAATAATGAAATATCAAAGTTTTCAATGTCAGGTGAACCAGTTGATGGATAAAGAAGGTTCCATTGCATTATATTGATGACTTTTTTCTTTTTTAGTGAAGTCAATTTGTTCATTGTAGACGAATCATTAAGTTCATTGGTCAAACTTGATGATAAATTGTTAACACTTACATGCAATGTTGTTTTTAAGGCTTGGGTTCCTTTATTGATTAAAAGTTTACTCAAACGAGATCCATTTTCCTCAATCTTTAACTTTTTATGAGGCGAAGCCATTTTTTTCTAAAAATGACGAATGAGTTTGTGAAAAATTGTATGATTTAAAATGTACAAAATGTTCACAAAAGTTAAAAGGATAACTTAAAAATAGTACTAGAGTCATTTGTAAAGGCTTGTGGGCTTCATTTCTTTCTCTCGATAAAAATTGTGTTCACTGCCTAGCGACATGACCCAGTAATTGATCTTACATCAAGGCATTAAAATAATAGACTTGATACAATAAAAAAACACTTGAAATGATAATACTTTTGTCAACTGGAGTAAACGAACACACATTATCAAAACGGAAGGAAGGGGTAAAACCTCCCGAACACTGTGACCTGTTAAGAGTTACAAAGGTGAACCCAGAAATTTGGGACATTTCTAGGAAATCCACACGTAACATGGATGCACGTTTACAAAAATTACAAGAAGCCTTAATAAAGAGCCTCATTGCGATCTCCCAAATTGGGGAGATCTGAACATAGGCCGAAGGGACTTAGTCAAGGTTGACCTTGATGAAAATTACAAGGCCATCTGAAGTAACAAAGAACCTGTTGCTGCAGACTGTTTGGTGATGATTTAAAGAAACGCCTTAAAACTGTAAAAGAAAGCAAAAAGGCTGCACAGCAACTGAAAAGCCATAAACGGAAACGCAACAATCAACGGTTGACCAGATCATATAATTCCAATGTGCCTTTTTTATTCCAACGTCGGGGCGGTCATTTGCAAAGCCGACCCCAACGAAACAACTCAAGAGGAAAGTCGAGACAAGGGGAAACACTAAGAAAGTAGTGACTCTTACTCTCGACCATGTAAGTTGTAGTAAACGTGGGTGTAGTTCTTCTATCATATCTGGGGGAGACAATTATTGTAGTATAGTTGCAGGCCGGATACAACAATTTATTGGGAAGTGGAGGGAGCTAACTCGCGATCCTTCCATCTTATCAGCTGTAAGCGAATACAAGGTTGATTTTCTTATAGACCCAGTCTAGCTGAAACAACCCCACTCTATAAAAATGTCTCCTTCGGAAGTTCAAAATGTCGATGGTCATGTTACAAAATTTCTAGAGAAAGATATCATTGTTACAAGCATGCATGAACAGGGCGAGTTTATCTTCAATATCTTTCTTAGAGCAAAGAAATTCTTTTAGAATAATATTAAACCTAAAAGAGCTCAACACATTTGTAACATATCACCAGTTTAAAATAGAATCTATCCATACTTGTACTCAGCTCATGAGACCTGCATGCTACATATCATCCGTTGACCTTAGAGATGCATATTACTCAATACCAATAAACGTAGAGCATCAAAAATACTTAAAATTTATGTGGAAAAGTAATCTGTACCGATTCACATGCCTTGCTCATGGATTATCTTCCGCTCCACGCTTATTTACAAAGATACTCAAGCCTGTATATCTAAGCTGAGGAAGCTTGGGCACATTTCTAGCGGATACATTGATGAGTCTTTTTTAATGGGCTACTCCTATTCAGAATGCGAGCAAAACGTACATGACACTCTACAATGATTTCAGAAGTTAGGATTTCTACCCCATAAAGATAAATCTGTTACAGAACCCACACAGATTTTACAACATTTAGATTTGTGTTAAATTCAATAGATATGACTATCTCTATATCCATAGAGAAACACAACAAATTATGCGAAGTTGCCAAGGGGCGCTAAAATCTGACTCTCCTAGCACACGGGAAGTGGCCAAGCTAATTAGTAAGATGGTAGCTTGTTTCCCTGGCGTTGAATATGGCCCACTGTTTTATCGTGATCTTGATAGGGACAAAACAACAGCTCTTATCTCTAACAGGAGTAACTTTTATTCGACATTGAAACTCTCTTCTTTGCGCTGGAGGAAGTATCTTGGTGGATTAATAATGCATATGAGTCCAAAAAACATCTGAATCATGGCAAAATTGACCACGTATTGTATACGGACGCGTCTACCAAGGGAAGGAGTGCAAGTATTAACAAACAGTCCACCGCAATGGATCGAGCGCTGTCTACGGGCGCAAAATACTCGAACATTAACTGCCTGGAACTCAAACCATTACTGTTTGGGCTACAATCTCTCTGTAGAGATCTAGCCCACACCCACATTACAGTAATGACCGATAATACAACGGCTCTTGCATATATTAACCACATGGGGGCTGCTACTCTCACCATTGCAATAAAATTGCAAGGGAAATATAGGCATGGGGCAGAATCAGGGAAATATGGCTAACTGACAGCTATATCCCTGGGAAGCTTAATGTGGTGGCTGGCTGACAGAGCTTCCTGAACATTTGATGATTCCAAAGAATGGAAGCTTGATGCTGAATAATTTCCTGAAGTAACAGCATATTTTGGGACCCCAGAAGTTGACATGTTGTCTTTTAGACTAAACTATCAACTTAAACCATATGTCTTGTGGCACCCAGATCCACAGGCGTGGGCTATTGACGCTTTTTGCTTTGATTGAAGTAAATTGTTTCTTTATGCTTTTCCACCTATTAGTGTTATATCACAAGTTTTACAAAAAGTAGAAATGGCCCAGGCACGGACAATTCTCGTCGTGCCGAATTGGCCAACTCAATCCTGGTATTCGATACCGGCAAGATTAATGATTCACCGACCCATTCTCCTACCCAAAAACAAAAGCAACGCGAGCTTACTATCCAATCAAACAAAAGAACATCTACTCTAAGGGAGACTGAGCCTAATAGCTCCTCTCTTATCCAGAGATCACTCTCAAGTAAGGGCATTTCATCACAGGCTCAAAAAAAGTACTTAATTCCTGGCGGCCAGGAACACAAAAACAATATCAGGCTTACCTTAACGAGTGGCAACTCTATATTAATAAACGGAATGCAGATCCCCTTTATCCAACTTTACAGGTAGTTCTAGACTTTCTACAGCATCTATTTGATCAAGGGATTAGTTACAGTTGCATAAACACTGCTTGAAGTATGTTATCTTCATTCGTTATTACTGAAGGAAATTCTACGATTGGTACACATTATATGGTTCAGAGATTTATGAAGGGAGTGTTCCACTCTGGACCAGCACTACCAAGATATCAAGTGACCTGGGACATTTCTATTGTATTAGAGTATTTAAAGAAATATGCCTCCGTAGAAGACTTAACCCTACAACAGCTAACTCATAAGTTGGTAATGCTCTGTGCATTAGTCACAGGGCAGCGTGCCCAAAAACTCCACCTCATGAACCTCTTAACTGTAAAAGAGGAAGAGGACTCATATATCTTCTATATCGACCAACTTGTTAAATAGTCTGTACCAAAGCGCATTCAACCTACTTTAGTCATACCAAAGTTCTCTGCTGATCAGCGACTATGTGTTGCCTCAGTTATGGAAGAATATATTAAACGTACTGCTACCATTCGAGGTCAGGAAAATCAACTATTTCTTAGCACAATTCGACCCTTTCATAAAGTATCAAAGTCATCTATATCTCGTTGGATAAAGGTTGTCATGCAAGCTGCAGGAATTGATATAGAAACGTGCAAACCACATAGTACACGAGCCGCAGCCACCAGTAAAGCGAAGCAATGTGATGTTTCGATAAACTCTATACTGAAAGCTGTAAGTTGGAAGACTGATTGAGTTTTTCATCGGGTTACAATAAGAGCGTTGTGTCTCAACGTGGCAATGGGGAGTTTGGGAATGCCATTCTTTCAGCGTCCCAATAAGAAAGATATTGGATGAGAATTCTCTTTAGTTGAACTTGGCGTGGAATTTAGAACACATATACATGCATGTATAGTGCAAGAGAAGATAATACTGTAAATTCATGATTGTTACCATTTCTGGGTATGTTTGACACATCTCCAATTAAAATATGTTTATTACTTAATGTCGTATTTGCGTGTAGGTATGAATTGTGTCCACATGACTTTCAAACCTCGTGGGATCTCTGCGGTAGATGCTAATAGAATTAGGAAATTGAACGAGCTTACCTGAAGTTGAAATTCGATTTGGATTCTATCAGCATCTACAGAGCAGAGATTACACGCCCACCCATCATGTTACTGCCTCCCTGCAAATCGTTCATATGCACATTTAGGCGGTTCATGTGGCCACTATCTATGAAATATGACCAATGTGCGCATGCGTAGTATCTCTCGTGCAATCTCTGCTCTGTAAATGCTATTAGAATCCCAATCGAACTTCAACTTCACGTAAGTCTCGTTCAATTTCCTAATTTGTTTATAGTCATACTTCATACTACGTAATGCTTCGGTATCAAATTTGCTAAGTTAGAAATGTAAATACAAAATCTCGGTTAACTTACGTAAAATTACCTTTGTTTTAGAAATAAGACTTCATATACGACGATCGTGTGGACAAAATTATGCTTGCTTTAGTTCTTTACATGTTACGTACCTAACAAAAGATGAGAAATTTAAAATAAAAAACGCGACTACATATATATCACTTAAAAAAAGATAATCATAATTCATACATTATTGAAACATCAAATTTTTATCCACATCAGTTTTGTTACATAAATACATTTAAATAATGAACGAAGATAAAAAGTGAGTCAGGATCTCCTTCAACAAACAATATTATTATATAACTAAATATACATCACTGACTAAAAACAATTGTTATAGAAATAAAAATACATAAATAAGAACCTCATTTAGAGTACATAATAAAATTGTGATATATCGAATTCCAAAGAAGTTCTGTTAAACGTTATAAAGTTTCACAATGTTTAACTCATGAATAGAGAATCACATTTTTAAGACAGGATTCGAATGTCAATGATTAAGACACGATTTTCGAAACTGTAAATGGATTTTCCCTTGATTAAGCAAAAATTCCATACATGTATATTCTTGCATAAATCAGTTCTTATTATAAAAAATCTTTGTTATTAAATAAAACTTTGTAAATCATGAATACATTTTAAACATCAACTGCACGCAATTATATTTACTTATGATCAATAAAAACACTGTAGATACAACAGTAAAGGTTGCAATGAAATTAAACCTTAAAACTGTTAAACAAACATTATCAAAAGTAAAACTGTGAAAAATCTCTGTGTCTTATGAATAAATATTTCACAAAGAATAGTTTCGGTCGCGTTCTTCCTCTGTGTAAATACATTCATCCTGTGTTTAACATTTGCTTATTTTGCTAATTTTCTTACTTTCAAAATAAATGGTTTGTTCAATACAATCATCAACTTTTTTCAAGACACACAGAATTTAGTCAAATACGGCGTCGGCAAAGAAGGGAGGTGATGCATAATTGGACATGTCCCCCCCTCTACATAAATTTTCACGTATTTCACTTTTTTCTATAGACAGGTATAGTTTGTATAACTCCTGCAGCATAAACGTTCTGGCACCTGCACGCAACATTTGGTAATATTGATAGTAAATGTAAACTAGATACATACAGAAAATGTACTTAGAATTAGATAGGAAATGAACAAACAACAAACAAAACAACAGAGTATAAATAAAGTACCATTACCGATTGTTCACGTTTATATTCAGATCTCAATGATTCGTATATTTTCGATAAAGAGTTAGAAGTACTAATACTTTACGCGTTTGTAAGTTTACATTAACTAAAATATTGTTTCGATTCTTGGGGACTGGCACTAGTGTCAGTTACAGTTTATAAAGAAAAAGGCAGCATCATACATAAAGACAATACTCTCATGTTATTCTGCTTTTCCCTATACTTTTGAACACGTTTTACTGTCCTTTACTATGCAGCTTATGGTCAATTGTTGAAAAGTTGAAATATAAACTTAGATATGATTTCTCATGCATGTTTATTCATATTTCATCTAGAAGTTTCTTTAGCTAATTTTTTAAGTCGGTAATGTAGATATAAAATCTCGCTTTACTTTTGTATTTACTCTTTCTCTGAGTAAATACATTCTTCCTGTGTTCAACATTTGCTTACTTTACAAATAATCTTATTTTTAAAATGAATAATTTGCTCAATACAATCAACAACATTTTGCTAGAAACACAGAGATTAGTCAAAAGTGGCGTCAGCAAAGAAGGGAGGTGATGCATTATTGGACATGTGCCCCTCCCTAAATAAATTTATACAGATCCCCCATTTTGTATCGACAAGTATAGTTTTTAAAGAAAAATTTAGCGTCCTACATGTAGAAAACGTTCTCATGTTATTCTGCCTCCCCATACTTTTGAACAGATTTTACTATCCTTTACCATGCAGCTTATTGTCAATAGTTAGAAAGTTGGTGTATCAACTTAAATATTATTTCTCTTGAACGTTTGGTCATACATTATCGAGATGCTTCAGTAGCAAATTCGTCATGTGAAGTTAGTAATATAGTTTCTGAGTCTCGCTTTATTTTTCGACAAATTACCTACGTTTTTGAAATAAGACTTCATATATGACGACCGTGTAGACAAAATTATGCTTGCTTTAGTTCTTTACATGTCACATACCTTAACAACACAATTAACAACATTTTGTTAGACACACAGCGATTAGTAAAATGTGGCGCCGGTAAAAAAAGGGAGGTGATGCATGATTGGACATGCTAACCTTTCTACATAAATTTTCACAGATTCCCATTTTTTCCGTAGACAAGTATGCTATTTCACCTCTCCCATACCTTTGAACGTGTTTTCTTTCCTTTCCCATGCAGCTTATTGTGAATAGTAAGAAAAAGTTGGTGTATCAACTTAAATATGATTTATCTTGAGTGTTTAGTCATACATTATCTAGATGCTTCAGTAGCAAAGTTGTTATGTAAAGTTAGTAATATAGTTTCAGAATCTCGCTTTACTTTCAACAAATTACCTTCGTTTTAGCAATAAGAATTCATATATGACGACCATGTAGACAAAATTATGCTTGCTTTAGTTCTTTACATGTCACATACCTTACAATGACGAGCGATTTAATATAAACAACGCGACCACATACATATCAGTTTAAAAATGGTGATCATAATTCATACCTTACTGTTACATCAAACTTTTATCCATGTAAGTTTTGTTACATAAACACTTTTAAATAACGAGCGAAGATGAAGAGTGAGTCAGGATCTCCTTAAATAAACAGTATTTTAAAACATTAATGACATCTATGTAGAACATTCTAGTTATATAACTAAGTATACATCACTGACTAAAAACAATTGTTATAGAAATAGAAATACATAAATAAGAACCTCATGCAGAGTACATAATAACATTGAGATTAGTCCAAAGGACTACTGCTAAATCTTATAAAATTTCACAAGTTTTAACTCAGGAATAGAGAATCACCTATCTAAGACAAGATTTAAATGTCAACGATTATGACACGATTTTCGAAACTGTGAATGGATTTTTTTACTTTATTAATCAACAATTCCATACATGAATCTTATTGCACAAGTCACTTCATAGTATAAAAAACCTTTGTTATTAAATAAACTATAGTAACTTACGAATACATTTTAAACATCAAATGCACGCAATTATAATTACTTAGCTATGAGAAAAAACACTGTCGATACAACAGTAAAGGATGCAATGAAAATAGTCATTAAGATAATGTTAGTCTCATATGTGAAGTGACGTTGAGAAGCACATTGTAGTTAAAAAATCTCAATCTCAAACTATCTACTATCAAGATTAATCTTTGTGTATTTGGTGTTATCATTTTTCTCTATATCATTGAGAATGTATTTGGTATAGGCATTAAACATCTCACTTCATGGTAGGGGAGAAAATTGTCGAATGGTGTGTGCTAATATTATTGTGCTAAGCGTATTACCGTGAGTAATGTAAAAATTTGTCACATTGCTCATGTATAAAGCAATATTTTAAGTAAAAAGGACTTCTTTGTGAAATGAAAGAATCATGGAATTTTGATTATGTACGCAAATCACACTACCATAATGTATAATATCATCTTTATTTTTTTGTTGAGTCGGTGGATGCAGAAAATTAAAAAAATTTGTCTTAGAAGATCTGACTGAGCAGAAAACTTGCGTACATATTTTTTTTCAAAATGTATGCCATTATATTTATTAAACGCAGTGTTTTGGGAAATATACCCAAAGGCCGAGAAATAAAAATAAATGTGAATATTAATTCTAGCAACAATAAATAATGTTAGGATAAATGACTTCACTTGGCCCCAAATGTGGACACTGTTTTTTTTGCCGAAACAAAACGAAATGGGAGGGTAAAACCGGAAGATCCGGTAAAAACCCTCCAATCAATAAAAAGATCACAATTTAGAAAAATTTCTTTAAATTTTTGTTGTTTTCAAGATTTTTCATATTTTTGTTGTTTTAAATGATCCCGATGATCTACTTTAACATGCAGCGTAGTCAGATCGTAGCTTTGTCGTTCGTATATTAAATTTGCAAAGCGACAAAAAAAGCGTCGACATAAAAAGCGGCGACAAAAAAGTCGGCTGACTACCTTATTTATTGACAACGCAAATATTTTGTGTTTAAACAAAAGAAACGAAAACTTTAGTAGTGAACAAAAATTGAAAGAGTGCAGAGTGTTAACAAAAATTATAATGAACAGACGAAAAATAAAAACTAATAGCAGCTCATACATAAATCATATGAAAAATTCATTCAGTACGTTCGACCTGATCATTCACCTACCAATAACAATGAAAAATGAAATGACCAAAGTGACGTCGTGACTTGCATAGAAATTATTTTTGATGTCTACTAGATTTCATTCGGTCAAAATTTCTATGTTGCTTTATTAAGACCTTCATTAACAGCTGGCTTTCACTCGTGTGTTTTGTCCGAAAATTTGACAATTGTGAAAATTTAGTTTTACGGAAATTTTTAACGGTTGAATTTAAAAATGCGTTTTACTGATTAATAGTATGCATAACGAAATTCGCAAGTGGAAATCTTTCATTAAGGACGCTTGTTTCTTCGTGCTTCTGTCCAACTTGATCGTTCATTCAATGTCTGGTTATTACCCCTACAGACATAGCTACTCTATAAAAAAACACATTATAAATGTCAGCATAAAGAATGAATAAAATCAGAAATTATATATTTTGAAAAGAACAAAACTTTAATACCTGATTTTCAAGCATTGTCCTGCTCCGTCGGATCCTGGAGTCTTAATATGTGTCTTCCACTTTTTTACAGCGCAGTTTTTACGTGTATATCGTAGAAATTTTATTGTAACATTTTTATCTTAAAAATTCAATGAACCCTACTTGCAGCATTGCAATTTTGTTTAAAAACGTTTAATAAAACTAGTAAAAAGTAGCGAGTGAAAGCCAGCTATTTTCTCAGAGCAATTGACATTTTTATTGACTTTTTTTTAACTAATATAGGTGTTTTTCATGATTATAGTTCAAATTATAAAAATAGACCCTCGGGATCCTTTTTGAATATCTCATGCAGTTACTCATATCTATAAGTTAATTTTAATACTTATCTACTAAACTTACAAACCACAGGACATAGATCATGTTTTTCCACTCGCTTGTTTTCCATCTTCGTAGATTATAGTCCAATCATTTCAATGTTAATGTTCACACGTACAAATGCCATTATGCAATGTCCATTCAATACGTTTATACCATTCCATACACAAAGTAATCGACGTAACCAATAAAGGGGCTACTGGTATTATGAATCGCCATTTCGATAGATTACTGTTTACAATGCACTCTTACGGTAACTTCAAGCCACGAAAAAGGGATCACTTCAATACCCCAGTTATATCATCACTCAAAGTATGCTTAGTGTAGATTTGATTTCCTATGAATGTCAGCTGACCATCTTTAGGTGGGCTCATATAACAATGGGGCCCATCATCATTATATGAACAAACAACTGACATCCACAAAGAATCCAAACTGCAAATGAACATTTTTGGCCATGAATCACCATGACACATGAGTAATGACAAACTAGTAAGAGTAATTGAAGTGAATGACACAAGTGGTAAAGGGACTTTCACAACTCTATCCATGTAGGATCTACAATATAAGAAAAGATTTTGACGTTAGTTTGCGTTTTTAAATTCTTAATCAGATATATTGAGAATGAGCAAATTGTTATATATTTTCTGTTTGACTATCCAAATGGTAGAACATTCACCAACATTGCACGAATAGCTTTAGCCGGTTAAGTTTGAAAGATGTAACAAGTTTCAAACGATCAAAGGCTTCACATCGTTATCAAAGCATTCTACATTAAAACCTTTCATATTACGAGGCCTACCATTAAGACTAGTTGATTATTTCATGCAACTCATACTTCAGTAATCAGTCAATAAAAAGACAGAATTCCCCTTTCTTTCTATAACGTTAAAGTGACTAAGTTTCCGATGTTAACATTTGTTTAATCACGTCATGACTAAATTCTTTTATTGTGATTGGCTCCTTAGGAGCTTTTCACCTTTTACAAAGACAATAAGTAATCCTTCTATGTATTTGAACAAAAAAATTCATTAGAATCAACAAATTTTTTTGCGTTTTAATGTCGTTATGCAAAGCAAATATTCATGATGTAGTAGGTTAAGATTCATGAGAGATAACAAATTTATAAACTAGAGTTTAATTTTGTCCAAATATTTAAATAAGTTAAGGTTAGGAGAGAATTTAAGGGCGTTCTGTTTTCCCCGAGGTTCTACAACTAAAAATATAGTAGAGAGTCGTAGAAAAACGAGCAAAAAAACAGTTACGGTTCTCGTTCATTGCAAGTCTACACCTTAATCTATGAAAACTGCACTTCTATGCACTCAACCACATAATGCATTGGAGACGGATGGAAAATTTAGTGTGTTTATATTCATTGCATGTATTCAGTTATAATTATTGTGATTTTGAAGAAACAAACCAAAAATCAGTAGCATCAAAAACCATTCAGAGTTTCACAAGAACAATAGAGATAAATCCAAAAACAAATTATCATTTATCGTCAGTTTAGTCACTTACATTTGTAGTTTTTAGCCGTAGGATCTATTTCCATACTTCATATCGAAACAGGTAGCTACATGTGTCACACATTTCACAAGAGTTTTCCTCTTTTAAATTTCTTTTTGCTGCTGCTATCAACATTTAGGATGTGATACTGATAGTATATATTTGCACATCGTGGCTTTCAAATAACTTGTCATCGAGAAGAGTTGAAGTCAACAACTTTATTTTGATTAGCACAATCACCTTTACACTTGTCGTCTATGTGTAAAGTCTTGTTCCATCTCATATGAACAACATCTATTTTCCATGAGGCCTCGTGGTTTATATGTGGCTTGAAGTGAATAGTATCTTTATAGATAGTGTTAAGCATGTTATTATATGTATTTGTTCCACATGATTGTTTAACCCTCAAGGAGCCGTGCCTTTTCAAAAGTTCGTACTCATCTCGTTTGGTGATTGTTGCCTGTGAGCAACAAGGCCTCTATTGGGTTAAAATTCATTGTTTGTACTTGAACAAATTACCGGGTATCTATCAAATCTAATTTTTAAAAACAAAACGTATTGTTACAAACAAAAGAACTATGCTCTCCTTACATTAATATATATGAAATGCTAGTAACAATTGACCATTTTTCTGTGATATTGCGTCAATTATTTATTAATTAAATTATTTAGCCTATTAAATAACGCTAATATTATAATGTTGGGCTTGGAGATGTTGTTGACGTCAATCAGACGCCCTTAAACCATTCTCAGAACCTTAACTTATCAAGACATGACTGCAAGATTCAATGAAGATTTCCTCAAAATTAAAGTCTAGTTTTTAAATTCATTAAGGTCTAATGAATCCTAACCTACTCTACAACATCATGCATCGTTACTTTGCATAACGACATTAAAACGCAAAAGAAATCGTAAGATTCTAACGATATTTTGTTATTTAAACGCGTTGAACGTGGTCATGACGTGGTCTCCTTATTTTGACAACTACAGATTGAAAAATTTGGTCACAAAGTCCTAGTTTAAAGATGATTTCTTTTGTTTGTATTCAAATTATAAAAATAGACCACGGTGATCCTTCATAATAACTTCATATTAATGCAAACAAAATTTAACATATATGAACTCATTTAAGTTCTATAAAACCTGGATCATGTTTTTTCATTCTCCACTTTTCATCTTTATAGAATATAGTCCTTTTTTATATTCCAATGTAAAGGTTCACACATACAAATGACGCTATACAATGTTCTTTTAATAACTTTATACTATCCATTTATGGTGTAACCTCCATATTTAAACCATACAGTACAGATATCAGGGACCATCCTTTCTGAACATATTTACCATTTTAAATTTAACCCTTTAGTTGCGAATAGTAAAACTATTCACATTACAAAGACTATAACCAGACCTGTTGATATCTTCCATAAATTTCTTACTTCGCCAGTAAAATACACAGTACTTACATTTCATCTCTACAAAGTTAAATGGACCTGACTTACGTTAAAGCACAGAATAGGAAATGAACAGAAGACCACCTCAGGGGTGCGATGTGTCCCAGATTTTTTATGAGCTACGTCAGATCTGCCATTACTCTCGCAAGTACTGCGGTTGCTAACTACTATAAATTATACAATACAATGGAAATTTTTTTGTAAGAGAATCGCACTTTCAAGTAAAAATTCTTTAAAGTGCTACTGAAGTGAAATTTTGGGTATCGATTTTTTTCTATAATCAAATAGTTCTATCTTTCCTGATCACTTTGGTATAATTTTTATGCATATTGAAGCACGGGATCATCAATAAATTTTTGCTCAAAGTTGGGTTACGCGTGCGAATTTTTACCACTGAAATATTATACGGATGTGACGTAATAAAAAGGACGGAAGTCGAAGTAGGAGCATTGATTTACTAGTATTTTGTTAGATTTTCAACACATATACACAATAAAATATGAGTTCTTCAAGCAGTGAAAGCGAACGCAGTTCGGATACTGAAAACTCAGATATGGCAAATGAAAATTTACTTTCAAATTCCGGCGATGAGGATACAATTGTGGCTAATTCAGTGGTAAATCCTTACGAAAATGAACCTCTTGCGAACGCAGTCGGAGAGAATTTTGTGTCGGTCGAAGAAGACGCAGATGGCTTAGAACCTCGAACATTGGAAGCGAGGTTCGAAGGAACCTTTCAGTTAGATAAGTGGTAAGTTGATAAATGTTACTAGAACTCTAGAAGAAATTAAACCATGAATTAAACATGTTATTTTGTCCTTATGTCGTGGTGCATAAATATGATAACAAACCACTTTTTTATAGGTGTGCATGTAGCTTGGGTCGTACTCAACTGCTGACAGATGCCATTGAATACCGTTGTTGTCAATAGGTTGGGCCTACTTTACATAAACTGGTATTCGATGTTAGCATTGAAAAATTAGCTGTGTTACTCTTCACGAAGAGTACACGATTATGACACATGCTACAGTCTTGAAGAATGTTGGAAGAATGTTGGCTCACTTCTAAGAGACCAAGATGGAAGGTCATACAAGCGTATGACCAAGAATACATGAAAATGAGTTAGTACATTTTTGATTTCTAATTTTGTTTTGTAACGAATGATTAATATCTTGCCATGTATCTCTACTTTTTACCTTTATGTGGTTCATTATTGTGCTGTGATGCTTCACAATTTTGTTGTGTGAAGTCAAAATAATTAATCAAATAAGAACATTTTTTGTAGCATAGTATATTATTTTATAACTAACTTTAAAGTTGGCCTGCTAAGAATATTTGTCAAGTAATTCTTGTGGACAATGACATTTTGGATGTCCTTTCATTGGCTGTCCACAATTTTTGCATAAGCGCATTTTTTTTGGATCTGAAGGACCTGTTGAAGCAGCTTGTTTTTCTTTGTCTAAACCTTTTGCTTGCAGTACATCTTGCTGTTGATCTATAAATAACAATTTAATTTGTTTACTTTTAGAATGCACTGGCCATACCTATTATACATGGTAGCATGAACAACTTACATGTGGGAAACAATGGTGTTGAAGATAGTTGTTTCCTATCCAAATGCCGTTGGATTGCCTCAGTTTTGGAAATTCGATCCGAGAAAGTTTTGTTTAAGGCTTCTGGGACTTTTTCCTTATACTTCTTAAATATGTTGTCCATGGATTCCTCACAACTAAGAACCATGACATTTTTGATTTCATTAACATAGTCTGGAAAAATGACAAGTGGTTAGATGTGTAAGTCAAGAGTACCAATGCATACATGCTAAACTTACAATATGATGGTGCTGAAGAAACAGTTCTTACTACTTCATCCCTGATTTAAATTTTGGGTATGTCACAGAATAATATGGTGTTCCATTTTTGTTTTTTGGCTGTCTGTGAAGGTTTTCATTGAAATGAAGTACTGCCAGTACGTGCCTAAACAGAACAAACCATTTATTATGTAATTTTTTTTCTTGACTAGGAACAAGTAAAAAAGGCTTGGCAGATAGAGAACAGTGATTACAAGTTACCTGCAATATGTACCAAGCCAAGAAAAGTGGGTCATCTTTGGATGCCAACCATTTAATGTTGAATGAAAACCTTCGAGACAACTAGTTTGTGCTTCTGAAGATAGTTTTTTAACATCTTTGAGAACAGATTTTTTCAACAGAATGGAGGAAAGTCGCTGATATGATTTAGTTCCTTAAAAAGAATACAATCCCATCTGAAAAGTGGTAAATAACATTTTAGACATTTTAACAATCTCAATTCTGTCTTGCTGCCCTAATGTGTGCATGCTCATACCAACTTGAAGCCATAGACGTTCATCTAGCTCTCCATGAGCACATTTAGGAAACAACTCATCTGGATGGTTTTCATGCTTGTTTGTAATGTGCCTAGCAATGGATTTCCATTTCGCAATCGTCGTCTCATGTTTAGCGATTTTGCAACTGTTGCGTTCACGGTGAATGCAGAATCTGCGAAATGCATTGAACATAGCACAGAGTACTGCTGAGGAACGAATTTTGGCCTATGTCTCCTAACAAATTTCGTCCATTTATTCAGCCTCTCCTTGTCATTCATGGGGAAACGATGTACTGAGACACCCTCTGTGTGTTGACTGTTTGTACAACTTTTTCCGTTGGGCCAACCAGCAACACAATATTGTCCTCCTCGACGATTTTTTGCAGAATTTTGCCTACTCGCCATGTTTTAACTTGCAGTGTATCGTTACGTTTGACTAACTTAATAAAAAATTATTCTCCTTATATTATGTGCGTTGTGATAATATTGCATGGGTTTTAAAACCACAGACTACGTCAAGGATGCGACACCCATCTGATAAGAATGATAAGTCTAATCCAGAAGTTTATAAAAGTAGTATACATTGGATGATTGGAAATAAGCGCGTTACAGTTAGTTTCTGATAACATTGCGTGTGTGTTAAAACCGCAGACTTCGTCAAGGATGCGGCACCCAGTTTATTGAGAAATATAAGTTAATTCAAGAAGTTTATAAAACTCTAATCGATTGTAAATGTTGCTTACCTATGTGTGTTGCTCATTTGTCACTAAATATACGCAATTTTTGCGAAGAGAAGTTATAAAATATGTAAAATTCCAGTTGGAAATATGCTTGTTCGTATATAATTTTCATATACTAAGAGCTTTAAAATTGAACTTCCGTCCTTTAAATGACGTCACGCACTCAAAGTAAAATTCGCATCAAAACAAGCAAATATGCCATGTTTGAACGCAAAGTTCGATGCGTTCCCATCGACTAAATTCAGTGGGCGATAGCTCAAAATGATCAGTAAAATACAGAGAAAACGTTTGTATCGAAAAACGAAATATGAAAATTTCACTTCAGTAGCACTTTAATAACTTCGAAAAAGACTACAGCTAAGGATGTTTAATAACTCTGAAAAAGACTACTGCTAAGGATGTTTAATAACTCTGAAAAGACTACTGCTAAGGATGTTTAATAACTCTGAAAAAGACTACAGCTGAGGATGTTTAATAACTTCGAAAAAGACTACTGCTAAGGATGTTTAATAACTCTGAAAAAGACTACAGCTAAGGATGTTTAATAACTCTGAAAAGACTACAGCTAAGGATGTTTAATAATTCTAAAAAGACTACTGCTAAGGATGTTTAATAACTCTGAAAAAGACTACTGCTAAAGATGTTTAATAACTCTGAAAAAGACTACTGCTAAGGATGTTTAATAACTCTGAAAAAGACTACAGCTGAAGATGTTTAATAACTTCGAAAAAGACTACTGCTAAGGATGTTTATTAATTCTGAAAAAGACTACTGCTAAGGATGTTTAATAACTCTGAAAAAGACTACTGCTAAGGATGTTTAATAACTCTGAAAAAGACTACTGCTAAGGATGTTTAATAACTCTGAAAAAGACTACAGCTGAGGATGTTTAATAACTTCGAATAAGACTACTGCTAAGGATGCTTAATAATTCTGAAAAAGACTACTGCTAAGGATGTTTAATAACTCTGAAAAAGACTACTGCTAAGGATGTTTAATAACTCTGAAAAAGACTACTGCTAAGGATGTTTAATAACTCTGAAAAAGACTACTGCTAAGGATGTTTAATAACTCTGAAAAAGACTACAGCTAAGGATGTTTAATAACTCTGAAAAAGACTACAGCTAAGGATGTTTAATAATTCTGAAAAAGACTACTGCTAAGGATGTTTAATAACTCTGAAAAAGACTACTGCTAAGGATGTTTAATAACTCTGAAAAAGACTACTGCTGAGGATGTTTAATAACTCTGAAAAAGACTACAGCTGAGGATGTTTAATAACTTCGAAAAAGACTACTGCTAAGGATGTTTAATAATTCTGAAAAGAGACTACTAAGGATGTTTAATAACTCTGAAAAGACTACTGCTAAGGATGTTTAATAACTCTAAAAAGACTACTGCTAAGGATGTTTAATAACTCTGAAAAGACTACAGCTGAGGATGTTTAATAACTTCGAAAAGACTACTGCTAAGGATGTTTAATAATTCTGAAAAAGACTACTGCTAAGGATGTTTAATAACTCTGAAAAAAGACTACTGCTAAGGATGTTTAATAACTCTGAAAAGACTACTGCTAAGGATGTTTAATAACTCTGAAAAAGACTACAGCTAAGGATGTTTAATAATTCTAAAAAAGACTACTGCTAAGGATGTTTAATAACTCTGAAAAAGACTACTGCTAAAGATGTTTAATAACTTTGAAAAAGACTACTGCTAAGGATGTTTAATAACTCTGAAAAAGACTACAGCTGAGGATGTTTAATAACTTCGAAAAAGACTACTGCTAAGGATGTTTAATAATTCTGAAAAAGACTACTGCTAAGGATGTTTAATAACTCTGAAAAAGACTACTGCTAAGGATGTTTAATAACTCTGAAAAAGACTACTGCTAAGGATGTTTAATAACTCTGAAAAAGACTACAGCTGAGGATGTTTAATAACTTCGAATAAGACTACTGCTAAGGATGCTTAATAATTCTGAAAAAGACTACTGCTAAGGATGTTTAATAACTCTGAAAAAGACTACTGCTAAGGATGTTTAATAACTCTAAAAAAGACTCCTGCTAAGGATGTTTAATAACTCTGAAAAAGACTACTGCTAAGGATGTTTAATAACTCTGAAAAAGACTACAGCTAAGGATGTTTAATAACTCTGAAAAAGACTACAGCTAAGGATGTTTAATAATTCTGAAAAAGACTACTGCTAAGGATGTTTAATCTGAAAAAAGACTACTGCTAAGGATGTTTAATAACTCTGAAAAAGACTACTGCTGAGGATGTTTAATAACTCTGAAAAAAGACTACAGCTGAGGATGTTTAATAACTTCAGAAAAGACTACTGCTAAGGATGTTTAATAATTCTGAAAAGACTACTGCTAAGGATGTTTAATAACTCTGAAAAAGACTACTGCTAAGGATGTTTAATAACTCTAAAAGACTACTGCTAAGGATGTTTAATAACTCTGAAAAGACTACAGCTGAGGATGTTTAATAACTTCGAAAAGACTACTGCTAAGGATGTTTAATAATTCTGAAAAAGACTACTGCTAAGGATGTTTAATAACTCTGAAAAAGACTACTGCTAAGGATGTTTAATAACTCTGAAAAAGACTACTGCTAAGGATGTTTAATAACTTCGAAAAAGACTACTGCTAAGGATGTTTAATAACTCTGAAAAAGACTACAGCTAAGGATGTTTAATAACTATGAAAAAGACTACAGCTAAGGATGTTTAATAATTCTGAAAAAGACTACTGCTAAGGATGTTTAATAACTCTGAAAAAGACTACTGCTAAGGATGTTTAATAACTCTGAAAAAGACTACTGCTAAGGATGTTTAATAACTCTGAAAAACTACTGCTAAGGATGTTTAATAACTCTGAAAATAACTACTGCTAAGGATGTTTAATAACTCTGAAAAAGACTACAGCTGAGGATGTTTAATAACTTCGAAAAAGACTACTGCTAAGGATGTTTAATAATTCTGAAAAAGACTACTGCTAAGGATGTTTAATAACTCTGAAAACGACTACTGCTAAGGATGTTTAATAACTCTGAAAAGACTACTGCTAAGGATGTTTAATAACTCTGAAAAAGACTACAGCTGAGGATGTTTAATAACTAAGAAAAAGACTACTGCTAAGGATGTTTAATAACTCTGAAAAAGACTACTGCTAAGGATGTTTAATAACTCTGAAAACGACTACTGCTAAGGATGTTTAATAACTCTGAAAAAGACTACTGCTAAGGATGTTTAATAACTCTGAAAAGACTACTGCTAAGGATGTTTAATAACTCTGAAAAAGACTACTGCTAAGGATGTTTAATAACTCTGAAAAAGACTACTGCTAAGGATGTTTAATAACTCTGAAAAAGACTACTGCTTCGGATGTTTGATAACTCTAAAAAGACTACTGCTAAGGATGTTTAATAACTCTGAAAAAGACTACTGCTAAGGATGTTTAATAACTCTGAAAAACTACTGCTAAGGATGTTTAATAACTCTGAAAAAGACTACTGCTAAGGATGTTTAATAACTCTGAAAAAGACTACAGCTAAGGATGTTTAATAATTCTGAAAAAGACTACTGCTAAGGATATTTAATAACTCTGAAAAACACTACAGCTAAGAATTTTTAATAACTCTGAAAAAGACTACTGCTAAGGATGTTTAATAACTCTGAAAAAGACTACTGCTAAGGATTTTTAATAACTCTGAAAAAGACTACTGCTAAGGATGTTTAATAACTCTGAAAAACACTACAGCTAAGGATGTTTAATAACTCGGAAAAAGACTACAGCTAAGGATGTTTAATAACTCTGAAAAAGACTACTGCTAAGGATGTTTAATAACTCTGAAAAACACTACAGCTAAGGATGTTTAATAACTCGGAAAAAGACTACAGCTAAGGATGTTTAATAACTCTGAAAAAGACTACAGCTAAGGATGTTTAATAACTCTGAAAAAGACTACAGCTAAGGATGTTTAATAACTCTGAAAAACACTACAGCTAAGGATGTTTAATAACTCGGAAAAAGACTACAGCTAAGGATGTTTAATAACTCTGAAAAAGACTACAGCTAAGGATGTTTAATAACTCTGAAAAAGACTACAGCTAAGGATGTTTAATAACTCTGAAAAAGACTACTGCTAAGGATGTTTAATAACTCTGAAAAAGACTACAGCTAAGGATGTTTAATAACTCTGAAAAAGACTACTGCAAAAGATGTTTAAAGCCAGTCAACATCAACAACAACAGTCCTTCTCAGGACTACACTAAACAGGATGATTTACATCTACAAACATTGTTTTCTTATTATATCTCATTCATGACCCGGGTCGCCGTGACAACAGACGTCACGTGATCCACTCCTTCTTAACACGTGCTCTAACATACTGTGATGGCAGGCATGTAAAACAGAAAGTTCCACCAACCTTTGGGATCCCTTTTCTCCAAAAACCTCTGAAATCCCTCAAGTTCCTCTCTGTCTTTCATCAAACTTTCAAAGCTCACTCCGTCTGGAGGGACTGGTAACGAGTTTTTAACATCTTCCACACCGTACCTTCGACTTTCGAAATTTTCTTTTCCTTCTTGATCGTCCAACTGTCGAAAGATAGAGGGTAAATAGTTGGGTGAACGAAATTTCATCATAAAGACTAAAGTCAGTTCGGGAAAGTAAAACGATAAAACGATAAATATGATGTTAAAATTATAATTTCATTGAAAAGAACTCGTAAAATGACGGTGAGTTTAATCATAACTCTGCATTCTCAAGATTTGTGGAGGAAGTACGTCACTTTTGCATAATGAGAATTTCTGCATGCGTGTTTCATTCAAATTACAAATTTGCAGCAACTCATTACGCAACGTGAGGTCACTTTCTCCATAAATGGGACATCACACAACTTTAATATGTTGAGAATGCAAAGAGATATGACAAAACTGTTTTACAAAGTCCACTGTCATTTTACAAGCTCCTTTCAATGAAACTATAATTTTAAAAGCTAATTTTTTTCTTTATACTGGTCCTTAACGTCTGTCAACTAGAAGTCTAGAAGGAATAGGAATGACTTCATAAAAGCAGGTTCACCACCAAGAATACTAACATACAGTAGACCATTTCCAGGGGGGTTTATGCAAGCGAGCACTTATGCATGTGTCAGAAGCGTGCACCCCCTGGATAAATTCAAATTGGCTCACAGAAGATTTTAACGAAACACTATAAAGGGAGGAGAGAAAAACAGAGCGTTGGAAGTTTAGAAACACGTGAAACGCAAAATTGAAAATTCTGTTTCACGTTTTTCAATGAACTTACTTCGTTCGATAACAAAGATATTTTTCGTCGTGAATTGTTGTCGTTCAATTTCACCGTAATGTAACGCAACTGTTCACTCTTTGGTATCTAAGATATGAAACTTGGTTTATACTGGTCAGCGTTAACAATTGGATCATATATCAGTCTCACCCTCCCTCCCAAATCTCGTCTGCGTTCTTACTATCCAACTTTCCACACTATGTATCTTTATCATGGAGTTTTTGATTAATTCATAAATTCCTCACCATTTCGTACTCCTTTCGTTCATCACGGCAAAGACTATCCCATGGTTCTTTGAGGCACGCCAACACGTGATCATCTACGTCATCAAACAGATCTTCGTATGGCGGATCCAATTGTTTCTTTATATTTTCTCTGACGTTGGATGAAACGTTGATATCACAGACGCTCCCTGGAGCTAAGAATCTTTCGTATATCCACTAAAATATAATGAAATTGGGCTCATCATATCTTCATGCAAAATGACAAACCTGTTATATCAATCAAAATCCCCAAAAATATTCACAGTTGACATTCTATATCCCCTAAAATCCCATAACACATTCACAGTTTACAATTTTACCTCCAAAATCCTTCAACACATTCCCAGTTTACATTTTATATCCCCAAAAACCCCACAACACATTCACAGTTTAGAATTTATACCTCCAAAATCCTACAACGTTTTTAAAATTCACATTTATATCCCCCAAAAATCCCCAAACACATTCCCAGTTCCTATTTTACACCCCCCAAAATCCCCAAACACATTCACAGTTGACATTTTATATCCTCTCAAATCCCCAAACACATTCACAGTTCACATTTTATATCCCCCAAATCCCCAAACACATTCACAGTTCACATTTTATATCCCCCCAAATCCCCAAACACATTCCCAGTTCCTATTTTACACCCCCCGAAATCCCCAAACACATTCACAGTTCACATTTTATATCCCCAAAATCCCCAAACACATTCACAGTTCATATTTTATATCCCTTAAAATCCCCAAACACATTCACAGTTCACATTTTATATCCCCAAATCCCCAAACACATTCACAGTTCACATTTTATATCCCCCCAAATCCCCAAACACATTCCCAGTTCACAATCTAGCCTACTTTTATTTAAACATCAATTTAGAGTTTGAACTTCGAGAACGATAAAGCTAACAAAGCTTTCTAAAGATGTTGAAAATCTTCACCTTGGCCTTGAAAATCACAGTTTCTGAACAGAAGGGACCACTTTCGAAACAAGCGGAATAGTCTCGCGTCGCTTGCCAGAAAGACAGGCAGTTGGACCAGAACTAAACGGACAAAATTGGAAAAGTAAGAGAAAATTAATCATAACCATGAAGACAAGAATCGTGTTCAAAGATAAAAACAAGATATTATATACTTCAAAAAAATCGACTTTTGAAAGAAGGATTAAAATATTAAAACATGAAAAAAGAGAGTATAATTTACTTTATTGTTTTCTTTTAATATGAAATATTTCAAGAAACATCCAGATTCAGTCTGGTACTCCAAACTATCACGTAGCGACCGCTCTACGTCATAGGTTTCGTCCTTCTCGACTGAATCACGTGACTGCTGTCCACGTGCATCGTCCATGACGCCATACCACCTTTTGAAGAAATCATATAGTGAATATTCCAACTCCTGAGTCAATTTGATCACTTATGAAACATTAAAACTGACATTTGAAGACGGGGGGGTTAGAATGACCGAGATAGACGTCATATGGGAAGAATGACTCATAAAATGTTTGAATAAGCCAATCACACAGAGTGATTACCTTTGTTCCAAGACTGTACTCAAACTAGGCGCGATTCTTGGAGCAATGACAAGTCTGATTGGCGAAAAATATTCCACGTCAGAACATCTTGGAAACGCGCTGATTGGTCGTTTTTGAAATCCGAATTCTTCCTTCTCTGGCGTTGCGTGTATCTGAATAAAAATTTAGGAAGTTCCTGCAATAAATTATCTCTTGATGCAACACAACTGTAGAAATCACATCATCCGTCACCTCAAGCTGTCGCTTCCCAGCGTTCGTGTGATAAGGCGTCGTCACTTTACGTCCACGTGCTGACTTTGATCTCAGGTGCGTCGGTTTCCATTTGTTGCACGTGCGACTCACGTGTTGTAAAGATATGTTGCTTTCCCAATGTGAACTACTGCTGGAATAACTCACTATACGGGATTGTGGTGTGTTGTATGAGTGTGGTCTAGGGATGTACTGAGCGTTGAGGGATTGTGGTGTGTTGTATGGGTGTGGTCTGTGGATGTATTGAGCGTTGAGGGATTCTGGTGTGTTGTATAGGTGTGGTCTATGGATGTATTGAGCGTTGAGGGACTGTGGTGTTTTGTACGGATGTGGTCTAGGGTTGTATTGAGCGTTGGTGGGATATGGTGAAATATGTATCGGTGTACAAATGTGTATTGATGGGGACATTTTTGAAGATGAATGAACTTTTTTCGAAATATTTACTTCATGTAACGTGAACCTTTTACACCTATCGAACAAAAAGAATGTTCAGAGTTAATATTTAGGAAAGCTAAAAAATGCTAGGCGAGAACTTTTTTAATCCAAGCGAGCTCAAGGATGACTGAAACTTTCAGAAAATCTATCTAGTATTTGTTCAGTTGTTACTAATTACTATTTTGTTCCCCGCATTGTTTTCAATTCCAAAAAGGCTCACTATACATTATAAAAATGAATTACCAATACTTTAACAATGGTTCTTCAACGATTTTCTGTGCTTCATTCATATCTTCAGCTAATCCTGATAACATGTCTTTCTTTATCTTACGTGGTAACTCCAATGGCGAACCATATTGTTGTTTCATTTCCTGAACATATCTACAGATGAACAAGCAAAATGCGCATGTGCAGCTCAAATACTTGGTTATAAATGTACAACAGTGTTTCATGCAATATTTTCTCTGTTTCACACAGTACTCCCTCTATTTCACACGATATTTTCCCTGTTTCCCACAGTACTCCCTCCGTTTCACACGATATTTCCCCTATTTCACACAGTACTCCCTCTGTTTCACACGATATTTCCCTATTTCACACAGTACTCCCTCTGTTTCACACGATATTTTCTTTCTTTTACACATTATCTCTGCTTCAAACGATGTTTACCTTTTTCTTTCTTCGCTATTTTTAATATGTTTCCAATACTCAATTTGCAGCCAAAGCAGAAGCAAACTTTCGCCTTTAGTGTCGACCAGGAAGTCTTTGAACTTGTCCATGGCTGTTTTTGATGAAAGCAAGGCCTTCCTGTTAACGTCGTTATCATTGATTTTTTGATCGCTTTCCACTGAAATACCGTTATATTGCAAAGAATCCATGGAGCTTGTTGTATTATGCAAGAAACAATCTCCATCGTTTCTTTTCTTTACCAATTCATCATTTTTAAGCTCAACAAAGTCATCTGAATGTTCATTCTTGGACTTTTCTTCTTCATCAAATCCTTTCCCTTTATTACTGTTACCCGAGACATTTAATGTTAGCACTTCATCATTTGAAGCACCGTTAACATCTTCTCTTACGTCAATAGTTCTGACGTCAGCACCTATGATGACGTCACCGCTTGTTTTGTCGTTTCTTTTGTAAGATTGTTTCTCTGTGCTTGAGGAACTTGTACTTCCAAACTGGTCGTCCAAATGACTGTTGAAACTTTCTTTAGAAGAGATTCCACATGTTTTCATTTCAGTAATGAATGTTTTTCCTCGTGAGATATTTCCAGTGATTCTCTCGAAATAATTTGCCTAAATCAGATGCAAAATCATTTTGTTTCATAAGCTTCTTCCACAGTTTAACCATTAAAGCAAAAACTATAGCAGTCCTATTTCATACTATCAATGGACAAAACTGAACCCAAATCTCGACCATCTACATTGGTTTCATGACCTGAGATTAGAAATGAAATTTGACATGAATCAATCCTCAGCAGAAATCAGTTGAGTACAACATGAATACCCTCAGTGACGGATTACTAATTACAAGGCCTGAAGGCTTAAACCCGTTTTCAACTAGCCACGTATCGTAACGTATCGGAGCAAAACGTAACACGGCGCATGCGTGCTCGCTTCTATTGACCATTAAATTCATAAGCACGCATGCGCCATGTTACGTTTTGCTACCATACGTTACGATACGTGGCTAATGGAAAACAGGCTGAAGACAATGTTGTTGGAGTTTAAGTAGGATATCTATTCCTTCCACTATGTTCAGTCTCTTGATGACATTTGTGTAACTAACGCTCCTTTGCCTTTGCATTTCCCAGCTTGTTTTTGAAACTCGTAGCATCAAAAATAAGGAATAAATTCACAGTTGAAACTGGGAAAACCCAATACTTTATGAGTTTCGATTATCGTTCATTTGAACAGCAGATCATACGATTTTCATCAGCAGAAATGGTCTAAATTAAGAACATTTAACTAACACGGAATTGCAAAACCTAAACATGTCTAGACATAACAGGGCTCTCGAAAGCCCGAGACTGTAGGCTTCAGTCTATTTAGCCCAGTGAGTAATCTGCCAGTGAACACCATTTCCCATGCATCAATCGTCGCTCTATCAACAGGCTGCACCAAGCACTTCAAACATCATTGAGGGAGGGGAGGTACAACTTCCCTGCGTCAATCGTCGCTCTATCAACAGCCTGCACTAAGCTTTTCAAACATTATTGAGGGAGGGGAGGTACAACTTCCCTGCGTCAATCGTCCCTCTATCAACAGCCTGCACTAAGCACTTCAAACATTATTGAGGGAGGGGAGGTACAACTTCCCTGCGTCAATCGTCGCTCTATCAACAGCCTGCACTAAGCACTTCAAACATTATTGAGGGAGGGGAGGTACAACTTCCCTGCGTCAATCGTCCCTCTATCAACAGCCTGCACTAAGCACTTCAAACATTATTGAGGGAGGGAGGTACAACGTCCCTGCGTCAATCGTCGCTCTATCAACAGCCTGCACTAAGCACTTCAAACATTATTGAGGGAGGGGAGGTATAACTTCCTTGCGTCAATCGTCGCTCTATCAACAGCCTCCAGTATAAACGTCATATGTTACCTGAGCCGATGAAAGAGCTTTTGATAACTTGTATTCTGCGAAAATCATACTTCTCACGAATTCATCTAATCTGTACTTTTGTAACCATTTTAAAGTCGATTGGTGATCGAGAACTGTGACACAGTAACTGATCTGAACTTCGTTTCTGGTTGGATCGTGTCTCTTTTGAATATTTCCACAATCATCTTTGACTAGTTTCTGTGTAAATTCTTCCAAAAGGCCAGATTGTTTGTCGTAGTAAATTCTTGTTTGAAAGCACTGGAAGTTGATGTTCATAAAATTAACACAGAAAAAAAATGTGTTAGTTTCAAAATCTATCCCATACTGGTTGGTTCGCGGAGGGGAGTACAACTTATTTTAGGGTGAGTAGGAGGGTATGTACCACCTTATTTTCTACACATTTTTATTCAAAGTTTTTCTGTGTTTAAATAATATGGTGTTGGTCGGTAGATGCTGTCCTTTGGTCAAACATCAAACAACAATAAAATGTTTTCAACCATAAACGCTGATTTGAAAGCATAAATCATGACCAACTTTCAAATGAAATGGTCATTATGTAAAATTAAAATTTATAAAATTTAAGTCATCAAACCTTATGAAGGAAAGTCAAGCTAAGCTTTGTTGATATTGTTCCAGACTTTTTTAAGATGAAAATACATATTTAAGACACACTTACTGGCAATGAAAGAAATGTGTTAAAGTATTCCACAAACGTATCGTCATCTCGAAGATACTCAACCTAAACAAAAGACAGTCTGTTATATGGAAGTTTTCAGTCCATGAAAAAGATTTGTATAACTCGGACATTGCTAGTTGACATTACGAGTTCGAGATTTCTATGAGATGATAGTTGATGAGGGCGTCGGGGTTTGTTTGAGTAGAGTCATACTAAAGTAAATGGTTTGAGCCCGGGAGTATCGTTACATGTTTGTAGATGTAGATCGTCCAGGTTGGTATAGTCCTGAGAAGGACTGTTTTTGTTGTTGTTGACTGACGTGTCGACAACCTTAGCGGTAGTCGTTTTCAGAGTTAAATGAGGAGTAAACGTCAGGTTAGCCGTATTAACCGAAGAACCAGATAACAAATACGGCTAACCTGACGTTTACTCCTCATTTGACTCTGAAGATGACTACCGCTAAGGTTGTCGAAACGTCAGTCAACAACAACAAAAACAGTCCTTCTCAGGACTATACCATCCTGGACGATAAATATCGATAATATCGATAAAAATTTATAACATGGATAAAAATTTCAGTGGTGATGAAAATAAGAAGATGAGCAACACGGCAGTTTGGAAGATAGGGAACATGACGAAAGCAATTCCAGTGAACAAATCGTTCAAGATGATCTTGCAGGAGAGACGGAAGAAATGGAAAATGGCACAACGACTCAATCCGTACAGGAAAGTTTTATCGAAGAATTTTTGCCTCACGTGCAAGATTTAATTAGAGAATTTGGATTTACAATGGAACTTTTAGATGGACATTTTGTTTTGAATGTTCAATTAACACAAGAAGAATTGTAACATGATTTCACTCCAGAACTTTCTTCTTCTCACGCCATTCTTACATTCTCACTTGGAGCAAAACTTTAAGATATGGAAAACATTTTCGGTATTTTTATAGAGTACGTATTTTAGTAATTTTAGTGCTGAGCTTGGTAGAAATATTGAGTTATTAAACTTTAAAGTTTACGAAAACCTTGTTCTGCGTTTATACGACATTATTTTCAATAAATTGTATAATATGATATAATGAAACTAGCTTTTGTCTACTCGTTATTTTCTTGGGGCAATAAAAATATTTAATAAGCGCCGCTCTCACTTAAACGCCGCTCTCGCATAAGCGCCGCATTCAAAATCGGAAAAATTAAATAATCGCCGCGGCGTTAAAGCGAGTATTTACTGTATATTACCCATGTTAATGTAATGTATAAATGAAAAAGACATTAAGAATGGACAAACATTCTATTGAAGTAACTAAACATGCATTGAGCAAGCCAAGAGTCGTTCGCTTTTTAATAAAGACGGCAACCACAACAACTGTATGAATAAAACAACGACAAATAAAGGAGAACTTCGACAACCTTTTTCTTATAAATAACTAAACATGCATTGAGCAAGCCAAGAGTCGTTCGCTTTTTAATAAAGACGGCAACCACAACAACTTTATGAATAAAACAACGACAAATAAAGGAGAACTTCAACAACCTTTTTCTTATAAATAACTAAACATGCATTGAGCAAGCCAAGAGTCGTTCGCTTTTTAATAAAGACGGCAGCCACAACAATGGTATGAATAAAACAACGACAAATAAAGGAGAACTTCAACAACCCTTTTCCTTAAGAATACTACAGTATGACTCTTCTAAAATAATTAGATTATTCGCTCTCTATTTCCATAATATTATCAACTAGTGGAAATTTCGTGCGCGTAATGCCGTAATTTATAAAACTGTGAATTATGTAGAAGATATCGATGTTGAAAGTTTTTTACTTACAAGGTTCTCTTTGTTCAGCTCGACGTTTACATCTATGAAAGAAAAACGATGCAATTAAACGAAATATGTTAGAGAAAGCAACTTATATCATAGATTCATCGACGGCTGTAAAATATAGTAGTGAGGAAGTTCAGACTCAGAATTATTTAGATATCATTTAGTATTGTAGTAATTGTACTGTTGTTCGAGCCTCGAATTAAAATTAATACCGAAGCAGATGTACTCTGAAATACCTTCCATTATGTTCCCTTTTAGAATCCATCCAAAAATTCATAGCTTAAAATTAATCTTGAAGAGACTTTTTATTGTAAATATTTAAAATTAGGTTTTGGTTGTTGTCCGGACGACGTTATTTCCCATCCTTCAGAATGCCGTTATATAAAATGGCGCTGCTCACGACCATTGCAGACTGGGCGAAGCAACGCGTTCTCTTCAGGTTTCTGACTTTAAGCAAAGCTGTAAAATTGTCGATGACATTTTCGATCACGTCTGAAAGTATACCTCGGTCTTCTAAAGCTTTAGTTTATTCAGAATATGGCGACCCAAGTAAGGTTATCAGGTAAAAATATTCCTGTGAACACTGAATTTTACCTTGAAAGTGGTTGAGTTGTTCTGTAGTCAATGCCGATGATTTTACATATGGCAATTCATGCAATGAGTTAGTGCTAGCTCCTACACATGCATGTCAATTTTATTATCAATATCAAAGAAGCACTCCTCATTAACAAAACTAACCCTGACCTCAATGTTCAAGTTTTTAAATTCAATACAATATTTAGTTTATAATACGCTCGGACGCTCCCCATTAATTTATCTTATTTCCTTTTTATTGTTGTAATTTATGTAACATATTACTTTTATATAAACCTTGTATTGTTTATTATTTCACTTATACTGAAGATGGCATCATGAGATGTCGAAACATGTCTATTTTAAAAAAACTCGTCGTGTATATTAACTGCGCATTAGCAATAGTGCTTCTACGAAATTATCAATAAATTATCCAAGTTCTGGAGAGGCTGTCTCTGTCTGTGAACATACTGCAACTCTCATCTGGATCTGCCACTGATTTCTACTTTGATTTTGTAGTCAACACGATTATCCACTACCAGAATTCAACAGAGAAAGTGTTTTTCTAAAAATGTTGGCTTCACCTGTCAATCCAGCTGATTTGAATGTGCTTCAAGGTGGGGAGTGCAATTGATACCATTATATGCTTGCCTTCCCCCCCCCCTTGAAATTCTTAGTCCGTCACTTTTAATTTAGGATTGTATCCCATCAAACCTTCCCTCCCTGCTGTTGGTGGTAACGAGGGTGTCGGGGAAGTGTTGCAGTTTGTGATGATGTGAAGTCTGTCCGTGTTGGAGACTGGGTATTAATGGGAAATGCAGGATTCGTATTAGCCAATCATATGAGTTAACTCGATTAGACTTTTTCAGCAAATAGTTTTATTTTTTTTTATACAAATTTTCAAAGGTAGTTTGATGGAGATAAAGGTGTTGAAAGAGGATGATTGTGTCAAAATTCCAGTAAAAAATGGTCTTTCTATGAAAGATGCAGCCATGTTGTCCATAAATCCCTGTACAGCTTACAGAATGTTGAAACACTTTCAACCATTGCAAGAAGGTGTATGTCTGAAATCTCTTTCACAAAATCTCCAACTGCATGGCTTTTAAATGTAGAATTGTTTTAAACAAACCATGCAACGAGACGTTTACAATTGTCACAAATTGAAACTGTACATTTAACGTTGTATCAACCCCAACATCAGGATGATAAATTTTATTTTAACCATTGAAGACAGAAAGTGAGAATTAATAATCTTCAATATTTTAATCAAGAAAATATTATTCAAAAAAATTTAATTCCTCAATTCAAATGATTTTATGTCAAAATCGTAAAAGTTTTATTTATTTATTTTCATCACAGTTATTGACATGACGTCATAATGATGTTTTTACATACGGGAATGGTTGACAGTATATAAATTTTTCTGTCTTTAAAGGGGTTATATCACGAATTTTAGCCCCCCTTTTTTATTAGCTAAATTGAAAGACCTTATTTCAGTGATTTTAAATCTGCAATTATAATTGAAATTGGATTGGTGAAAGTGATTTTATGGACGTTCAAAGTCACGATTTTCAGCATTTTTTTTGCGAACTTTTTGATCGGTATGCTAATGAGTTGTGACGTAGATAGTTGAACACATATATCAACATGGCGTATTCTACTAGTAATCTTAATAAGAAACGCGGAGGAAAACGCTGTGTTGCTGGCGGACCTAATCAAATTAGTTGCGCCAATGATTCAAAAACAGAACGAATGTCGATGCATCTGTTTCCTAATAAAGAAACAGAGCCGCAAAGACATAGAAAATGGGTAAATTTTGTGCGTAAACATAGACCGGCTTTTGAGGCTTCCTCTACCTCGTGTCTGTGTTCTGCGCATTTTGAAGATTCTTGTTTTGACCTTAATTTGAGCGTGCAAGTCAAGCTCAAAAGAAGGTTGAAGAAAGATGCTATCCCAACCATTGACGTGGCTGGGATTCCTGAACCATTACAGGACGAAATAACCGATCGAAAGCGCAGACAAGTAAGTTTACGCTTGTTTATGTTAATTTTTCTTTTGTCATATGTAAATTCGATATATGTTTTGTAGATTATTCGACATACTCTCCATAAGCCATCGCTGAAGGAAACATGTTCTCTCGATGAGGAAGTACCATCTACTAGTGATGGAGCTGAGCATGTTGAAGTATGCACTGGGAAGCAAACGATTCGCCATTTGAAGAAGAACTACATGCAGTTGGTGAAGATATTTGTGAATCCCAGTCTCCATGTAAATCGTGCCATCGTCTTAAGAAAAACTTACATCTTTACAAAAGACTTTAAGCTGGTATAAAAGACAAAAGCATCTTTGAAGAAAAGGCCCAGAAGTTGCAAAATGAATATCGACGCGAAATCAGGGAAAATCGTAATACATCCGTGGTTACCAGCATTGATATAGACGATGAAATGCAGGGGAGTGCTGAAGAGCTTTTCGAAGAAGAATCATACATGGACTACTCCTCTTTCGAAGAGTCTAGTCAGAGTGAAGATTTAGATGAAGATACCACAAGTAATACAGTCAGGTATTTTATCTTATAAAGAATTAGATCTCTGTTGTATTTCATAATGAATTTTCTTAATCGTGTTACAGAAAAGTGATAGTACCCTCTAGCCTCCCTATCTGGGCACTGATATACACACCTTTCCTGATGATTACAGTATTAATATAACATTGAATGGTATGTATACTTGTCAGATTGAAGATGACTATCTCACTCGATTGTGCAACTAATTAATTTTCATGAATAATTTTTTTTATTGTAGTTTAATGCTCTACATGCCCTTTGTGGATGCAGTGCACTCAAGTGTGAAGACCTTATAAGATAAGTTCATGTGGCTTGCTATTTTCCATTTTTACATTTATGCTATGATTTAATTCCATATAATTTTTCTTTTTTTTCCCAGACTGACATTGAAGAAAAGATTTTCTTTACCGTATAGTGCATCCATGTATCTCCTATTTGGTTTCCATCTAGGCATATTTCCTGACCATTCTAAACTCAGCAAAGAAGGCCAACAGTCTCTACAGTGCACAAGTTAAAAGACCTTTCCATCATCGCCCCTCTGATGGTATGTAACCTTTTGTGTTAGCACTTGGATATGCTTTCCGAATAAAGTGGTAAACACAAGCAGGTAAAGGCCGAGTATTCTCCCATCCCATAGACCCACAAAACCATCGCATCAACCATCTGTATGCCACAGCTCTCAAGTACCTGAAGTAAATAAAAAGGTTGGACTAATTATTGTTGATGAAACAATGTTGATGATAACATTCTTTCTCATACAATTTACAATCTTACATATTTAATGATTGTGATGCTTGGCGGCGATAAGCACGTCCATTCCTATCTCTCAATAGTGGCCCGACGTTTTCAAGGACAGCCTCATGAACTAAAGGCCCAAATTTGGCATGCTGTGTTATGCATGATATTTTCTCAATGCTGCCATCGAATGTCATTTTCTGCAAAGCTGGTCCTATTTCCTTACAGCATCTGTACTCTAATGCGCCTTCTAACAAATCGGTATGACAGCATTGACAATTACACCTGAAACGTGGGAGCATTGTGGTTTATAAAGTAACTTTATGTATATTACAAACAGGAGAAAACAACAACTTACCATTCACCGAGTGGAATTACGCCATCACTTCGTTGTTCTAAGGTCGCAGGAGAATTCCATCGGGATCATCTGGAGTATGCACTTCATCACCATCTCCTGCGAGCGGTTCATCGTCATATGCGAAGTCGTTTAAATGCTCGACATAACCCACGGATTCCGAGCTCGAATCAGATACGCATTCAGACATCGAATTCGAATTATCTGAGCACTGATTTGAAGCCATACTTTCCGGACAACTTGTTTTTTAATATTTTATTGAAAATACTGTCATTATTTGTTTTTAACACAAGAAAAACGACAACAAAATCACCTTCTATAATATAATATTATATTGACGGAAACAGACGTGTTCAACTATCTACGTCACAAGTATCAATATGGCGTCGTAAAAAATTCGCAAAAAGTACCCGACTTTGGAGGCAAAATTAAGGAACTTATATTTATCTGTTTAAGTCCAGCGACATGTCATAGTTCTTCAAATAATCCAAATTTTCAATTAAGCTAATAAAAAAGGGGGCTAAAATTCGTGATATAACCCCTTTAAAGTAAAAAAGATAATTTTTTCTTTTTACGTAGTTTTTGTGTAGAAAAAATAGCCATTTTTCATGGCATATTATAGTACATACGAATGCTTTAATTTGATTAAATGAAATTTTGGCTTTCTAAAAATGTTCATAATGGTTATTGACACTTCCATCCAATTTTGGGGGTAAATGGGATTATAATTTACATTCGTTTCCCTCAAGTGAAAGGTGGTCCTTTAGCTGGTGGATAGTGAATTTCAGCAGGTGGTTTATCAGCTTTATATACCACTTCATAAGTTATAAAGCATACATATTTACTAAGTGATATAAAATATCCCTTACAATTCAGCCAGATGTTGTACTTGCAAATGTACAATTACTTATGACGTTCAAAGTGCCCATGACATGAAAATTTTTATGGTTGCAATCACCAGAACTTTTGAAATGACAGCGTACTTTCTAAAAAAGTTGATGCATATCTCTTTTCCTTCGCAAGATATTGAATTTTTTGTTATTTCTATTTCATCCAACTTGCAACGTCATTTTGCATAATGAGTTCTAAATATTATTCTAACACTCTTCATTTTCCTGACAACTTTAGGTTGATACTAATAGGCAACATTTTATACCATTAAACAGGCCACAACAAATGAAACTATGTCCTTGTGAAGTAAAGTATCGTTAAATTTACCTAATACTTCTAACTCTCATTATGCAATGTGACGTCTTAAATTGGATAAATTGGACATAGCATAAGCCTCAATATCTCAAGAATTAAAAGTGATCTGCATAAACTGTTTTAGAAAGTACACTGTCATTTTAAAAGTTCTGGTCATTGCAAATATAAAAATTTTCGTATCATAGGTCCTTTAAAAAAGCATACTATTTGGTTTGTAAACGAATACAAAATAATTTCTACTCTTGTGAAGATTGATGAAGATTAGTTACTATTACAAGCCAATCCTCGCTGCCAAAGTCAAACACGGTTGTACAATCCAGAAAATCTAGCTGTCATATGTTACAGCTCATTGTAAAATAAGAACGTTTCTAAAATCTTAATTAAATAGATGCAGTACACTCTAGAGTAAATCGAAACAACTTAAGAGTCAAAAATGTCAGCCTTCGTCAATTCAAGATAAATCTTTCGCACTTATTATACATTATATAAATCGTGTTGTTTTTAATGTTTGCAGCATTGTGTTTAAAAGGCTGGAGTAGCTGGAGAAAGCTGTAGCATTGTTCTTTGTCATTTAGAAGTTATTTACGTTCTTTTGTTGTTATAGTATGCTTGCTGTTTGCGAAGTTAATTGAATAAAATAAAAAAGCCCAAAATCTCAAAATTTATATAAATGATTTAAAAAACTTTAAACTAAAACTGTCACACAACTAATACTGAGTGTTTTCATGTGACATAAATGTGTGGATACCTACCAGATGATATGGGATCTGAGATGATAAAATCAACATAACTTTGCACTATTTTCTATCTGTGGAGTAAATACAAGGTCTTCCATTAGTTCTAAGATTATTTTGAAATTTTACTCAGTAAATGTGAGTGTGAGAGAGTTTTTAGAATATAGGCAATAGAGAGCGCCGTAGTTAACCTTACGTGTATTTAGGTGTATATTCAATATTCATTTAAGAAATCTTAAATACATAGCACTTGCATTTTAGTTGTGCGGATTTAGGCACAAAATAATTGTCATGGTTACAGCGCATGAAATAAGCAAAATATCAGAAAATGAGGAAAACTATGAATATTTTTCTATAAAATTAATTAAAATCTTATTGAGTCCATTTACAAATAATCAGACAAAATGCTGTCAATCACTCAATCTCATGAAAATGTTATTTAATTCAACAATTTTATATGGCTCAGCTACGTAATTAATGTGAGATAGTAAAACACAAAAGATTCTACTTATGGAATTATGCACAACTCCTGATGGTCAGGTTTATACGGTAAGGAACTCCCAAGAGCTCAAAATACCAATGCCAGACTTTTAGTAATTATAATAACTTCCCAAATACAATTCTATATCGTATACAAGTGTATTATGTTGGATGAATGTAGTGCAAAATTTATCAGTGCAGCCAAACATAAAAGTTAACTTTACATGTCATATTCGCCTTCAGTCTTTTTCCAAAACAATTTACAGTAAAAATTAAATAATCAGGTATATTGCATTGTATAAATGAATACCACAGGCTGTAGATTCACCAGAAATGTGGTGAAATATCATCTAAATACGTTGTGGAAACTGTTTTCCTTTATATCTATAAAATAAGGTCTTTACAGTATCAATGATTTTTTAACAACTATTTTTTTAACCCCTAACAGGTTCTGTTGTGTCTAAATTGTTTTATTGATTTGGTTCGCTTTCATTAAAAGAAAAAAATTTCTTGAGTTCTGGTTTGTTTTTCAATTCTTTATTTGACCTGACCGCAGCATGTACCCGAACAGGGAGATTAGGAATTGCTCGGAGAAAATACGCCCTGTAATCGCCAATCTTGTAAAATAATTCTGGTTGCGGTAGAGGCCGATCGTTCCAATGCTGGCGAGTATTTCGAATGAGCCTTAAGCATTCTGCCCATGAAGATGTATAACGGACCTTATAGATTTTTCCATTTCTCTCGTAGGTGCGAAAATATTCATAGACATCCCAATTAATTTGACTTTTCCAAAGTACGCATTTGCTATTCAATTGTTGAACGACACTTGACTGGAGATAATTTGCTTTAATCTGATGAAAATTCCCAACTTCACATAACATTTCAAACTTCTCATCATCTGACATGAGAAATGGGTGTTTTAATGCTTCGTTAGAATATGGTCTGTCTTCAGGTTTTAGATTTAACATCCACGACAGAAGGTCCTTTAGTGTTTCATCCTCGATTTCTTTCAAACCAACAGGGTTTCCATTTAACATGTTAATCAGTCTGTAGGGTATAGTTCCAAAAGGATGTTTTCCTTTTGTTGTTACGTAATAAGCTACCATCCCTGCATTCTAAAATAATAAAAAGTGTTACATCAAAATGCAATTTCACAACATTGAGTTTCTTTACAACTTACAAATGTTTACATTCCTACACTTACATATACATCAGATTTTCTTTTGTAACGCGCTTTAATTAGTGGATCATGATCTTCGCGATATGATTCAGGAGCTATCCAATCCTGGGTTCCCATGGAAGAATTGCTGTCAAATGTTGAAGTGTCATTCTTCATTATTCGACTTATGCCAAAGTCAGCTATCAGAAATTGACTTTTTGAGTCTCGCAGAACATTGGAAGGCTTTAAATCCCGATGAAGAATAGGATTTGGGCCGCTATGAAGATCAGCTAATCCTTTTAAAATTTGTCTAAGAATATCAGGAAGAGCTTTTTGAAGATCATGCTTAGTAGAAACTTCCACAAACTTCACCAGTGATTCTTCACATAAGTCTAAGATCAAATAAACATAATCCGTTCCATTATCTTCGTCTAAGTCGAAATAATTCACAACATATTTCGACTTTCTTGCTTTAATATCATTCAAAATTTTCTTTTCTTGCTGTGCAAGCTGGATAAAGCTATCTCGATGTATTCGTTTGACTGCTTTACCGTAACCATCCTTACCCAGTCCAAGATAAACACGGGTTGCATTACTTCCTTTGCCAATGCAAAATTCTTCTGAGAATATTGCACGTACATTGCCCACCACTTTAACCTCAACACTGCGATTGCGCCCACATTCAATTAATTTTAAAAACAATTCTCTATGTTTTGTTGATTCACCAATGTATTTCCACTCTTCTAGATAAAAATATTACATTCAAGGGTTAAAAAAACAAAATAAATACATCAAAATAGCTTAAATTTCCCCAATTAGTAAAGGATACTGTTACCGTACACTTTAAAACAAACGTATTAACAATTATTAGACATTTCATAAATTTTTTAACTGGTAACATTCGAGGTTAGTTTATACCAAACAATTAATCACAAAAACTCCTCTCTGCAGTAATTTCATGAATTTTTCTTAATGAGTAACCTTGCGTTTTTCGAAAATATTAAATTAAAATTTTGAGAGCATATATTTTCTAGAGTATAAAATTTTTTTTTAACAAAAGAAGACAAAATAGCTTCATACAATTTTTCTTTCTATTCTCGACGGTCGTCTTTTAGATAAACTATCTTATGTTTGTTGCCAAACATTAACATTAAAGTTTGATCTCAACAATTATTATCTCAAACGTTGTTTGGACATCTTAAAGTGCCAATGAAACAAAAATTTTGCTAGTTAAATTATATCTGTATTGACCAGAACTTTCGAAATGACAGAGTGTTTTCTAAAACCTTTACTGCATGACTTTTTTCATTCTGAAAATACTGAAGTCCTTGCAATTACCAATTTATCTAACTGGTGACATAATATTGCATGCAAAATGAGTCACCGCAATGTTTCAAATACCCTCAATTTTCCTGACAACTTTAGGTTGATAATGGTACGCAGTAATTTATATCATTAACACATCACAAAGAAGGAAACTCCGCCATGTTAAAATAATGCATCAACAAATTTATTTAATACATCTAGTTCTCATTATGCAATGTGACATCAGATAAATCGGACATAATAAAAACTTCAATATCTCGAGAATGAAAAGTGATATGCATAAACTAGTACAGGAAGTCATTATCATACTAAAATGTCTGTTCAATAAAAATATAACACAGGTTGCTAAATTTTCGTTTCAGGCATTTTATGCTTTAACTCTAAATTATCTGACACGTACTGTTTCTTTTATTCACCTTGGTAAAGTGAACCTCGTTATCTTTATTTCTGCAAACTCAAAGTCTATTTTGAAAGATGTACTATACATATGGTGCAGTGAAAAAGTTTAGAAAACAAAGGTATTTTGAAAGATGTAGTATACATATGGTGCAGTGAAAAAGTTTAGAAAACAAAGGTATTTTGAAAGATGTACTATATAACTATGTAACAATTTCCGAGAAGAAAATTGGTGTGAGAAAACATTTTGAATTTATTACTTTAGAGTATATTCAGTAAACACATACAGTAAAACCATAAAGTTTAGTACATAATGTCAAAAGCGGAAAACCATACCTAATGGTAATTCAGACCTAATGGTATGCATGTCATTGTCTTCCACATCCATTAACCTCGCACCAACAACTTTGACAACTTCTGCCCAACTAAAGTCAACATTTTCGCCACATTCTATCATATGGTGGACTCCATTCTTCAAAGCATATTTAATCATAGCAGTGTTCATTTGATCTTTGAAATGTTCATACACTTAATTTGTTCAAACACTTTCTCACAAGCACGCCATAAGAACTTATGACCATTTTTTGGATTAACTGTAAACTCATGCAGTTCGTAACCATCTGATTTCAACCAATCAATTAGAGACTTGTGATACACGGTTAAACAACCATCGTAAACTGGCAAAATTTGAGATAACGGTTCAATGATTTTACTGCAAAATTCAAACTTGATATCATCAAAAAAACTTAAATAGCTAAAAAATAAAGTTAATGGTAAAAACTCACGACAGGCAGCCAACAATTCAAGAAATTGCATGAAAGTAGTTTCTGAGATAACAGAATTTCCGTGACTTTTCATCGTTAACAATTCTTTTACTCTTTTGAATTGCTTTGTGTAAACACCGCTTAACCCACTAGGAACCAATAGTTTAATAATGTTGTCTGTAAGTTCAATTTGTTCTCTTTTCAAGCTCAGTTGTGCGTGATAAGCGTAAAGAAATGATCCCTCACATTTTTCTACTAAAGACAATAGAACGTAGGAATCTTCCTGCACCCGATCATTCAACTGATGTCTCAAATACTTGTGCAGGTCTTTTTTGTTGTGTTCATCACGAGGACGAATTGTCATTTCCACAGGATTCATGCTTTTCAACTTCTTATGAACAGGAAGTTCTGGACGACTGGTGATGAAGATTTTAATCCATTTAGGTAGTCGGTCAAACTCTTTTGCAATCAATTCCAACACTTCACTTTTGCCATCAACTTGGCTTTCATCCAAGGCATCAATAACCAAAAGCATTGGTTCAAGATCTTCCAATGAAGACAGTGGATTATTTAATAAAACTAAGAATTTCTCGGTGATCGATTCTTCGGAATTATTTCTCTGTAATTCTTTATTCAGTTTACTTTTAAAATTTGATATTGTATCACACATGCTACTGGCCAATGATTCTATCAATTTTCGAGGATCTCTATAATCTGATCTATTATATCTGCAGAAATGACAAGCAGCAAGTTTCTTCTTTTCAGAATATCGTCGACACAACTCAGCAGAAAACACACTTTTACCAACGCCTGGACCGGCAATGAAAATCATGACATTAGAAGCATCTTCACTTCTATCGTTAAACCAAGTGTCGAGTTTTTCAAATAACCATTGTCTAGTACCTTCAAGGCATTTGTTGTTAAGATCTTTTATAAAACCGTTGAAAGAAAACTTTCCAAAATTTTTGACATCTTCATACCATTCTTTTAACATTTCAATATAGTTTTCCTCATCGGTTGTGAGGGGAGCTTTCTTTAATTCATCTATTTCTGTTTGTTGAATACCCAGACCAACCAATGCTTTTGAAATTTCTTGCCACAAATGCTCGAACTCAGTGTCATCTACACTAGTTGTAGTTATGTGACCGTACACTTGGTTTCGATAAAACTTTATTCTTGCAATATTTGCTGAGATTGAAGTATCTGAAGAGGAAGGAAGATTATTCCATCCGCCATGTGGCGCTGTTAGACCACATATGTTACGCAATAATACAGTCAATAATGAAATATCAAAGTTTTCAAGGTTTGGCAAACCAGTTGATGGATAAAGAAGGTTCCATTGCTCTTTGTTGATGACGCTTCTTTTTCTTAATGATTCCAATCCACTTTTATTTGAGGGTTTATTAAGTTCATCGCTTAGGTTTGACGAACGAAAATATATATTAAAGTGCAATGTTGTTTTCAAAGCTTGTGTTCCTTTATTTATCAAGAGTTTACTTAAACGAGATCCGTTTGCTTCAATCTTCAGTTTTTGAGGTGGTGAAGCCATTTTTCAAACTAAAAATGAAGAATGAGTTTTTGCAAAAAGCATCAATTCACAATGTGTGAAATTAACACAACATGGAAGGGATTAGTAAAAAACAATATTACAAGAAATTTTATAAATAGTCCTCCTCTTTTATATCTTTCCTATAAAAAATTGAAATAAATATGATGTCATCAACAATATATTTTTCGAAATAATCATGTTATGACAAACATGATATTTCTTCAATCACTTCAACCTACACACTTGTTTCACTTACTTAAAACTTAGCAAAAACTGCTAAAAATATTCTGGAACTGTATTTAAGTATCGTGACGTTTTTCAATCATTTTTCACAGCATTATTTTAAGACTATTTGTGGTTGTTACCATTTAGTGTCCCAGTAAGTGGCGTAGCAAAGAAAATAGTAACTCCGCCCACCATCTCGTGCCAAAGGTGCCACCCCACTATGCTCCCCGGAAAATTTTGAACTCCATTGCTTTGGGAACAATATTTTCTGCGATTTGGAAGGCGAATTATTTGTACAATAAGTTACAAAACTCCTTTTATTAGCTGAATTCTTAATGTCAAATCGTCGAAACTGCAACTAGTTAAAAGGTACTAAAGGTGGCTCAGAGAAACGTTACGCCGGAGACAATTGTCCCCTAAAACATAATGAATCAAACTCATCACTGTCGCTTGAATAAAAAGAAAAAATTTGGATTAGCACAAAAAATAACATATTATAAGACACTTCCTAAAATGCATAGGTAGAGATTGTTCGTAGCATTCCACTTATTAGTTTACACTTGTTTAGATTGGGGCAGGTAGATAGGAATGGCTTTATTCTTTAGAGTTATGCTTCATTTTGTCAGTGAAGTACCATGCATTATAAGAACAAATATCAAAACATATACTATACCCATCATTTATAAAGAAAAGCCAGCCTCCTGGGTTTTTCTACAAATTTTTCAACCACCTCATTATGCAACACCTCTGAATCCTCTTTTTGTTCAACGATATCTTTGTGAATAGATATTCTACACAAAGAGCTAAGCCGACCTTAACCCAATCTATTCCTCAAATAGCTTTTCACCCTTTTCAAGCAAGAAAACGACCTCTCTACTGAAACACTTGCCACTGCCAAGACACCATTCAATTTTAACAAATTTACCACTTGACGTTAACTCGACTGGAGATTAAATTTGTGTATGTATTTAAGCACCTCATTACTGCACTCTTTCTGAATGTCCTTGTCGATGTAAATGAAGGAAAGTTGACTCTCAAAATTTGGGATGTCAACAAGAGGACTATATTTATCCTTAAGAAGATTGAACTTATCCCGTGGAACTATGCCCTTCCATGTGGAAAATAGTATAGGATTTACAAGATCTAAAAACTCGAAATGGTTCACTTAACATGCCTTTTAATGGAATCAATCTCAAAATAAACTGTTTGTAATTGTATCTACTATCTGCTCTGGTTGCTGGTGGGCCTACTTTTTCTAGTGCAGTTTGGTAAAACTCGGTGAAAGCTTGATCTGTGCGAAGTGATACAATAAACAGCTTGAAATTGTCAATCTTGCCTGATGCCATAATTAAAATGGGTTTCTCAATTTTGAATAATGGAATACAAAATTGTGGACTGTTCTAAAATCCTGTAAAAAACACAGACTAGAAAACAAAAGAGAAAGCATTAAAATAATGCAGTAAGCCACTTATTTTACTCAATGACTCATCATCCCACCCAGCTGTTGTTCAAGAGCCCCCTCAAAAATATCTAGAAATTTTTCATAGTTTTTGTGCAATACATTGATTAATCTAGAGCGATAATACCATCTTGTTTCACCAGGGGCTAGAAACTCAAGCTTGTTTGATGTGAGAAAAGCTTTTCTCTTTGGGGCATTGCTTGTAAATGTGCTGAATGTACTTATGTTAATGAAAAAGATTTTAACGGGAGAAATTGATGAGGCTGACTGACATAGGACCAGGTTCAATCTATGAGCTGCATAATGAACAAAATGAGCAAAAGGATACTGTTGTCGAACCAATGCTTGAACACCATTGATATGGCCAGACATGACATATGTTTGCAAAACCAGTTTTTCTTTAATATCAGAATACTAACCAAATTTATCTTTGACAACTTGTGATATTGTTGTGGCATTTCTGTTCATACTTATATCCACAAATCCTAATTGCCTGTCAATAATTTACTTGCTTTGTCAAACCGAGCAATAACACTTAGCTGCTCTTTGGTGGACACATCAGATGCTTCATCAACCTGAATACTCATAAACGTGCAATCATTTATTTCCTTTCTGATTTCATCTTCAATAATTAAATCAAGAGAGCTAATAAGATCATTTTGAAATTATGGGGAGACTCCAGTAAAACTTCTGTCACTAACTATATCAGCTTCTGCTAGTCTACTGTGCAGTCGACGCTCAAAGGCAGAATCAAATAAGCAAAACATTCGAGCAACTCTCTATGCTTAACTTTGTTCAAGCTACCTTCAGACTCATCGTGACCTCTAAATGGCAACTCCTGCTTTGAAAAGTGCTGCACTTTCTCAGTAACAGTTTTTAAAATTTCTCGATTTTGTCTTAACTTGTCATTGCGACGCTTAATCTCGCTTCTTCTCGCAAGAGACATAAGACAATCAATTCGTTCACTAGCTCCATACGATTTCCATGTCTTAAAAGAAGTCAAATGTGATTTAGATTTTTCATGCTTCTTAGCATCAGACATAATACTCCGCATATCGTTGTAGCCATTCTTAGTCCATGTCGGCGATGTTTGCAGGGAAAACATTAGACATGGCCAACGAAACACTTTCTTTAAGGTTGTACAGTCACACAGCCAGTCCTTCGCCTCTTCTCTAAAATGCTCGTCCCTTATTTTGGATTGTTAAATCGGGAGTAGGCCGTTCGTTAACGATAACATTCTGTTCGACCGACGATCGAGCAGAGAACGGTTTAGCTAATAAGGTATTTCCTATATCAACATCAGTTGAGGAAATCGCAGTTGCACTTAAAGCCATTGTGTCATACACAAATACAAAGTAGCATTTTCAGAGCAAGGACAAGAGAAAATTACTATCGACAATGATCTCGTAATTTGATGATCACTAACCGCTGTACTCGTATTAAAAGGTTGAATAATTACATCCTCCGCCAATTTAAAATAGCGGGAATTCGACCATAAAAACAGCAGATTTGAGCATGCGCCAAGTCCCTTAGCCAACCAGAATTCAAAACTTTTCATATATAATTGTATTGTATGTTCCGCCCTCTGAAGATAG